GGTCACGATGTTTTGATAGTTGAATAACTTCAAGCCGACGCGTGCCGCTGTGCTACTCCATCACGCTTCTGTCACGATTGAGCCCCTGTCTTCCAAGCTCAAAATCTCAACGCTGCTGAAACGCGGGCAACTAAACATCAATGTGCACAATTCGTACTATGGTTAATAGGCATATGTTTCTAAAAGACACCAAAAGCCCAAAGTAAACGAGGCATATTTGATCAGGTGCTGGAGCGAATGAGTTTTGAGCAATGCAACTTAGAACAGTTTGTCGAGCTGTACAACACCCAGCTCTAATCTTCTACTGCTGAGCTTCGACTATGCTATAGACTAGGGTGTGAACAGTGTATAGAAAAATAATCGTGAGCATTGATTGGGGGATAGACGAGATATGCTCGAATAACTGCGATGTTTCACAGGGGGTACATTGTTTCACAGGGGGGGCATCGATAGTATCCATGATTTGCGATTCGGGGAATTGGACTCAGTATGCCTACATAATACAGATACTTACATAGTTCGAAGCCACAATTTGATCGGGTCCAACGTCATGAGTAACTAGTAAACCTTGGGGGTTCGCTAATTCTCGCATCAACCCACTAGTAGCATGCAGTGGCTAATAGGACCCGACCACGCTTCACAATCATCATCTCAGTTATAGTGCTTAACGAGCACGCCGTTGATTACTTCCTCTTCAACCCCATCCTCCTTGCCTCGCTTTAGCTCTGACGCACCATATGCGCTTGTCCTCCCCCTTTCCCACTGTTCCATCGTCGGCGCCGCATCGTCCTCAAAGCGACGCTGGATGCCTACGCGCTGCAGCACCGGGCTGGCCGTCAGCGGTGTCAACTTTACCGCATTGTCGGGCATTGCAAAGTAGAACAATCCAAGCCTCGTGTACGATTGCTGATCCGCTGGTGGCTGTCGAACGCGGTGAATCGTGCCTTTGTAGTATCCACCTGTCAGGAACTCGAGCGCATCGCCGGCGTTTACCACCTTTGGGTGCATGTAAGTAGCCGAGTAAGCGGGCCGGTAAGCCGCCATGACGTCATTATGTCAGATTCTCCGAGCAGGACAGGATTTATGGAACATTCACGTACGAGCGCGTTGTCGACGTGCTTGATCCACTGCCATTCTCCGTTCGTTGTCTGGATTTGTAAAGCGGATACAGGCTGGCTCCACAAGATAGTAATCGAACCGAAGTCTTTCAGAGAGTCAGCGTCTCATGATCGACCAACACACATTTGCTCGTGCTCACCAGTATGGCCTTTGAGCCAAATGTTATTGGTCTTCGCTTCCTCCTCGTCAGATCGAGGGTAACTTGGCGACGAAGTTAAGTCTCAGCATCAGGTAGATCCGACACACCAACAGCACTCACTATTTCATAAATCTGACTGACGACATTGCATAAATCAGCCGGCCCGTCGTTATTAATCAAACATCGCACATACCGTAGGTCTCTCCAGCCTCATGATAGCCGTGTATGTTCACTAGATCTTCCTCGGGCAACTCAAGGCTCAACGCTATGAGTCTGCATGATCAACAAGTCAGTCTCGAAGTTGAACTTGATGTCATCTTGCGGGATAAGGTGTCCTCACCTTAAAATAGGATGCAAAATCAAATGATGGTTGAATCGTGCAAAAGCTTCGACCTCGGGTAGAAAAGGCTTAATCGCTTCTGGGTGGGGTTTCTTCGTGATATCGCGATTGACTGTGAAACTGATTTAGTATGTGAATGGCCTGGACCTGCTCTGGGACTTACTATTATAATGCTCTATCTGGTCATGCACTCCATTGTCGATATGCTGAGTATGTTCATGCCATCACTATTCTAAAATGTGCTTATTATTGCTTACCCAGTAGTTTCTCAGCTTGTATCCCTGGTACGAGCCGGTCTGTTTGATGTTGCTTGCATAGAGCTGTTTCTCTTCAGCGCTGACTCCAGTAAACGCTCGGTCGGCAATATCAAACATCCTCTCGTTCTGATCACATTAGCTGTCTATGCTCGGAATATTTCTGTTGTTATGTGCTCACCTGAGCTTGAGTGTATCCATGGTTGATAACGTAGAAGAAACCATGGTTTCTGAGTGCCTTATTGACCTCCAAAGCAAGCTCAGTTCGTCCTTCCGGTGTACCGGCTTTCGCTAAGTCGATGACAGCAAGATCTGCCCATTTCACTACAGGATAATCAGCCTCGTGCGCTACACGGACGAAATGGATATGCCGTACAATTCTCCTGAGTAACTGGGGCAGGTTCGTAATGAGGCGCGTAGGGTACGGTCGTGCTAGGCATGATCGAGAGTTCGTCCGGGTTACGCACTAGCGTAGGGCATGGATGGGGGACGATGATAAGTGTCGCCTTAACCGCTCCTGTGCTTTCTTAAGATACAGTTAGATGAGACAATATGGCGTCAGTCTATGGTGTCATGAGACGTCGTGCTATTAAAAGGCCAGTTCAAGTTGTTAATGTACTTTGTCAACTCCGTCACAAAGGCGAATGGCCATAGTATGTGCGTGATGTGCAAATCACTGCAGTTCATTTGATTCATATGCCTACACGATTAATACAAGTACACAGGTCAAGCCCGCAAGCTGATCAGGCGCGATGTCACGAGTAATGTTCGAGGACACACTGTGGACCTCTCGCACCCACCGAAGGTATACAGACTAAGAAAGCGGACAGGGGCCCAATCACGACTCGCGATGATCTTAGTTGTAGTGCTTGACCAGCACGCCATTGATCACCTCTTCCTCGATCCCGTCCTCCTTGCTTTGCTTCAACTCTTTCGCACCATACGCGCTTGTCCTTCCCCTTCTCCACTGTTCCATCGTCGGCGCCGTGTCATCCTCAAAGCGGCGCTGGATACCCGCGCGCTGCAGCACCGGGCTCGCCACCAGCGGCGTCAGCCTAACTGCGTCATCGGGACCTGCAAAGTAGAACAGTCCAAGCCTTGTGTATGACTGTTGATCTGCTGGTGGCTGTCGCACGCGGTGGATCGTGCCCTTGTAGTATCCACCTGTCAGGAACTCGAGCGCATCGCCGGCGCTTACCACCTTTGGGCGCATTTAGGTAGCCGAATAGGCGGGCCGATAAACCGCCATGACGTCATTATGTCAGATTCTCCAAGCAGGACAGGAATTTTGGAACATTCACGTACAAGAGCATTGTCGATGTGTTTGATCCACTGCCATTCCCCGTTCTTTGTCTGGATTTGCAGAGCGGACACAGGCTGGCTCCACAAGATGGTAATCGAACCAAAATCTATCGAGACTCAGCACTTCTGGATCAACCGATGTACAATCTATCCGAGTGCTCACCCGTATGACCTTTGAGCCAGACGTTTTTGGTCTTCGTTTCCTCCTCGGCAGATCGAGGATAGCTTTGGAATGAAGTTAGCTCTCAACATCGATATCGTTCAAGAACGTCACACTCACTACTTCATAAATCTCGCTATACGCTTCCCGTCAGTCGCTCAATCGGCATGTATCAAATGTCACACTTGCCGTACGTCTCTCCAACTGCGTTGAAACCGTGGATATTCACCAGTTCCTCCTCAGGTAACTCAAGGCTTAGCGCTATGAGTCTGCAAGGTTTACCGATAAGTGGCGAAGCTAAGAATAATCGATCCTATCTCATGAGGCAAGCTGTCTCCTTACCTTAGAATGGGGTGTAATACTAAATGATGGTTGAAGCGCGCAAAAGCATCAATCTCGGGTAAGAAAGGCTTAATCGCCTCCGGGTGTTTCTTCTTGGTAACATCACGATTGACTAGATGAAATGAATGAGCTCATAAGAAAGACAACTTGACTCCAGGACTCACTGTTGTAATGTTCGACCTGGTCATGTACTCCATTGTCGATAACCTGAAAGTTACACAGTGAAGTATTACCGTTAAATGTTTTCAATGAAGCTTACCCAGTAGTTTCTTAACTTATACCCCTGCCACGAGCCGGTTTCTTTGCTATTGCTTGCGTAAAGCTGCTTCTCTTCCGCACTCACACCAGTAAACGCCCTATCGGCAATATCAAGCATTCTCTCGTTCTAATTACGTTGGTCAAGCATAATCAAAGAGTTCTACTGATATGCACTCACCTGAGCCGGAATATAGCCATGGTTGATGACATAGAAAAAGCCATGGTTTCGAAGTGCAATGCTTAGCTGTGTAACAAGTTCAGCTCGTCCTTCCGGAGTACTGGCTTTCGATAAGTCGATAACAGCCAGGTCGGCCCATTTCACTAAAGGATACTCAGAAAGCTGACTTTCATGACTGAAAGGAAAACGTACAGTCCTCCTGAGTGACGGGAGCAGGTTCGTAATGAGGTGCATAAGGTAAGGTGGTGCTAGGCATAATGTCGCTTTCTTCTGGGATACAGTAAGCACAGGAATCACTAACGCGCCGTTGATGGGGCTGCTTTATACGCATTCACCCCTTCTGTAACCTCTTGGAAGATGGTTAGATAAGAAAAGTTGGCGCCAGATCGTGATCCCATGGCCCCAATTCTAATAAAGGACCAGTTGACTGAACTTGGGGTGCCTTCAAAGCGAGGGCTTCTCTTACTAGGATAAGTACAGGGCCTTCGTTTCGTCTGAACCGTATGGGAAGGCTGTCAGCCTCGTGATACAGCCGGAAGTCAGGAATTCAGCGTTTACTGTCGTGAATGGAGCATTACAGCTCAAGTATTTCTCATGCTCTTAGAGTTTTCAGCGAGATGAGATCCGTTAATGGTCACAGCACATGATTCGCCCATCGGCCACTTCGACGCAACATCCTAGAAGAGCGTACAAATACAAAGGCCATGACGCCGCAATTCTTCCAGGTGTTATAATAGGTTACCGTAATGCACCCTCGCAGTTGCGAATCAATTGTAGTGCTTTACCACGATTCCATGCACATCTTCCTCTTCGGTGTTTTTCTCTTTTCCTTGCCTGAGCTCGGCAGCGCCAAAGGACGAAATACGGCCCATGCGCCACTCTTTCGTGGTTGGAGCCACCGCAGGATCACACCTCGGTTCAAGTTCTGCCTTCTGTAGAACAGGGCTGCCCATGAGAGGCACAAGCTTGACGTCCTCGTTGGCGTAAGAGAAGTAAATTACGCTTTGACGTGTGTAACCCCTCTGATCTATGGGCGGCTGCACAACGCGATGGATGGTGCCTTTGTAGAATCCACCGGTCAGAAATTCGAGCCCGTCGCCGACATTGACGACCTGAAATGTGTGAGAGCCAATTTTCCTGAAGGGAAAGCTATTTACCAATGCATTTTCAACGTGCCTGATCCAGCGCCACCCATCGTCCGTCAGAATCTGCAAGGCGGCCACAGGCTGACTCCACAGCAAGGTGACGGAGACGTGGTCTGCTTGACCATTCAGACACCGGTTCGTACAAATGGAATATGAACAAACTACCTTTGTGCCCCTTGAGCCAAACGTTCTTAGTCTTAAGCTCGTCCGCTTCGGTTAGAGGGTGGCTAGTCGCAACAGTTGAAGATCCCGCTCGTACAAAATCAGACAGGACAATGACGTACTACTTTTGGAATCTGACTAAATGGCGATAGTCAGACATTGCCTCGATCATCAGGGATGGTGAAAACTCTTACAGAAGCTAGCGTTGTGCTCCGAATCGTCGAATCCGTGCAAATTGACTAGAGTCTCTTCCGGAAGCTCAAGTCCCAACGCAATAAGCCTATCGTAATCATTAACGTGGCTTATCAGCGACAACAAAATTCCGGTTCCTTACCTCAACAGAGGGTGGAGAATGTTGAAATGGTTATATTTGATGAACTCTTGAATCTCGGGAAGATACGGGATTACCGCTTCAGGATGCTTGGCGCTGTTCACCTGTTGATTGACTGTCATAACGTCAGCTTCGGGCTACGAGGTTAACTCTGGAACCTCACATGTATAATGTTCTTGCTGGTCACGAACCCCGGCATCGAGATGCTAAGGAGGACGTGAGATAATGACGTCACTAACGTAGAGGGACACGGACCCAGTATTGTCGAGGTTTGTAACCTTGATACTTGCCAGTCTCGTGGCTTCGGTTTAGAAAAGCCTGTTTTTCTTCGTCTCCTACAAGAGACATAGGCACGTCTGAAATGTCAAACATGCGCTCGTTCTAATGGTAATACAGTAAATCAGACGAGGGACGGAGGTTTATCCGGGGGGAAAGGACTATACCTGTGCTTGAGACAAGCCGTGATTGATGACGTAGAAGAAGCCATGGGTCAAGAGGGCATTCTTGACCTCTGCAGCGAGTTGAGCTCGCCCGTCCGGCGTCCCTGCCTTCGCCAAGTCAATGACTGCCAGATCAGCATACGGCACTAGATATCGAAGAGTCAGCCTCGATGAAAGCGTGCAGCGTTAGGCACCTACGCTCTTGCTGGGTGGGAGGAGGCTCCTGGTAGTGAGGTACGGGAGGTAAAGTGAGGCTAGGCATAATTGTGAACGCAGAACAATTCGTTAGATGCAAAAGTGGAAATTAATGGTCCTAGTGAGAACCTTATAAACGCCAGCCCGCGCCATGGATAGCCCGGAATCAGCAGATGACCTTGACGTTGGCGCGTCTATCGTAGTGAGAACATCATGGAATCCATACAACGGACTTACTCAGTGGAAGAGTGGGGAGACGTACCGTCGTCCAATAGAGTGGTCGGCGGGCACATGAACATGGTGGCGCGCTACAAATAGAACAAAGAAGCGCCTTTAGCTCCAATGATAAATGGCACAGATGAATATTGGGGTGAGCTCTCAACGGCAGTGAAACGGCATCGCAGACTCGGGATATGGTTGACGTAACGCTGCAAAAAACGATCTCTGCGCCCAGTCCAGAGTCAGGAACTTAACACCAAATATACCATGGGAGTGGTCAAGCGTAATCGCCAGTGTGAGTGAATTAACCCTCACTGCATCCTGCTTCCTGAATCGCCGTTCTCACTCGACCCTATGTAATCCAGAGCTTGCGCACGATCGTGACATCAAGAATTCTTTATACATGATCACAATTCACGGGAGAAGCAGCCTAATATATGGGGCACATATCAGGTCAAACGCACACGAGAGTTACAGCATGGTCTGACGAAACGGCACATTGGACTTCAGATATGCGGATACAATTACACCGCAGAAATAATCACCGTTTTCGTTCATCAGTTTAGTTATAGTGCTTCACCACGATTCCATGCACATCTTCTTCTTCGGTGGCCTTCTCCTTCCCTTGTCTCAGCTCCGTGGCACCATAAGACAAGATACGACTCAGGCGCCATTCCTTCATCGTCGGTGCCACCGCAGGATCACACTTGGGTTGGAGCATCGCTCGTTGGAGTACAGGACTTTCCACGAGAGGCACCAATCTCACGTCGTCGTTTGCGTAGCAGAAGTAGATCATTCCAAGACGAGTGTAGCCACGTTGGTCGACGGGTGGTTGGATAACGCGGTGGATGGTACCCTTGTAGAAACCTCCGGTCAAGAACTCGAGTGTATCACCGGCGTTGATGATCTAGAATGTATCAGAGGCGAGGAACTTGGTAAAAAAGGATAGTAATACCAATGCGTTTTCGATGTGCTTGATCCAACGCCATCCCTCAGCAGTCAGTATTTGCAGTGCTGAGACAGGTTGGCTCCAAAGGAGGGTAATAGAGCCAATATCTATGTGGCTTTTAGATGAAAGCTAGTAAAAGCCGGTTTAAGTCGTACCCTTATGACCTTTCATCCAGACGTTGTTGGTCTTAGCCTCATCATCTTCGGTACGAGGGAAGCTAATAGCGACATTCAAATGTGATTCTCGAGGACACTAACAGGAACTCACTATTTTTGGAATCTCACTGTCACGAGTTTGTGAACGTTGAGCTCAAAGCGCGACGAAACGACATACGATAAGTACTGTTAGGATCGTCATAGCCATGGAGATTTACTAGAGTTTCTTCGGGAAGCTCCAAGCCAAGTGCAATCACCCTGTCGGGTCCATGAGCAGGAAGCCGAATGAGGCTCGTACGTTCCTTCACCTCAATAACGGATGGAAAATGTTGAAGTGGTTGTGGTCAACGAACGCTTGGACCTCAGGAAGGTATGGACCAAAAGCTTCAGGCTGCTTGAAGTCACGAACGTGCCTACCAACTGGCCCAGCGTTAACTCGTTGAGTGCACGGGTTTCGTGAGCTCTGCAAATTAAATACCGTTATAGTGTTCCTGTTGGTCGCGAACACCAGCATCAAGATGCTGAGAAGTTGGGTGTAAGATATCGCAGCTCTCTCAGAGAAACATCACACACCCAGTATTGTCTAGGTTTATATCCCTGATATACACCTGTCTCGTGACTTCTGCCATGGAGAGCCTGCTTCTCTTCATCGCTAACGTACGACATGGGGACGTCAGCAATATCAAACATGCGCTCGGTCTGATCGTAATATAATGTATTAGGGCTGGTCACATTATCACAAATAGACAGGACAAACCTTCGGCTGAGGTAGACCGTGATTGACTACATAGAAGAAGCCATGTGTGAGAAGCGCGTTCTTGACTTCCCCGGAAAGACTAGCTCGTCCTTCAGGCGTACTAGCCTTGGACAAGTCAATAATCGCTAAATCAGCATAAGGCACTGTGTGAGAACGTCAGCCATGTTTAAAGTATGGCTTCGATAGTACGTACGCTCTTGCTTGGTTGGAGGTGGTGGTTGGTAGTGAGGTACTCGAGGTAATGTAAGGCTGGGCATGGTTTAGGATTGCGAGCGCAATGGAAAGTTACAACAGGCAAACCTACACGGGGAAGTTACTTATACTTCGAATCCGCAGCATGGATAGTGCGATAACAACAGCTGACTGGAAGAACATCACTGTCCTGGTCGATCTCAAAATACCAGCACATAGATAACGGCCTTCGCCCGAGCAGATGATAAGAGCTTCGTCTCTGAAAAGTGCACATATGACCAGGTCCAGCTACAATTAGAATCAACAATCAATATAGCTCCATTTTCGAACAATTGAAGGAGCTCTTAGGCCTTCCTGCTCACGGACAAGCAACAGAGCCGGTTCAACATACCACCGGTAACGATCCAAAATGGACATCCTGAACGCATTCATATGCGTGAACGCTGAATCCATCTACGTTCGAGCCCAAGTTAGAGGCGATACTTACCATTGATAACAGGTAACCTTACTGCCATATTACCGGTAGTCGTTTAAGTTACAGTCGTCATTGTAGCGGACGTCTAGTGAACAAGGTACCCCTCACCTTGTCCATGTCGGGTCTACGAATGGTGCCGATCACTTTTAAGAGGTGGTTGAATACTTCAGTCAGCCTGACTCACTCGGGGCGGATGATGGGGACAGAGCTCCGAGTGCATCGTCCGACAGCATTCACTGGTCAACGTTGGGAAGAGGCGACGCGGCAACAATGAATGCGTGGAGCTCATACTCTCATGGTTAACAAGTGCTCGGCTCCTGTCGGCCGTTCGGTACCTGTTGGTACCCTTCCAGAGGTCCAATAAGTGAACGTCTATCAATCTTCCAATTTGCTTCAAATAGAGCAGTCATCCGAACCATAACAATCAAACCGACTAACTCCTTCAGTTATAGTGTCTGACCACAATACCTCGCACGTCTTCCTCCTCAGTGGTCTCATCCTTGCCTTGCCTCAACTCGGTCTTGGTACCTCCGTAAGTCATGATTCGGCCGACAGCCCACTCTCTCATTGTTGGAGCCACGGAAGGGTCGCACTTCAGCTGGAGCATCGTCCGCCGAAGAACTGGGCTCTCCATGAGAGGAGCTAGCTTGACGTCCCTGTTCGCATAGCAGAAGTAGTTTATCCCAAGCCGCGTGTAACCCCGCTGGTCGATGGGAGGCTGAACGACACGATGGATGGTCGCCTTGTATAGGCCTCCCGTCAGGAATTCGAGTGCGTCTCCAGTGTTGACAATCTAAACCCCAATTGAGTATTTACAAGCAAAAGACTCGTTAGATGGGCTATACCAAGGCATTTTCAATGTACCGGACCCAGTGCCATTCGTCTGCGGTCAGAATCTGCAATGCAGCCACAGGTTGGCTCCAGAGGAAGGACAAGGTGCCAATATCTACATGGAAATCAGCCCACAAGTTGAATGATTGGCGCATTTGATTACCCGTGTGCCCCTTCATCCAGACATTTTTGGTCTTGACTTCGTCGTCCTCAGTGCGAGGGAAACTAGTCATGATGTTCGAGCTTCACTCAAGCAAGCCTTACATAGCGTCAACTCACTATTTTTGAAACCTCACTGTAAAAACTGTGTGTTAGTCACGGATCTGTAGCGATTTTACGGGAAATTGTACACCAGGTTCCATTGGGACCATCATAGTCATGAAGTTTCACAAGAGTTTCCTCTGGGAGCTCAAGACTTAACGCCATTATTCTGTTTGTATCATAAATCACTATTACATTAGCCTCAAAGCAATATCAAATCTCACCTCAACGTCGGGTGAAGAATACTGAAATGCATGTGTTCAATGAGGGCTTGAACCTCCGGGAGGTATGGAACCAGAACTTCAGGTTGCCTGGAGTCATTTACGTGTCTAGTAACTAACGCGAGGTCAGTTTGCGATGTGCGCGACTTTAGGATGACACGGACTGTTATAATGCTCCTGTTGATCGCGAACGCCAGCATCAAGATGCTAAAAGGTACGAAAATGAGTCATACCGATAATCAACACGAAAGGATGCAAACCCAGTATTGTCGAAGCTTGTAGCCTGAGTATACTCCTGTATCACGAGGGTTTCCCTCTAAAGCCAGTTTTTCTTCGTCGCTTACACAGGCAATCGGCACATCGGCTATGTCAAACATGCGTTCGGTCTAACAAGGACTTGCTTTAGTGCTGATCAAAATTTAGAAAAACGGATGGGCGGACCTGTTTGTGAGAAAACCCGTGGTTGACTACATAAAAGAAGCCATGCGTGAGCAGGGCGTTCTTAAGCTCCGCAGCGAGTTCTGTTCGGCCTTCAAGTGTGTGGGCCTTGGATAAGTCAATGACAGCCAAGTCTGCATAAGGCACTGCCCTTAATCATTAGATACTATGGGGAGAAAATGAGTGTCGTTCAACACGTACGATCCTCGTGAGTCGGAAGAGCCGGCTGGTAGTGAGGTACTTGGGGCAGAGTAAGACTTGGCATAGCTGAATATCTCACCGTCGACCGTCTCGCGAACTGGGTAATCCGCTGGTGAAGACGCTGTTTACGATAAACTACAGCGTTCTTGAAACTTAAATAGTTCGATAACAACGGACTCGAATTAGATCACTATCTCAAGGCGGCAGATAAGGAGCTTTCAGTCGGAAGGGGGTGAGAGCCACACTTGAGTGGTTCAATAGGACCATTGACGGCTGACCAGCGCGCGCTAAAATTAGCACGTGGGAGAGAATATGCTCCAGACTTACGCAACGCGCAGTGGGTTACTCCCTCGCAGACAGGAACAATATTATAAGCGTAAGGGCCAGTTTGACGTATTGCGACATGGAGCACCCAGTCTGGAGCCCTGTGGATGTGGTCACAAACCTGAAGCTTACTCCGTCATAATTTGTCAGTGTACATGGTTCCCGACCGAAACTAGGAAAGTGATGTAAGGGGGACACCAGGCTGTCGTTCACTAGCTGTTCGGCTGCCTGGACCCCAATTGCTGCATAATGAGTCTCGAGTGACGTAAAGAACGTTGTGGTGAGATTGGCTCGTTGGTATGGGTTATTCCAGCTTTCTGGAAGGGGTCGTAAGTCAGACCAGTCGTAGTATACCGTCCGGGTGTAGACGCGACGCTGACTCCTGAACTTGATCGAGCTACTCGCGGGGAAGTGGAGAAGGAAAAGCTCAGAGCGTGCGAAACAAAGACGCGCCGCACGTGGCTGTCTCGCCTCGATCAAACACGTCTCCATTTCATCCTCCATTTGAAACCACCAACAAGAGCGCTCGCCAGTCCCTCGATTCCATCCAACCACAATCCAATACAATGACGGAAAGTCACCAAGGTTCCACCTGATCGAGCCTCGAGACAATTAATTGTCTCGTAGGCCGGGCTGTCCGACACCAGCATTTGTCCATTACCAGCGGCGTAAAACACTCAGCATGCGCGGGGCACGCGACAGGCTGGTAGAACTCTACTCCTTTCTACTGGAATGAGCACTCGCGCCCTGAATTCAGTAACGCATTACCACCCTTGGCCATGGCGCCCTAGGGGTAACCCACTCTCACCTACGTCGCCCGAACCAACACCAACTTTCACAAGCTACTCTCGGCCCCTGACTTTGTGGTAGTTAAATTCCTGCGTCGGGTTGCTATATCCTTTCCGCATCGTCTTTCGATATCCCCAATCTCGCCATCATGTCAGGCCTAACTATGTTGCAGCTCAAAAGTGAGTCCTTCGTTCGCTTGAACGAATGCCGAGTCGGTTCTGACCGTTCCTGCAGTAGCGACTCCGACATTGTCGTTGCTCTCGGTGGTCGTGGCCCTCCTGCGGCTGGCATATCGGTATTGGACGGCGCGAATGTGGTGGGACGATGCTGCAGTCGCCGTGGCTATGGTGTTGCAGATTTTCCAAGTGATCTTTACGCAGATACGCTACGATCCAGGTGTGTCTACTGCGCCTAACATAAAGCGACTCACTGACCTTCCGACCAGAGAAATTCAACAGATACGTTCTTGTCGCTGGTTACTACGTGTTCGTCCATAAAGCTCAATCATCGCTCGCGCGCTGACTATTACTCGTAGCGCCGCGCTATCGTTCCTCGGCGTAGTTTGGTAAGATTCAACTCGTCGTGGGTTGGATACCTGCTCATCGTCTTGTGCATAGGTTCTCAAGGATCTCCATACTGTTCACCATCATGCGGATATCCATCCATAAAAGTACTCGAAGATATCTAGGGGCACTGGCGGGTCTCTTCCTTCTCACTTGCCTCGTCCTCCAGGCGCAAGTCATGTGGACGTGCGAAGGTCCTGGTAAGACGAGCTGGAAGCACGAACCAATTCCACAGTGCTTCTTAGGGAAGGAAGTTGCAGTCGCGCAGGTCATAAGTGTGTGATTAAGTTTCACGTTCGCAGCTAAAGTATGCTGATAAAACTTCTAGCTGACGTACTCGCCGATCTCTTTCTGATTATCGCACCGGTTCGCCTGGTTTGGAAAGTACGGCTGTCTCGTCCTCAGAAAATCCGCATCATCGCCATATTCTGTTCGGCATCTGCTACGACAATCGTTAGTCTATGCCACGCATACTTCCTTCTCACTGTGGGAGGTCTCAAGGAGATTATGGCGGGTATAGTCGAGGTGAGCGCTTGACGTTCGCTAGCTGCGTGCGTTTTCTAACAGTTGACCCAACGGTAGATGTCCGTCAGCCTCATCGTAGCCAACTTGAACGTCATTGTCGCCGTCGTATACCGCATCAGCTCTGACAATACCGATATCGAGAAATCTGACAAGCATATCGTTACCTTCGGCGCACTTCCTAGTCGAAGAAGGCGTCCACAGTGGACCGACTTGGACAGCGAGTCTGTGCCCGCGGAACGACCATTTAACCACCTCCAGTTTCACGTCACCACGACAATTCAATCAGAGTCGGCTGTCGAAACCGAAGAAATACCAGTCAGTCCAAAGGGTTCGCAAAATGGGGACAACGCCGAACATGTCGAACGGAGCGATTGTATGGAACACGAAAAGGTTGAGAGCGACACCTCCCATGTGTAATTCTTTACTTTTTTCGCCTCCTTTACTCATTTATATAAGCTGTAAGCTACCTTCCATATCATGTATATTATGTGTTATTTTGCTATATAGACGCAACATGATCTGATGAAGCAAACCTCCTTGGCTGCTCAGTGCTCAACGAGGGAAAGATCACATAGGGGCTATTTAGTGAGCGCGGGAACTATTCAGCGCACGCGCACTTTTGCACTGACGCAGCGTCGCGTCGCGCACCTGGACTTCGTCGAGCTCGAACGATTGTGTTCATGGCAATTCCAGCAACATAACTATCCCAAAGGACTCTTCAACAATTATCCTCTTATCTGTTAACTGAACCACTATTCGAGGCCACGATGCCCAAGTCCAGGGTTGAGCGGAAGATGGGAGGACAGCGCCAAGTTCCATCCAATGGAGTGATCGGGCCAAGCCAATTCAATGTGCGCCCCCTCTCTAAGGTCTTTGCTAGGTGCAGCTGACATGTAATCCGCTTATGCTCAGGATCTGCTCAAGGCGGCGACTGCAGATGAGGACTCCGCCCTCGCCGCCCTCGAGCGACTCCTTCCTCTTGTCGCACGTCCAGACTCCCCAGACAAATCCTACCAGCTGTTCGTCGAGCTCCTCATCAAGCGCCTTAAGTTCCGCACTGGGCAGGCAGTAGATGACATCGTCGCCACTCTCTCCATGCTCGCCATACGCGCTTTTGCCATCCTCCTACCCATAATGACGCACAGCCAGGAACGCATCCTCGTTCCACGTCTTATCATGAGCTGGGGGGATGTGTTTTGGTGGACGTCGATTCTGCAGGAGCACGTGGTCGAGAGTGAAGAGAATTCAATGGATTTCCGCCTAAGGACGCACCAGTCGTTGCTTGTGTTCCTTAACTCTGCGGCGACAAATCCAGCGCTGCTCGAGATCATGTGCTTCAAGGATGCGGCGATGACGCTGTTATTCAGGACTCTGAAGCTAGGCGCGCATAACCCCAAGTTTTCCTACCGGACGATCGGCAACTTCGGCGGATACGCGTTAGATGACATCCTCGGGCACTCGCTGAAGAAGGATACTGCGGATTTGGCCGAGGTCGTGAAGCGTCTGGGAGGCGATGCGGGTGAGCTTGCTGAAGTGCTGCTAAAGTATCTTCGCGACGAGCTCGCGATCGAGAACAAGGAGGATGTCGAGCTTGATCTAGTTATCGCTGTCATCTCCATCATGAGCGGAGCTTCCAGCTTGGACGAGCTGCGGTTCGCCCTCCTAATGCGACAATCCGTGACTCTGGTTACTCAAGTCCTCTACATGATTGTCAATCTGCCACTGGACAATGCCGACCTTGATCATGACCTTGTCGTCAGCTGCATCTCGCACGCAGTCTTCTATCTGAACCGTGCGCTTGAGACAACAGACGGCACCACGTGGGTTCTTGAAGCTGTTCGAGCGGAGCTCATACCAACTCTCCTTCTCTGCAACAAGTGGCTGCCACGTTCATTACTCCCGCAATACAAGGAGTTTGTCGAGATTTTGAGCATGATTCTGCCAAAATACACCATCTACATCGACATTCTGGACGCCATGAACCAGTCACTGTCCTTGGTAGATAAGCTACACCTCGAAGACGAGATTGATAGGAAAGGTGACCTCTGGAAGGCACGCAAGGAGCTACGTAAGTGCGTCGGACAGCGAAGTGAAGCCAAGAAAACCGATCTCCACCGCAGCGACATGGTCGCAATGTGTAGCAATAGAAAGGTTTCACATTCCACCTTCATGTGTTCCTTCAGGCACCCGTTCTGACCTTGTGACTTCTTCAGTGTCCGCAAAGGCGCCGTGCTATTCCGTTTGATGACTTCCGACGGTGTAAGGAGTGTTTGCGCGCTCAGTATTGCTCGCACGAGTGTCAGAAGCAGCATTGGACAGAGGGCGGCCACAGGGAGGCCTGTAAAGCATGGCGGTCCCCGCAGAGCAGTGAGCACCACCTCCACGCGAAGATCGGATTTTAGCTGACCCAGACGTTTGAACAGACGAGGACATTAACCCGCTCTCTCTACACGACAATACGTACGCTGTCAAACTGAGCCTACACGACCTTCGGACCCGTCGTCAGGAGGTCGTCGACAGCAGAACGAAGCAAGAACTTAGGAATTGCCTCGTCCTTCTGGATTATACTTCTTATCCGTTCACGTTATCTGTTCACCCCTTGGAACATGCCTATGAACGGCCCGAACCACCGCCGTCGCGATGGCCCGACATGCTCAAGGCATTAAAAGCAGCTGGTCCAAACGCAGTGATCTGGCGCTCGACGATCCCTGCAGGAAGAACGGGCCGACGCTTCACCACGGGTATCCTGGTAGTCCTCCCGAATAAAGTAGAGGAGGTGTCAATGGAACTCGTGCCCTATGATCCAGAGGAAGCGATGATCAATCTGACGAATGCACGCGCCAATATCAAGGTCTTCAAGGTTATCAGTGCCAGTACCGATACCGGTATCGAGGACCAAATGAAGGAGCTAACGGTTGTGGAGGTACGTGCCTGTGGAGATGGTGTATTGACGAGCATCTAACCTGCGGATACGCGCTCAGGAGCCGTTAGACTAGTCCGAGCAGAGATGCCAGCTCACACCGCAGCGACATCAAAAACCTCGAGTCTCGTTGATCAGCGTTGATCGTTGTAAAGCCATGACGTGCAAGTAAAGCTTGGCCGCTACCGTTTGTCAAGTCTTCAGAGGTATCTATGACGATGTTTGGATTGAATGTAACACACAATATCTCTTGTCCTAACCATTGCTAATATATGTCTTTCTTTTGATCTGAACTTCTCCCCTAGGTCTGGAGCAAGTCTGGAGGAAGATGCATAGGCTTGCATAGGGAGCTCTCATTGACGTCATGCGGGTAATACGGTGTCTGTTGCGGCTCATTCAACGGGAGTCAGCGCGGCGTCTCAAGAGTGTCAGGCAACCGTCACGCGTCAATCAAAGTATGAGCTGGTTCCGTTCTCGAATCTCATTCAGCTCCAACGCAACGCTGCTACTTGCCGTCGAGCGCATGGGCCCTCCCACTCCTCGCGACTATTCTTGACTGCGCTGTAGATCGTTCTCACTGGGACTTTCTCCAGCGTTTGAATGGCTATGCGCAGGAGCGCGTCTGCTAAGACCAAATTAACGTCCTTTTGCGATTCAATGGCTCGATATTTATCGCCGACGATCCAGATGAATCATTGGAACATGTGGAACATGCGGGCCCCCGAGTCGGCCCTGCTCTGCGAACTCTGCCACATCTTCGTAACCAAGATCAACCTATGCTGTCGTTTTCCCAATGAATAATTGGGTGTGCTCTCGTTGCCTCTGAGGCTGTCAATCATGGACAACCAAGTCACCTGTACCAGTCATTTACCACCAATCTCCACCAATATACGATCAAATGTCGATAGGCAAGACTCTTGCAACGCGTCACCAAGGAAGAATCACGGAAACTCGCTGGCGATGTCACCCGAAATTCTTTTATGTGTAGATCTCGGCGGGCTACCTGCTGTATATAAGAAGTGTCTTCCGTCGTCAATCTTGCGCATCATCGACCTACACATCTCGTCACTTTTCCCCTGTCCTCTGGCCTCCACCGCCCAGAATGCCTCAGACTACATTCACCGCGGCTCTCTTCGCTGCCCTCGTTGCCAAATGTGTGCAGGCGCAGGTCACCGCCCCTACGGGCACTCTTGCATCTGTCCTTCCTGCCGCAACCGACGCCAAGTTCGGTGGTTTCATCTCTGATGGCGGTGCTGGCGGCTTCATCAACGGTGTGCATCTCCTCTCCCTCTCCGACCCTTCCAAGATGAACGCCGATGGCTCGGTCGACTTCCCCTCCGCCCATACCGGCTACGCCGCCCTTGACCCCACCAATCCCAGCCAGATCACCATCTACGCAAACTACCAGGGCAGCAGCCCCGACTTCTGGCACGGCACCCCCGACAACTCGGGTACCGGTGGCGGCATCATCAACGTTCAAGCTGAGGATGTCGACTGCAACGGCAATGCTGCGTGCTTCGGTCCTGCTCCCCACGTCGCTCCCATCCCCATCCCCGGCAATAGCACCGGTGCACTCAATGTGTGGCCTATCCACCCAAACGAGGGTGACTACATGTACAACACCATGTTCGAGATGAACGTTCTCGACCCGAACACCCAGAACTCGCAGAACGCGAACATCCCCACAGTGCGCACCGTCCCCGTGCTGTTTAACGTCTCGCAGGGCCAGACCGGCTACGGCAGCCGCGCCCTCACGCCTGGTCAGGGCGACGACGCCGCAAACCACTTCTACCTCTGGGAGGGTGACACCACAGGCCTCAAGGTCGCGCGTGCGCCGTGGGCGAGCCGCACGGACACGACGACTTGGGACTACTGGCACGGTGGCGACGGCTGGGTTACAAGCAAGCCCCTGACGTACAACAACGACGCGTACGGCAACGTCCTGAACCTCACCAACCAGAACGTACGTACCGATTCACGCTCTTCCTATTCTCCTCATAGCCCACGCTGATATTTACTTTCACAGCTCTTCTTCGGCTGCGATGTCCGCTGGGTTGATCGTTTCAACACCTTCATCATCACCTTCAGCGGTGCCGCCGGTGCTGACCAGATGATCTCCTATTCTACCTCGGGTGATGTCACCGGCCCGTACTCGGACCCCGCCAAGCTGTTTACCCCGCAGCTCAATGCTGGCTGCGCGGGCAGGCAGGGCGCCATCGAGCTCACGGACTTCCCCCAGATGCACTGGGACTACTATGGTCTCACCGCCGACCAGACGCTCGTCAGTTGGGCCTCCTGCGATGTATACACCGACCTTGGTGTCGTGACATGGTCGTAGAGGAGCAGTGTGGTATTCTGAGATGATGAGAGGGGTGTAGCATTTACTTCGGGCCCGAGATCAGAAATACTGTACGAGCTCTCCTTAACTATATCAGCAGTGTAGTTTCACGGTTGCCTACACCCCCAACATTTGTCTACGGCTTGTAATTGAACATAGATTTATGTTTCATGTGAAATCTTACTGGTAACGCGAACGCGCTCGAATGTGTTTGGATGAGCAATACATGGCCGTTTATTTGGCTCGGTCCGTTGACACTGTAAAAGACGCGATAAGACTCGTAAAGTTTTCGACCGGTTTTAGCTAAATGAGTCACTTTCATAAAGCAGGCTCGACGGAATGGTCATTTTCGTTGCTATGGTAGTAGTGGCTGACTTGATGCAAATACATATAATGCCCTTATTGACGAACAACTCGCAAGTCTGAAATGACCCAGAGGAGACAACATGATGACGGAAGGCGGTGAAACATCCATTCTTGCACCTGGGGCCTCATTCCAGCCACCTGGCAGATTGTCCCAAGCCGCGATCCCAGGCAACGTTCGACCTGCCCTGATATGAGCTATCTGAGGAATCAAAGGCGTATGACGACTCGTGCGAGTCGAGGTTAACAGTCGTGAATTTGACGGTCTCTGGACTATCCTCGATGTCGCCATTTGAGTCGTTGCCCTGGTGCGAGGTGCCGTCGTCGATGTGCGCCCCGTTCTTGCGCAATAGTACGCGATAGATAAATGTGACGGTAACGAGGAGGTTACAGACAATCAAGTCGATAGCATTCTTTAGCATCATGGTCAGCATGAGAAGTATAGGAAGACGCAATGTATGGAATCAGTCGGTCGTGCGTACCTGAATATGCATGGTGATACCGGTTTCAGACGTCGCTGGCACAATAAAAACTACATGAACGATACTTGCAACAGCGCTGAGAACGCTCATAGCAAAAATAGATATGACAAGGATCCGGGTTTGTCGTGCGAGTTTTATGTCCCAGAGCATTGCTATGGGTAGCGTTACGAGAATGAGCGCACTGACGACATCGGCTGGTGACAAACACTCTAAGCTTCACGAGCGGTGGTAAAGATGCGGAGCTAAAAGACGTACTGCTTAGCTGCACGAACGCGTATGCATGACTGTTCCGGCAATGGAGATAGGCTGTCTCTCTCCATGATGGGTTATCCCAACAGACCCACATCTTGAACGCAAAAGAGACTGCTCCGAAGATTGCAAAGAGGGAGAGACTAGCGTGGATGATGATGCGCATGCGCGGTTTTGTTGCCACGCGGAGGATAGAGAGTAGGACACTAACGCGGGTGGACCTGCGCACATCCACGTCAACATAACCGTGGTATCCATGAGGCTCGTGGTGACGTACCAGACAACCACCCAGTTCGTCATGATATCCAGCCACATAAACGCATAATCAAATTCTGCTATAGAGACGCAGAAATCGTCAAAGCTTGGTTGGGAGGATCGTGTTCAAGCGCGTGCGAGATAACTTACGAGCATTCGGCCAGTATATGAACCAAAAGCTCACCAAGCCAACGATACAAGCAAAAGCTGCCATCAGGGCAAACAGATCCTCCCACCAGTGCCGTCCCCTCCGAATCCACAGTCGAAACCCTGTCCAAACGAGCGCCAGCACATAAAGTCCTGTCTGGAGACCTGGCGGACCGAATAATAGGCGGAGCGAAGTTAGCCATGTAGTACTAAGACGACTTCAGAGGAACGCGCTCACCTAGGTAGGCATTAGAAGTAGGTGAAGGCTTGATATCTTGGTCCGCCATGGTCGACAATCAAAGGAACCCCGGGAGGAAGCCAGTGTTGATGCGTCTGGCAGTGATACGCCAGGCTGAGTAAATCGAGGGAAAAGGAGAGTAAGAGGTCAGGTCAAGGAAGGCGGTCAATGAGTTGGGCGTGTATGAAAGTGAGCGGGGGCGGGGGTTGGAAACTCAAGGCAAAAGCTCGCCATTACGGCAGCTGAAGGTAGGCACCGAGCATCGAGGCGGGACCGATCTGCGCTTAATAACAATCATGCAGCTGTCATTAGAAGTGAAAATTAATGATTTTTAACCGAAAGGTTCCGTCATCCACACTTGCTAATCTTCATCTAGGGATCCGGGGATTTCAGACAGACTCAGACCGGAAGAGAAAGAAACAACACAGGATAAGGAGGTTAAGACACAGCCCAACGCGGCCTGATGTGGCCAATGTCAATCAATTAGTTATATCCTCATGGGATCTATCATGGGGGAGTACATGTATACACCTGGACTTAGAAATGTGGTCAAGCCAGGAAACCGGCGCTTCAGTGGGCTGTCTTTCTGTGAAATGGACGCTAGACCAAGGTTTCAAGTATCCATGCCTTAACTGTGTCCGCCTGAAGGGCATTGAGACGTTTGACACGTCATCCAAGAGGGAGGTGTGCGGGCAACAGCAGTGTTGGGGTGGCCAGTGTTGTGACTGTTGTCCATTGCCAGCGATTGACGGTAACCAGCGGTGACCACGACGGCGCGCGCGATGTTAGACGTTTTACCACCAAACATGCGGAAAACGTGGGAGTATAATACCATATTGTACGATTTTATACACGTTTCTACTCCAAACGTGCTGGTGCCCCTAATTTACTCCGTGCCATCCCAGTTTGGCGCGTGAACGCGTGAACCTGGGGCGCGGAACCAAAGCTTGCTTTCGCGCCAAGTAATACGCTGGTAATACGTAGCCGACATCCCGCACTAACTATCCCTATGTGTCCCATTGCGCCATTTTTCACAAGCGCTTTCGGTCTATCAAGGCCGCCAGGACTAGCATAACACACCACGAGAGCTGGGGGTCTTCACTACTGAAAAACCAGAAGTGAGTAGCCCATCTACTGCTAGAGAGCTTATCCAGTTCTTTGGGTGCCGCGGAGCTTATCACGCGAGACGTTTTTGGCTCTTCATTCTTGCTGACCTCCGTATCTATCTCCAGGCGCACTATACATTGCCGTTGACCTCTCGGACATTGATAACACCAAGTATGGCCAACATGGACTCGCTCGAGCCTTCTCTCGGCCTTCGCAAGACCGACGACACTGTCATCGAGGAAGTGAAGACCACAATGGGCCAAGAAAATGAGGACATATCGGACCAGCGTCTGCTCGACTTAGGGTATAAGCCCGAGTTTCGGAGGGAGATGTCGCTGTTCGGCGTCCTCGGCATATCGTTTTGTGCGATTGGGATCCTCACGGGTATGAGCAGTGCCTTCCAGACTGGCTTGTTCTCTGGTGGGCCGTTGGGATTGTTCTGGGGTTGGAATGTGAGTGATTCAGTCGCGTTCAGCTGGGACGAGCACGTTGATGATGACGCGACTACAAGATATGCAGCCTGTTCATGTTGTTCATCGCATTAAGTCTGGCGGAAATATGCAGTGCTTAGTGAGTTGTCGCCTCGTTCGTACCACAGGTATGAGCGCACGGACTAATGGACGCGTTCCGAAGCCCAACAATGGGCGGACTATACTTCTGGGTCTGCAAGATGAAGCCTGACCTGCCTATTCTCGGCTGTGAGCTCTTCCCCTACCAAAGCTCAAGCTACGAGTAACGTGTACACAGTCTGTACTGGGTGGATATATTCGATTGCGATGGTTTTCACCGGGACATCAGGGAACCTTAGGTGAGTTTTATCCTTCATCGACATTGCCTGTATGAACTGCGGACTGAATGACATCTAAGCGTCGCCCTCTACCTTGCTTCCCTGGCTGAAGTAGGTCAAGGACGTACGCTCACTCGCGTAGAGATTGCTGCCATTGCGTGGGGCGTGAACATCGCCTCGGGTATCGTGAATACTGTCGGGACGAAAGCTATCGGTCGAATGAGCTCGTTCAACGTATGGTGGACCCTTGGCGGCACGTTCGTGCTCGTCGTTACTCTGCTGGTCAAGGCTCCAGCGAAGGTAAGTCGACCCAACAGCTATGTATGAATGGCTATGATAACGACGTATCCAAGAACTCCGCCGAATTCGTGTTTACGGACTTCCAGAAGTGAGCGGCATAATACTAGGATATTGCTGTATACTGACTTTGCCTCTGTTAGCTTTACTGGATGGGGTTCGGAGGGTTTCGTCGTGCTTCTAGGTTTTCTCCAGGTAAGTTTTCCACCCTTTCTGTCCGCTATCCTTGACCTGATTGCGCCTTAAACAGGCAGTATATACACTCGAGGGATGTGAAACAGCTGCCCAAGTCGCCGAAGAAGCCCAGCGCGCTGAGATCCTCGCGCCGATCGCGGTCGTCGGCAGCATCGTCGGCTCGTGGTTCATCGGGCTCGCATACATGCTCGCACTCCTCTTCTCTGTGCAGAGCATCGCCTCTGTTCAATCCACCACCTATGCGATCCCCATCGCGCAGTTGTACTACGACGCGGTCGGGCAGAAGCTCACGCTTATGTGTGTGACAGTCATCGCGCTCGCGCAGTTCATGGCGGCCGTGACGGCATTCACAGCGAGCTCGCGCTTGTTCTATGCGCTCGCGCGGGACAATGCATTCCCCGCGAAGGGGAAGTTTATGGCTCTGAATCGGTATCAGGCGCCGTACTGGGGCGTATGGCTTTCTGTGCTTGTTGGGTGCATCATTTCATGCGCATATATCGGGTCGACTATTGCTGTGCGCGCCCTTTCTTGTTGCTCTCCGGTGATATCCTGACATCTTGACAGTTCAATGCCATCTTGTCCTCGGCGGCCATCTCGGTCATGCTGAGCTATCTACAACCAATCATCATTCGAGTATTTTGGCCGGACTCGTAAGTGCTACTGTCCTACTGAATAGACGAGCTGAATCAACGGCTTCTCAGCCTCCGCGAAAAAGGACCATTTAGACTGGGTGGTTGGTCGTGGATGATAAATGTCGCAAGTTTTGCAGTGAGTTCGCACGTTGCAGTGTGACCAAAAGATATTGTGTTGACGAAAAGTTGCAGTTCACCATCTTCATATGCGTCCTGTTTGTACTCCCTACCGCATACCCCGTCACCTCTCTCAATATGAACTATGCTATTGTGGCCGTTGGCGGGGTTTTCCTTATCGTTGCTGTTAATTGGTTTACCTGGGGACACCGGAGTTTTGTAGGACCCGTCGCTACCTCTGAATGAGTAAGGTAGTTCTTCGACAAGTTAGAAGCCATTGGGTTTGACTAGGCAGCTGGGACGGGCATTATCAATTATTCATGGACCTGCACACGTACTGTATCATATGATATACAGTTTCCGGGGGTTTGAATATCGGGTGCTGCTAACAGTAACTTGACGGTAAGGTGACTATCTATCATACGGTGAGAGGCACACTTTTAATGAGCTGGGGACCCGCTCGATTAGAACGGTCTGGCAACAAACTCGAGGGTGCCAGAACGGGAGGGAACACACTGAGATTTCAAAGGGAGGCGAGACTTCCTCACGGCTCCGATAACGTTTGTCATAAAAGTAACGTTGCACTGGCACAACTTGATAGTACTCTATCCGCGCCAGAAATTGACGTGCATCCACATCGAAGGAAAGATAAACAAATCAAGTAATTGGTTGTTGTCTAAGTGTAACCAACAACGGATGCTATGAAAGGCAAAGTCGAGGTATGCAGTGAGCTGACCCAACCCATGAAAAATCCGCTTTTAGAGGGGCATCAACGAGCCTAGCCTGGGCATCTTCTACTCGTCCAAACGGACGTTCGGGTAGTATATGTAAATTAGTGTGCGATTATGCAACTCATCGTCACAAGAGTCAGTCAGAGGTGCACCTGGGACACCGTTCATGCCTCAACAAGGGGCGAAGTAGTCCCTTCCTTCCCATCCTTGCTCGTTGACCCACGAGTCTTCTCAGAGCTCGGCTTAGCCGCACCCTCTGAATCGGTCTCTACCTCTTCCACCTCTGCCTCTTCGTGCTTCTTGCGCTCGTCGTAGTCTTCGGCAATCGCGCTAATTTCCTTGCGCAGGCTCCGGGCTTGCGCATTGAGATCGTCCCATTTCTCGATGTCGAAGGCTTTGGACTTGTATAGCATGTTCTGGCGCGCGGTTACAGAGGAGTCGAGAACGGAGGAATAGGAGACTTCGCGGCCTTGGTAAAGGAACCTGCAGCGAGGCCTTGTGGTTAGATAGGCAGCTCCTAGTGACGGGAGGACAAAGATACAGACCATAAGTAGCCGCATATGACTGTCGAGAGACCAGATAAATATGTTATAGGTTCCATTACATCCCTGTCCAAAGAACGATGAGTCGTACATGAATTGCAAGTAGACGTAAATGCGTAAATTTACGCACCAACCATAATCCCAGAATGTGAGACGCGCAACAGCTCCGTAATACGCGATCAGCATCCCAAACCCTCCCAGCGCCATCCGCTTCGCACCCCTCCTGGCCTCACGATCACAATCCCTCTTGAGCTCCTCCATCTTCTTCAACTCCCCCGTGACGAAATCCAGCCTCCGGCGCAGGTACCGCGTGCGGGCCGCGAATGTCGGAACGTGCACCTCGATCATGATTTCCTGACCTCTGCGCCTGCCCGCGTCGGGGACGAGGCAGATCGTGAAATCTGCGTCCTTGGCGGCGTCCTTGATGAAGTCGCCCAAGTCGATCGAGTCGGCCCATTGATACGTCTGTCCGGAGCTCGAGGTGGAGCGGAAGGAGACCATCGGGTCGTCGTTGGGGAGCGAAGCGGCAATGAGTCTGCTAGCGTGCGAGAGGGGCTGGGAGGGGTGTAGGAGCATGACTATGGGTGGGGGGATGTTGTCTTGTTCGGTGGATTCTGGTGGTTCTGGCTGAGGGTTTGGCTTCGTTTCGTAGAACCTGTCAAGGGGAAGGATGAGCTTGAAGAGATGAGATGTCGTTGGCGATAGTTTGCCTGCATGACGAGGTCTGCAAATGAGCACTCCGTATCGTAATGATCGCATAGTACACCATGGGCAGCGTGACGTACCTTTGCCATCCGCAATGGTATCGAAATCGTCTGTGGATGATGATTTCGGGTGGTTAACACCGAGCCCAAGAGCGCCGACGCTGTTGGCGCCGCGATGCCAGTTGGAGTTTGGTTTGGCCTCGGCGAGGAACCGAGAGTGATCCACCTTGAGCTGTTCATCCTCGAGGCTGGGGCTGTTGCCACCTGAGCCGCTGCTGGGGCCGTTTCTGTCTCCCTTGTCGCCTCCGCTAACACTGTGCTGTGACATCCATCGAAAGATATGATGGCCGAGCGGTCGCCGTGCGAGTGATCTGCATTGGGGATAAAGCGTGGGTGTGCGGATGCCTGGGACGAGGCATCGGAAAACGCTCATGAGTCTATGTTGGGTTTAGGGTATGTCAAGAGGAAGAGACGGAAGAGAGAAAAAGAGTGTGTGGTGTCGCTCAGATTCATTCTCGATTGGAACGGCGACGTCATCATGGGATGAGTGGCAGAGTCTAGCCACAGCGGAGGTGGCAGTGCGCGACGCGCTGGATCACCATCACGTGGAATTCGTACCTTTCTCCGAGGACACGACTGCACAACCCCGGAATCTGCACTTGGGCTCTCTTTCGACTTGCCAGTGAGGACTACACGAAGACCCTTCGCCCGGCTCTTGCATACGCTGCGGTCAAGCGAGCCTGGACGAAGAGTTTGTAAGCTGAGCTTTACTTCGTGACCATCTAGTTCTCAGTCCAGCTTCAGGTCAAGATGAGCAGCGACTACAAATCCTCAAAGGAGGCGTTTGTCTCTGGCATGACGGGCTCTAGCGTCGTTCATGTAAATCTGGTCTCTGCGGTCGCTCTGGTGAGTCTTTGCTTGTTCTTGCCCACTTAGGTCAAACATCTAATCTCTCCTAGTGCTCCATTGCCCTTCACTCAGCCATCAGAACGCGATTCCGATGGGCAAAATCCCTACCATTCGTCGTAGAATGGACACTCCTGGTCCTGCCACTGCTTCTATCCATGACAACATTCGCTACCTCGCCGTCAATACTTTCACTCGCCCTCCTGGCTCCGACACTCGCAGTCATATCCACCATCTCCTCACTGCACAGCGGAGCGTCACTTCCTTCGAAAGAGGCGCAGGCTTCATCCTCATCTAAGCAGAGCTTCAGCGAAACTATCTCAGCACCCTTTGAAGTAGCACATCTCCGACAGCTACCTGCTATCACAACTTACCGCGCCCATATGATGCTCATGACTGCCCTCGCAATCCTCGCTGTCGACTTCCCTATATTTCCTCGTGCGCTGGCGAAATGTGAAACATATGGTGTTTCTCTGGTACGTACGAGAAACCTTCTTTTTGCCCTCAGATAACTGACAGGGGTGCATTCACACGTAGATGGACCTTGGCGTAGGCTCATTTGTCTTCTCCCAAGGTGTCGTCTCTGCCATCCGCATCGTCAAGGACCCTACGTCTTTGAAGGGCAATCCGATCCCAAAGTTGAAGGCCGCCTCACGAAAGGTTGCCCCGATCATTGCTCTGGGGTTGGTCCGCGTAGCCCTTGTGAAGAGTACCGAGTATCCTGTACGTTTTCAACTCTTGAGAGATGTATACGAGACCACAACATTGAAGAACCCTTCTAGGAACATGTCACTGAGTACGGCGTGCACTGGAACTTCTTCATTACGATGGCCCTGTTACCCTTTCTTGAAATCCTCCTGCATTACCCTGTCATACATGTCCCTGTGGCGGTGCTGGGGCTCTTGCTAGCAGTCGGTAGGATATTCCACAAGCACCCCATATCTCGGTTATTTACCGGGCTTTGAACAGGTCAGGAGTATTTCCTCTCTGCCATGGAACTCTCCGATTACGTTCTCGATGCGCCTCGAACCAACATCATTGCCGCAAACAAGGAAGGTCTCGCCTCGCTCTTAGGTACGCCTCAGCCTTGGCGCCTTACCTTTATGTCGTGTGTACTAATTCTCATGTCAGGCTACCTCGCAATCCACATCATGGGTCTCTCACTCGGGACTGTCATCTTACCGCCTCAACCATCCTACTTCCGCAAACAACAAGAGGCGCTCGTCCATGACTCCAAGCGGCCCGTTGTTGATCTGTCCGCGCCTCGGCAGAACAGCAAGACGATCACCGAACTCGTCGCGTACTCCGCCATCTGGTGGGCACTGCTTGCTATCGTCACCCTCGGGCTCGACGTCTCGCGTAGGATGGTACGTTTATCTCTCCTTCTTTTTTCGTTCTTGGATGCGAACATGTGCTCACACGGGAACACGATTGCCTAGGCGAACCTGCCATACGTCCTGTGGATTACGGCGTTCAACACGTCGTTCATCCTGGGATACTACCTCCTCGATCTGTACTTTTTCCCCGCGCACACATCAAAGGTGAAAGACCCGACGGACCCGACGGGAAAGACCGTTTTACGAGAGAAGCTGAGCGCTGAGGGGGCGCTTGGAGGGGCGCCAGCGCTGTTTGAGGCCATCAATAAGAACGGGATGGCTGTTTTCCTTCTCGTAAGTGACGCACGCGTTTCATCATGTCATCATGCTCATAATTCAACTCTACATAGGCAAACGTTGCGACAGGTGTCGTCAACCTCTCGTTGCAGACAATGTATGCGTCCGACAGTGTTGCTATGGGTGTCCTATCTGTCTATTCGATAGGCGTTTGTGGTGTCGCTTGGGTCTTTAGAGGGAAGAAACTGCTGTAGCTTACCATACGATTTACAAAATACTTTGCTCCTCGGAATAGGCGCATAATAATTTTCTTGCCCCGACAACCAGAAAACCGAAATAGGAGATAACATATCCCAACTAGGTATGTTGCTGTTACACGAACGACCGAACCTCCGAATCCCGACCCGGCGACATTTTGACTTTCCTCCGCTCGCCGCTGCAGCCTCTGCCCACTACAGCGCGCCCTTGTCCTTTGTCCCGCCTTCTCCTCTTTTCCTTGCGCGTTTCGCGTCTCGAACATTATGATACCGACGCTACCCAACTTTGCGGCAATAACACAGCGCCTGACGCAGTCGCTGCCCTTCAAGCGCGCCCAGCAAGGCCTATTCCACGGCAAGCAGAAGCTCTCGGGCAACAACGTCCCGTTCTCGCTCAAGAAGACGCGCCGCACGTGGCTGCCTAATGTGCAGCACAAGCGGATCCCGTCGGAGGCGCTCGGCGGTGTGCGGGTGAAGGTGACGACGAGGGCTTTGCGATGTATAGAGAAGGTGCGTCTTGCTGCTTCTTCCAAGGGTCCTCTGATATTTATGCGTGTATGCGTCTTATTCACGTGTTTCTCATGCTTTGTGAACGCGTATCCAGCACGGTGGTCTTGATAACTACCTCCTCAACACCAAGTGCGAGCTCCTCGGTATCGAAGGCATGCGTCTCCGCCTGCTAGTGCGCGAGCGCGCCGCCGAGCAGCGCCGCGTTGCGCATGAGGCCAAGGCCAAGGAGGTAAATGAGGAAGAGAAGGATCTGCGTGCGGCGCAGGCGGTTGTGCGTGAGGAGAAGCGGCAGCAGCAGAAGCTCGCGAAGCGCCGTGAGCGGGAGAGTGAGCTCGCGGTCAGCGAGGGTATCCTTGGCTCGAGCTCGAATGCACCATCGAAGAAGGCGAACGTGGCGGTTGAGGAGGTCCCCGAGGTACAGGTGGAGGTCCAGGAGGACATCGTGTCGGAGGCGAAGGCGCAGACGCAGACGCAGACGCAGGAGCCGGATGTAGACACGGCGGCGCTGAAGGAAGAGGAGGAAAATGCACGGGCAGAGCGCAGGAAACAGAAGAAGCAGTCGGCGAGCCGCGGTCTCTTCGACTAGACTTCCATTCATTGTGAGTATCGCCTATTGTCTGAGGACGCGTCTAACGGTTGTCGCTAACGGATACCACAGACATACTATATTGCTGCTCTTTAGACAACCTAATTGCCCAGACATTTGAATCACGGGCTTGCTCTCGCTCGTGGATGCACCAGACTATGCCCTGTTTCTCCGTACGCTCCTCAGAGTTTCTTGAAGGGAGGCCATCTCGTGCTTATCATATGACTGGTAGAGTAATACCCTGTCATGTCACTCTAGTTCTGTCCTTCAACGGACGGCGTCAGTCAATCCATCAGATGCTCGTCACATATGGACTGTACAATCATCGTCACAACCGAGATGATCGTTGACACTCTTCACGTCGAGTCAGGCGCTGGATAGATTGTCGTGAAATGGTCCGTCCGTAGGTTTGAGTGTATGGATTCTCAACGTTCAACGTTCAGCCTTCACCGGTCACTGGCCCCTTTAAGCCAGTCTTGGTCTCGGAGTGCCCCAACTGTGGTTTATCATCTCATTTTTTGGCATCAGCCTCAAAAATAGTAAACGGATCGTCTGTGAGCGAATGCAAGCTATGACGGTATGGCTAGTATAATTCCTTCTTCCTGTATCTCGTTAACAACAGCTTACTGAGGATCCTTGGTTTTAAGCGCGGGCAGCGCAGGAACCAGTTCTTTCCAGCGATCATCGTCGTCGTATCCCAACTCGTCCATCTCCTCGGAGTCCGCAAGCCTGTAGACGTCCACCTCATCAGCGGTGAACACAGATCGAAGCGTACTGTACTCACCACGCTCCATTAGTGAGCCACATCGAAGGATGTCCGCCCCTACAGCGCATGTCCTGGAAACGGTTTCTGTAGTGATCACGTCGCTCAGCTACTGTATAATAGCTCATCGTGTCCTCTGTATCATTCGAAGACCAACAACGCATGGAGACGTCCACGGGCTGCAGCGCAGAGAAATCGGCATCGGGGGATTCACGTATACATGCTAGGATGCTGTCCAACGTTGTGCCCCCGGGAAACACCAAGAAGCATCTCGCTTCGCTGTCGGCATTGTGCAGAAAGTAGAGGCCGCCCTTCGACAGCAACAGACGACCGTGATATGGACTGCTGTCGTAGAGAATAAGATGGGCCCGACCGAGATACTCAAAGGTGTGTGAGAGCTCGAAGGAAAGGTCCTCACGGAAAGGAACGTTTTCGCATCGATGACTGAAACGACGCAAAGGTTCTCGGTTCCTCCAGTTTTCTGGTAAGGAATCGAGCTCAGATGGTTCGATGGGTAGGATACGATCGGGGAAGAGCAGATCCTCTTCGTATGCCTTCATACTCATACCAACCGGCCGAGTATAGGGAGACGGAACGACGTTAAGTGGCACTGAAGACTAAAGGTGGGGTCAGGGTGTGCTTTGTATCGCTTAACCCAATAGCACCTACGGTTGTTACTAGCCTAGATGTGTCATCGATCAGATCTCAGAGTTGATGGCACGCACTCGCCCTCAAACAGAGACTCGAGCGAAGTTCAGACGAGGTCTACTATAGCGAGCTCCCTAGCTAAGTCTCCGATGACCATACTCCCTAGAGCGTCGTCAGTCTATCTGGGGGAAAAGGAAAAGACCAGGAAGTTCTTCCTGGTGTTTTAGTGTCGGTCCAGGAACAGGCGTAGGCAATAGGTCTAGGAACTTGATGCATGGTTGAGGGAACTTGTGGATGTACAATGCGTGGCCACCGGAGGCTCCTGTCATGAACGATGTTGCACCAACGGAGCTAGCGAGAACCATGGGATTCGTGAACTTATACTCAACTGCAGGTGCGTGCTCTTGACAGCGAGTCAGAGTCAACTAGGCAACGGCGCCTATATCTGTGTTTGAATACTCTTCGTCTACCGGTACGACTGACCGCATCCAAGATAGTTCTGAGGACGCTGGAGAGTGACCGAGAAATGATGCAATGGACTGTGACGCAAGCGCACGTCCGAGTCCGTTGTTGAAGGACACTTCCTCCACTTCGCCACTCATTTTGTAGGTAAAGGCAGTGTCCTACATAGTACGGGGGGCTTGTCGGGTGAAGGAAAGGTGTATAGCTTGACGTCAATGACTCCGACAGCGATAATCATATCGTTCCATATGCAAGCTTTGGTCCGGTTTCCCTAAGTTTCAGAACAATTTCATATTAGATTTCGGATATAAAGCAAGAGCAAGTCTAAAAATAGCTGTTCGGAACGGCTCCCAAGAGCTGACACTTGCCTTCCTTCATATAAACAACGTGAGGAATGGCGACGTTGTCCTTGACACCGCACAAGACGAGATCATCATGAAGTAGCATCACTTCGCTGTAGCCATTGATAACTCTAGTCGTGCCAAAGTTATGACTACCTTTCATCTCATGTAGAGACAGCATTTGAAGCTGCGGAGTCCTATTCTCTTATTTAGCAGCCATCGAAAGAAGGAAAGGAAACGTACTTCGTGTCAACTGCCACTACCGCGCGAAGTTGGCCGTCTCGGACATCTGCTTCTCCGCTGGTGATTGGACCTGCAAAATAACATCTGGTGAGTGGGTTAAACTCTTCGTTTCCCGCTATGGATATGTCGTATATCTCGAGGCTGCTGTAAACTGTCGGCGTCCATAGAAGCCACAAGAAGCCAGCGTGGCTCGATTAGCCGGAGCCATGTAACCAACCGCGGTAGATTCCATCGTACAACATGTCGCGCCCTGAGACTTTCATGTGCCCATGCATCGCAAAGGAAAGCAGAATGACAGGATAACGCTTCAACTTGCTTGGACGTTAGGCCCTCAAGTTTCTGAAGTAAACAAGGGAGAGGGGCATTCCTGGTTTCCACTAGGCGCTGTAGCAAAACGAACCACAACTGCTTGTCATGCGTTGCGTCGTACAACGTTCTACAGATCTATCGAAAGGCACTTGATCGAGTTCACAGACGCGATGGCTTGATAGATCGTACCAAACGCAAGGTCAGAGCTGTTCGGATTCCTGTGTGCTGGACTATGAGGATCGGAAGCTCCTGTGGGACGCTGATGAGCGACATGATCTATGCCACTAGAAAGAGATTGAAAGGGTAAACTGGTGATATCACGAAATCCTCGCGGACTTAAGCCCATCACTTGATACACTAGTACTGGTACTGAGCTTAGGGCTAAGGCAAGGGGTATTGAGCCAAGGAGATCAAGATACGCGGCGTTCGCGAAACTAGGGTCCGTGGGAAGATCAGACACTTCGGATAGCCTCCTCGGCTGCTTCGGTCAAGCCGTCACTCGACCTATAGAACCTAGTAGCAAGGGCCCTTCCATTATCGAAAATTCAAAAGCCTAGTCGACGGGCTAACTCAGAGTAGCACCTTCGTGACAAGCCCGATAAGAAGATGTGGAGCTGTTCACCAATACAGGCATGGGTCTCCCCCTGCATCGCACCCAAAGCCAAACTTAAATTATTGAACGAGGAAGAGAAGTAGCTTCGCGCAGCGTAGGCGGCTGTGCGCGTGGAATAATATCAACAGAAGGTCGAGAAGTGCTGTGAACGGTGGAGCGAGTGCGCAGTCAGCGAGGGAATCCCCGGCTCTCACTCAAGTAGCGAAGAAGACGAGCACACCGGCGGAGTTCGATGCCCTTACTGACATAGGCAGAAAGAGCAGACGTAAGAACCGCAGACCAGCGCAGCATCTCTGAAGCTGAAGGAGGACGAGAAGGCACGGGCAATGGGGAGAGACCATGGAAGACCAGTCGGAAGAGGCAGTTGGCGAGTCGGGGTCTCTTCGGCTACCAGCCTTCAATTTGTTGCGAATCTCGATTATTCAGGACAGCTTCGAGAAATGTCGCTCATAGCTGTCACACATAATGTACATTATAATCGACGCTACCTTGTGACGACTTAGTTGCTGGCACGTTTCTTTGTTTGTTAGAAGGCTGCGTTTGACGATGCAAATACATAGACATTCGATCTCTTCCCACCGTATATGGCCCTACAAACCCTTAGAGGGCATGTTCACCGTGCACCTCGGTCAAAACGCAAGTTACTGGTATATAGCACTATTCACGGATTCCGACTTCTAACGCACGGTGGTAAGTGAATTGCTGAAGAGTTGGCGTCCTGCTAGAGCTCTGAACAAGCCTAAGCTCGGTCTGAATAGTAGCCGACGTGGCCTTTGACACCCGTCACGCCTGCGTGGAGTCAGAGATTCTACCATGATATTCAGGTCATCGACAAACTATCATTCATCGAGAAGATATCAATATAATTCACAACCTTTTGTGCGCAAGGAACACCATTACAACCTCGCTAGAACAGAACCGTCTCCCTGTACTTCGCTCATGGAAACGTCTTGCAGAGGAATAGCATTCCTCAGCGCAGGCAACGCAGGAACTTGGGCCTTCCAACGGCCTTCCTTATCATTTCGTACTTCACCTATCTCCTCGTCTTCCGCAAGCCTGTAAGGCCGTCGATGTCAGTGCCATGTTTTGTTTGGTCTATGTGGTACTCGCCAGATTCCGTTAGTGAGCCACATCGATGGACAACCTCCCCTAGACCGCATGTCCTCAAACCGATTTCTAGAGTGATCGCGTCGTTCTGCCACCGCAAATCCGCTCATGTTGTCCTCTTTGTCTATGGTTGTCCAAGAACGCATAATGACCTCCTCGAGATCGAGTATGGAGAAGTCGGTATGGGGAGATTCGCGAATACAAGCTAGGATGCTGTTCAGAGTAGTACCTCCTGGGAACACGAAGAAGTTATCTGCCTGGTAGCCGCCCTCATGCAGGAAGTAGAGGCCCCCCTTGGATAAAAGCGTACGATGGATCATGCTGTCGTAGAGAATGAGGTGCGCCCGACCAATGTATTCGAACGTGTGGGACAGCTCGAAAGACAAGTCTTCGCGAAAGGGTACGTCTTCGCATCGATGGATGAGACAACGCAGAGGTCCTTGATCTCTCCAGTTCTCTGGCAACGAGTCGAGTTCAGAAGACTCGATTGATGCAATGTGGTCTGAGATTAACAGTTCCTCATAAACCTCGGTGCACATATCGACCGACCAATTCCAAGGCGATGGAACAACGTCAATTGGAATTCGGGACTGAAGACTGAGTTAGCGCTTGTTATAAAATGGCTCATCTGCGGAGACCTACTGTCGGTACCAGCCCAGATGTGCCATCGTTCGAAGTTGATGGCACGCGCTCGCCCTCGAACACGGACTCGAGCGAAGTTCCGACGAGGTCGACTATAGCTAGCTCCCCAGCCAGGTTACCGATGACTACAATCCCCAGAGCGTCGTCATAATCTATCTGCGGAAAAGAGGACAGACTGGGTAGTGCGTCATGACACTCCAAGGTGGGCCCAAGAACAGGCTCCGGAAAGAGGCTTAGAAATTGAATGCAAGATTCAGACGTCATATGAACATACAACGCCCGATACCCAGAGCCTCCTGTTGTGAAAGATGTTGTATCGAAGGAGTTGGCGAAAGCCCTAGGCTCGGTCAACTCGTACTCGGCTATTGGCTCCGGATCTTGGCAGCGACTCAAAGTCAACTGGGCGATGTTACCTAGGTCGGGAGTTTCATTAGCATCTTCCGGTACTACGACTGGTCTTATCCAAGAGAGTCCTGTGCACAATGAAGAGCGACTGAAAGGCGCTGAAAACGATGGTGCGTGTCCAGTGCTGAATGACACTTCTTCGAGTTCACCGCTCATGGAGATAGGCAAAAGCAGTGTCTGGCATAGCACAGGAGGTTTTTCGGATGAGGGAAGATTGTATAGTTTGACGTCGATGACCCCGACAGTGACGATCATACCGTTCCATATACAAGCTTTTTTCCGGGTTCCCTTTGGATATTAGTGAACATATGCTTCTCAAACGATTTTAAAGCGAGTAAGCCATACCTTGTTATCAGGAACGGTTTCTAAACGATGGGAGTGATTGGAATCCAAACAGACGACATGCGGAGTAGCGATGTTGTCCTTAATGCCACAAACGACGATATCCTCATAAAGCAACATTACTTCGCCGTAGCCAGTCAGAGTTATGGCCTTGGCAAAACAATGAACGCCTTCCATCTCGTGGAGCAACATGACTTGCAGCTGCGGAACCCTGATATCATTAGAGCGCGTCAAGAAGGGAATAGCGACCCATACCTCGCGTCAACTGCTACCGCCGCGCGAAGCTGACCGTTTCGAATATCTGCCTCTCCACTGGTGATTGGCCCTGAGAGATAGCATCCGGCGAGAGGCCCGAAGATTCCTTTCCCAGTCGCGGAAATGTCGTAGACTTCCAAACGGCTGCACATCGTATCCATAGAAGCCACAAGAAGCCATCGGCCCTCGACCAGCTTGAGCCACGTAACTGAACGCGGTAGATCGGATCGGATAATGTGACGCGCCGTGAGGCTGTTATGCGCCCATGCATCGCAAAGATAAGCAGAACGACAGGCAAGAGCTTGAACTTGCTGTGAAGTGAGACTATTGAATTTTTGGAGTAAGCAATGTAAAGGGGCGTTTTTGCTGTGAACCAAGCGCTGCAAGAAAATGAGCCATAACTGTTTATCCTGAGTCGCATTGTATAACGCTCTGCAAGTCTGCCGTCGTCCATTTGAGTGGGCGCACCACAGTGACTTGACAGTTTTCTTGCCTTTTGTAAGGATAGAATCGTTTGAATGTCGGTGTGCTGAACTATGAGAACTAGAAGCTCATGCGGTACGTTGATGAGAGACATTTTTGGCGGTAAGGCAGAGCTGCGAGATGGAGTTACAAGATGAGACTGCGTGGTGATTTCAAGAGTAAGATTGAAAAGTATAACCAACAAAACATGCGTCGAGGATGGTCTTAGTCCACGCGGACAGCGAGTGAGGGGAGAAGAACAAGGCAAAACCAACCGATTGCGTGACCGCAGTCCGTAACGCGTAAAGTCTCAGACCGTGGGAAGATCATCAGCCACCGGAGTTGCGAAACAGGCTAACAGAGTGAAAAGTCTGGCAACGCATCTATGGGCAGGACGTAATGATAGGAGTACAACTTCATTAGGATGAGGTGAATAACGGAGCATGGATCAGTGACATAATAACGTTGCTACTTATGATGAAAAATACTATGGATTACACCGAGCATCCGTATCTTGTAAGCCTTTGATCCTGTGACTTGTATTGCAGGGGACCGGAGGATTAAATTCGTTGAACGACCCTCATCATGAGAAAGCATCCCAAACTTGGCCGAAGACTGGTATCATATGCTTTGACACACGATGTTAAGCAACGGGACTTTGAGGCCTGGGGGAATATCACTTTCAAAAGGATTCAGACCGTGCGAGTGTATTCGGAGGGAGCGAAAATGGAACAAACAAAGCAGTAGTAGTTATGAGTTTGTTTTAATCTAACCCATAGTGAAACATTACGCAGTTTGTTTCACATGACAAAGAGATGGCAGACTGAGCACGAACGCATTTCTGCACATCTCAGGCAAAGCTGTGCATACGCTGTTGGGTCCATTATGATGACAGACATGAGGACACCTACGGTAGGTGCCTTCGGGCCTAACTAGATGACCCGTAGTTCGGAGGGCAGTTCTGCCACGCCAAGCTAGCGGACCCACTCCGCATGTAGCATATTCTAGCCGAAAGACATTCTTCATCGCATTCAGACGCTGCCGCCGAGCTTTTGCTCTGATACGTGCTAAAAAGCTACAAGGTCATGTTCAGGTTAGACTTGTAAGTTCGAGAGATACAGACTGCCTACTTTAGCAAGCGATGAGTTGTTCTCCATTTCTTTAAACATCATCGTAAGGAAAAGACAATGGTGCATGATGAGGCAGTCTCACGTTCGGTTACGAGGTGCCACCATGTAGCGTTCAGAGGAGCGTCCTCGGGCCAATCGATATCGCCTCCATATGCTTCACGAGCGCTGTACTCGAAGAAATATGATGGGCCGTACTCGAGCTGATCGTCAAGGCTTGGGTATTCATTGACCTTACTCACCCAGCTTGGTTTGTGCATCAGGAAGTGACAATGAACAATGACAGCTTCATCGCTCACGTATATGCGTTGACAATGTCGAATGTCTACGAACACAGAGGTGAGCAAGCCACTTCTCAAGCCAAGACGAACTAGCCCTTTTCTTACCGCAGAATCGACTTCGTAGACACGAAAACCGGAATTCAAGTTGGTGAGCGGAGTAAGAGAAGGGCCAATCTGGTTGACATGTCAAGTGGCATACTGTTTATGATACGGTGACTTTACCCATGAAACAGTTTGAGCCGTTTCTGCACTCATATTGGTCCCGTTGTTGGCGTAAAAAATCTGTGATAGAATGAGATAGATAATTCAATGGCGTGTTCAGACGTACAGAGAACTGGTCTTCATGCGTGTGACCCCAGAAAATGTCTGGAATCAAAGTAAGCTGGAGGTTAATCTGTGGAACGCACTACTAACTCGCGATGACGTGTGGCGAGTAACGATCCACACTACGGAATGTCAACTTAGCACGACTCAGCTCAGGTCTGGTCCCTACATCTGGTAAACTGAAGACACGCCGTCAGCTCTGATACAAGTTGAATCAGGGGTAATGGCACTCACACAAGTTACTCGGGTTGTTGAGAGTGTTGGTCCCATCCCAGCCACTAAGAACGTGACCGATAATCCACACTGGATTTTCTCAGTGCCCAAATGATGGCTGACTATGATAACGACCTTACCTCTCTCCTGAGCATCTTCTGAATCCTGAAGCTCGTCCGCTAAGAAGCGTAGAATTCCGAAAGTATCCGGGTCCGTTGCATTGATGTATGCGAAATAGTTCAGGCTACGTATTGTGTGGGTCAGCCTGATGAAACGGATTATGGGACGGACTCACTTGTACCCTAAAGGTCAAGATTGAAATCAATCAAGCAGATATAAGGCGTATGAATGCGAAGTACATACACAAGTTCGTGTTAAGGGATATGATTTTGAGGCCGTCGGTGCGCTTGACGGAGTACGCCGCATAATGAGTGCGAGCGTACTCTATCGGAGAGCCAGACATCCATCCCTCATGCTCCCACATCTTGGAGATGTGCTCGTAGAGCCTGCGTCCATATCTTATTGCCGCTCACCCACAACCCTTGATTTAGCTTACCAGTTGTATTGCGTGGCTAGAGCGCCACCCATAGAGTACGGAGCTGACTGGAATCTACACGAGTAGATCAGTAGGACATCGAAGGCTATGTTTAATATGACCACTCACTGATCGTATATATCATGGTTTCCGAGTGTAGCATATACGGGTGCCGGGCCAACGTATTTTTTGAGGACGTCGTAGATTACCACCTACACGTATCTTATCCCAGGATTTCATTGACGCAAAAATCATACTTACCTCCACATACTCGACGAATGCTCTGATGATTTTATGAGCTCAACGCGGCAAAACAACGATGAGGGTGTAAATGATACCTGGAGTACTGGTTTTCAGGATCATGAGGCGTGATATCTCCGGTAAACAATGAGAAGTTAAATCCTCCTTCCTCCGTTCCGGTAAGAGGTGGAATCGCCTCCATGGCAGACAAGAGTAAAGAATATGGTGTGTCGCTAATTCCACGTCTAATTCAGCTCAGGAAGAGGAATATGTCAGTTAGCCCCTCACCAAAGGTACGCTCCGAATCGAGGTGCTGGGAAAAGTACTGTCTGAGGACTGTCAGTAATGTTGACGTTCTTGCGACAACAGAGGTTATCTGTGCAGTTTGCCTCAGCTCCAGTGGCGTAACCTGTCGCCAAAACCGTTAGTTTGGCTTGAGTAACGGGAAATTGGAAGAAACGAACGCGGGTCAAGGTGCAGGTCTGAAACGTGGAGAACCTTCAGCAACTTTCCGCTTGGCTGTTTCGGGGGAGGAAGCGGGTCTGGTTTTGGTTTCGCGAAGTATCCTGTCATATTGAGTGGGGAGGTCGGAGGCATAGGACATAGACTGAGGAACCACCAGCATAACAGCTACACAGCCAAGTTCAGCCATGAAAACATACGATCAAGGATATGGAGCACTCGCCTGTCCATCGTAGCCCCCCAAGTTTCCGTACGAAGCTACCTGAGTTAGGACAGGACCGTAGGCGGTCCAGTCGTACTGCTGTTGACAATTCGGGGCGAAGCCAAAGTGCTCGCAGATCGCCACTGCCAGGTTCGGCCCTTGCTCCGGAGCGGCAAGTGCCAAAAACTTGGCGACCTCGAGCCCTGCTTGGCACTGAGCGCACGTGTTGTTTCCAAACGCAGGGTTCTTCGCTATGACCTTGATCTGCTCGATTGCTTGTTCGAGCAGCGTCGTGCTGGAAGCGGCCGGAGGGAATGTGTGCGGGTCCCATGTGTCGTTCTATGGCGTCGTGAGCTCACACGGTACAGTCGAGATAAAATGAAACACAACTTTCGGAAAGTCGTTCGGATCGGTCAGAACCAGGGGGAACACTTTATGCTGGATGTTTCAATCACAGCAGTAAGTAACTTATGTCGACTCGTCAATGTTCGGGGCAGACGTACCGTCACTGGATCGGAGATGACTGGCTGTACCTGCGCGGACGTCGCAGTGGGAGAGTTATAGTAGGATGCATATGCAGATGTGGGGAAAGCGCCCGCTGCCGTGTAAGTCGACGGCACAATCCCGGTATCCGCCCCTGAGACAGAGCCTATGCCAACCGCAGCGAGCGCAGCACACAATAAACGCCACATCGGGGTGGTCGCCAGGAGGAAAATACGAGTGCACGGATCGACGGGCTTGAAACCGAGTAGCATTACGCTTTATCTGCTGCAGCGGGCGTCAACGTTCTTGGGGGGAGCGTATGTCCCGCTCTTAAATTACACCAGCTTCTGGTCAGGAGATCGCGAACACGCGCGTGCGAGAAACGTGCATGTACTCATTGGACAATCAATCTACGAGAAGCTTGCTATCGCGCGGCCCGGGTTGGTGAACGCGAGTAGAAAGTGATTGAACAGCTAGATCGGACCTGGCAGCGTGGATACACAGTAAAAATACACCAAAGGGTTGATCGGAAGTTTCCGATGAAATTTATCCCGTAGATATCTGTTATAACTGAAAATCGGCGTGTTATTTAGGTGGGGAAAAGAACGATGGAAAGGCTTACTTTCAATACGCTCAGTTTCGTCCACGCTGAGAGTGTTGTTGAGAGCAACAACGGAAGGCAACACTGACGCGTGCGCGTGAACCTGGAGTTCTCGGTGTTTTCCGGAAAACATCCTCCGCGAGTAGTCCGATGCTGTCCGAAGGTCACTAAGCGTCGTCGATGTTATTCGTAGACAAACATCTATCCAAGGACCCCAAGTTTAATAAAAGATGAACACCTCCAAGCTGACCCGCCACGACGTTATGCAAAACCAACTGCTGCCGTAATAATCTATTGAGTATAGGCTGTGACGACCTGAAGAGAAACGAACCAAGGAAAGAAAGAAACCAAAGAAAGAAAGAAGGAAAGAAAGAAAGAAATCCACAAAAAGAACGAAAGCAAAATGGGAGCAATTAGGGTAAGAGAATCCGCGAGAATTAAAGCCAAGAAAGAGTGAGATACGGTAATCGATGCCGTGTATGCATGCTGAGTTTGAGTATGTATGCGTGATAGTTTATGTTCCTCTAGATATCCACATTGAGTTTCGTTAGACGGTGCGTAGCGTAGAGTAGGTCAGACGGCCGGGGACCAGGGGTATCGTCTGGCGCGTCATGTTCATGACAGTGGAACCAGGAATTGATGCGGACCCTCCGAGAAATCAGGTGAGCGAAGGCGGAGCCAGGGACTGCGTAGATGGCCTTGAAGGCGGCATCGAGATACTGGGCGTCTGGACGTGGATGCTCGGCGTCGAGCTCTCCAGCGCGGTCCCATTCTGGCGGAGCATCTTCCGCCACCACGGCCGCTTGCCCACGTTCTCCTCTCCTCCCCCGTTCTCGCGCTGACCACCATAGATACTGAGCTCGTCGAGCTCGCCCGGCGCCGGCTTGCGCCGGCGCAGCGACGACGGCGGGCGCTGCCCGCTTGTGCTCGTCCGGCTCGTGCTCGTGCGCGCGGTGTGGAACGAGCTCGCGTCGTCCGCGGGGAACAGCGCCGAGAGCGCGTCTTCGGATCTGTTACGCACCATCCACCACCGGCGCCGGCGGTCGCCCTCGCCGGGGCCGAGTCTATCCCCGACGGCGTCATCGTTGTCGTCCGCGTCGTACGTGAGATCCTCGGCGGACGCCGCGAATCGCCACCTTGCCTTCTCGTGCTCGTCCATGATCTCCGCGTCCTCAAGCGCGCTTCCCGTCCCTCCGTCCCCATCTGCATCCCCGCCTACACCAAGACCCGCGCCGTCGTTGTTGACGCTAACAACACTGCGCGCATCCGCACCGTGGAGATCGTCCTCGTCCTCAGACGCGCTCCCGCCAACATAATACGTAAACGGCGACACCGTCGTCCCCGTCGTCGCCACGGGATTAAACAGCGCATCCACGAGCCGCTCCGTCGCTCTCACGCCATGCACCTCAGGCAACCTCGACAGATCAAACGGCCGCGTGCGCACCGCATTCCCATGCGCATCGCGCTGCTGCTTTCGTCGCTTCTTCTTCCTCCGCTGCGCACGCACGTCCTTGCTCCACTCGCCCAGGCCGCCCCAGAACGCGCTGCCGCCTGTCTTGTCTTTGCCGCCTGCCGGCGAGGGATGACCGAGCTCGCCAAACGACGCGAACGCCGATTTGGACGGGGTGCCTCCCCCGCCGGAAGAGGCCGACAGGGACTCCCCGTCCGAGGACGAGCATGCGCCGCCGGTGCTGCCGACGTAGATGTCGCGCGGGCGCGTGCGGTACACGTCGTTGTCGAGCAGCCCCGCGACTCCACCGAGGATCTCGCCCTTGGGCAGCGGCGGCGCGACATACGCGGTCTCGCCGCCGATGTGCTCGAGCTGGATGGTTACCTGGGAGGGAGGGAGCAAGTCAGTGTGGTGTAAGGCAGGGGAATGGGGGCGCCGATAACGCACCTTGAGCACGGCGTTGGTCTTGCTCTGCCTGAGCAGGTACCGGCGCGTAACGCTCCCCGCGTCGACGTACTGCGCAAGGTTGAGGGTGATAGCGCCAAGCCGCGGATTAGAAGGCGCATTCGGGTCACCGGGGACGACGCGCTGCAGTAACAAATATCACGAGTCAATCATCGTGTGGCGGAGCGAAGAGCACCGAGAATTATCCATTCTTACCTGCATAACAACAAACCGCGCCTCGCAGTCCGCCAACTCGCCCACCTCCTTCTCTTCCTTTCCTTTGCCCTTGTCCTTGGCCTTGACCTTATCCTCCCTCTCTTTGCCTTTGTCCTTCCCCTTCTTAACCCCCATCTGCAAGACAAAGTTCAGCGTCTGCTCCCACTCGACTGCGTGGTCCTTCAAGGGCCCGAACAGCGTATGTCCTTTCGCACTCGCGAATTCCTCAAGGGACGGCGCGCTCGTGACGAGCGACGGCTTGTCTGAGTTCTGTGCTCCCCCTCTAGTAGCTGTTGGAAAAAAATCGGCCGCAAGAGCAAGCACGGACGAGTCGAGCGACGCGGCAGTGGCGCTCCTCGGTGCGCCCGGATAGAGGTGGCGCAGATTGCGGAACCCAGGCGTGCTTCCGGGTGTATGAGAAGAGGCAGCGGACGACGATGTCGCGCTGCTTGCAGTCCTCTGTGTGCTGACGGTGTGCAGCGAGGACGGCGGACGGTAAGGATGAGAATTCGGCGCGGATATTGGGCTGCTCGCGGAGACGACGACGGAGGGAATGGACATGAACGGGCTGGGATCTCCGGGCCCCTGCCCATGCCCTTGTCCGTACGAGTTTGACGTCGAGCGCGTGCTAGTCGACGCTGCGATACTGTGCGCATCCGACATCGACGGCGAGCCTCCCCGCTCGTGTTCGTCGTGGTGGCGCCCGGGCCCCGGTTCAAGCTCGCGCATACTCATCCCATCTGACGAGCTCCCGCGCGGCGACACCTGCCCCAACCCCGCATCCGCCGCATCCTCGCCCTCTTCCTCTCCTAACGCGTTCTCCTCGATCGTCACCTGCCCCGCAGGGGCAGTCGCGCTCTTCTTCAGCGTCCGCTTCGGCTTCCCGAAGCCAGCCTTGGACGGGTTGGTGACGCCCTTGACGCGCCACCGCACGCCGAATTCACCGCTCACGAGCGGGACGCTGGACAGTTGGTGAATGTTCACACGAGCGAGGAAGAGCGCATGTTTGGGCAGGAGCTGGCCGAGCCCGAAGCGCGGCTTGCTTGACGGCGGCACGTGCGCTGATGAGCCTGTGGGAAGAGGAGGGACAGGCGGAACATGGTAGTCTGAGCTGGGAGCAAGGGTGAAAGCGCGGGGGAGGAACGCGCTCGGCTTGGGTGTCTCGTCCGGGTTGGAGTAGTTGGAGTGGGTCGAACGGTTCGACCTGGTCGAGTGAGAGCTGCTGGGTCTCCTAGCATCACTGGTGTCAGTATTTGGCTTGGACTTGGGCTTCTTGGACGAGGTATCGGTTTGCAGAAGTGTGTGGAACGTGTTCGCGCGGTGACCGGTCGGCCGGATGGTCGACGTGGTCTCTGAGCGAGTGACGGGTGTTTGGTACAGATCGTGTACCGTCGCGTCAGGCCTAGCCGTATCCAGGGACGTAGTCGTAGGTATTGTTGTCAGCGGTAGCGACTGGTCGAGGGGGAGGGAAAGAGGGGCATGAGGGAGGTGCTTGGCGCGGATGGTGGATGAGCGCGGGCGGAGAGCGTGGCCATTGAGCTCAGGGTCGTTCAGGGCGTCTTTGTCGGTGTACAGCTGTTCTGTAACAGTCTGACCGTTCATTGGAGACGTGTGGCACAAAGGAGTACGGTGGTGGATGCGGGCTGGCTGGCTTCAGCGTCATGGGCTTGCGGGAACAAAGGCAGTTGTCGTCGCTGCTGGTATAAGCGTGGGTTGGTCATCATGATAGTCCAATGGGGATGCTTATCTTACCTCGCTGGTCCTCGTTGTTCCTTGCAAGAAACGGTCTAGAGGGAGAAGAGAGAGGACATGGTTGGGATGAGAAGAGCGCGTCGACGGTCAACACTTTCCATTCTGGACGCGGCATCTCATCGGCACATGCCAAATTTATGTCAGAAAGCTCTAAATACAGTTTCATTCCCATGTTATCCCCAACTTTCATAAAACCTTGTAGCCTAACTCTCCCCACAAATTTGCAGCAAACACTATCCAATGCCGTGCTCATAGTACTCAAATAAAATAGAATGTCCCCGTCCAAAAGTCAAACAAAGGAAACGACAAAAGACATCCCCAGCGTTCAGCGCTTGTTCGTCTCCGCCGCAACAACCAAAACCACAACCGCCAAAATGCCCACAAAAACAACCATCCCAATGATCACCGCCCACCGACACCGCTTCACCCACCGATTCACCGGCATCCTCCTCTCCCTGTCCTCGTCGTACAGATCATGCTTCAGCTCCAGCATCGTCCGCGAGCTCGCACCGAGCTCGATAGCCGACGGCGCAACAAACAACCCATATCCTCCATACGGATGCGTAGACGGCGTCGACGACCGCGGCTTCTCTGGAGTCTGACCCTCACTCTGAGCCTGATCCTGAGGTTGCGGCTGCTTCTCCTGCTGCCTCCCCTTTCTCTCCTTCTCCTCTCTCCCCTGCTGCCTCCGCCGGCTCCTCGCCCACCTCGGCAAAACGCCCCCCTGAACGCCCCAATACGCATCCTCCGGCTCAGCGGGGACGAGCCACCCGCCCACCAGCCAGCACCACGGCATCACAAATCCCATCCAGAACAGGATACGCGCGACATCGCTATTAGTCCCCGCTCTCGTCTTGCCCTTGCCCTTGCCCTTGCCGCCCTGCGCCCATCCCCAACCTGCGCTCGTGCTCTCGCTGTTGCTATTGTTGGGCGAGTACTTGGGCGGCGGATGCGCTAAGCACCGGCGCGACGCGATGCTGGACGCGACGAGCGTCTCAGCCCTCGAGGACGCGAACAGCGTCGACGAGGCGAACCGGCGGTCGATGAACGACGACGATGCAGACGCAGCCGAACGGCGCGCCTCTTCGCCCGAGCGCGCGGACTGCTCCGACTGCTCGCGGCGGACGGCGTGCACCGAGCCGACCTCCGCGTCGGGCGCGTGCGCGAACGGATCGTGCACGGACAAACGCGACGTCGAGGGCCCGAGCTCGGTGTCTTCGAACTCGAGGAACTCCGGTCCTGGGACGATGTACGGGTAGTTCGACCACGGGATCCTGGCGTGCACAGGCTCCGGCGGCTTTGGGAAGGAGCGCAGCGTCTCGTTGATGTCGATGCCCAGCGACGACGACGGGCTCACATCCTCCCTGTCCTTGACCTGACCCCCACCCCCGTCCCCTCCCAACTCAACGCCCAACACTCCACCCATCCCCACTCCCACTCCCGCTCCTACAACTCCCTCCACCCTCTCCCTCTCCCTCCCCTTCCCCCTAACCACATTCTCCTCCTCACTCCTCCCCCACGGACTCCTCGGACTAGCCCCATCATACGCCGTCGCAAAACTCTCCGCCTTCCCCGAACTCGGCCACGACTCCCTCCCCGTCCCAGCCGTAGCCGGCCCCGCAACCCGTGGCCACGCCTCCGTCTCCACACGCGGCCGCCGCGTACTCGACGGCGAGGACACCGCCTCTCCCGCGCGAACAGGCGAGGCCACAGGGATGCGCAGCGTGTGCAGAGGGCCGGGGAACTCCGGGCGCAGGTCGATGGGCGGGATGACGGGCGGCGTCGCCGACGACATGCGCGAGGCGCCGCCGAGCGTGTGCGTCGAAAGCGGAAGAGAACGCGTCGAAGAAAGACTGTGCGAGCGGTTGAGCGGGCGGGAGAGGAACGTCGACTTCGTGGACCGGACGGGGGACGGCGCCGGGGCTGTGAGCGCGGTGAATCCTGCAGTTCCATCGTCAGCGAGCACACAAAGGAAGGAGAGAACGAAACAAGCTCACTCGACGCCCCGCTCTCCTTCCTCAGCCGCTCACCCTCGCGCGGCATCGGAACCTGCAGCGGCTGCACACCCGCCATACCCACCGCAACACCCGCAACAGGAAACGGAAACGGGTTCATCGCCGCATTACTCGGCGACGGCACCACCACCGTAACAGGCGACACCGGCGACCGCGCGCTCCCACCCGCACTCGTCGCGACACTCGCCCTCGCACCCGCACCCACACTCGCGCCCACACTCGCGCTCGGGCTCATCGCCGCACTCGCCGTACTCGTGAGCGCCACGGGCGACGTGCTCTTGCTCCCGCTCGACGTCGGCGGGAGCGAGACGGGCCGCCGCTCGGGCGAGAGGTAGTCCTGCTCGACGATGGGCGAGAGCTGCGCGGCGAACTCGCCGTACCCGCCCAGCGCGGACGTGCTCTTGGACGAGGTGATGCGCGGGCGCGGTGCGAAGACGTGGGCGTGGTGCAGTGGTGACGGGCTTGCTACCGCCGCCGCAGGTCCCGAACCGGACCCAGAGACAGAGCCGGACGCGGAGGGTCCAGCTGCGCCTAGTGTGACGGTTGGGCTGTGGTCTGGCGGTGGTGGAAAATGCACGGGTAGGGAAAGCGTCGAAGGAGACGGTTTAAGTTTTGGTGTTGTACTCGTGCTCGGGTTGGGATTCGCCGGACCTGCCCCTCCCCCTCCACTCGCACCCGCATTACCGCTTCCAGATGCGGGGGAAGGTATCCACGAGATATTCGACGGCGTCGACGGCGACTCGAGCGAGCTCTGCGATGAGCCGGTCTGCTGGTACCACGACGTGTACGGGTACCGCGGCATGTCCTCCAGGTCGAGCGGCGGGGGCGAGAGCGGGCGTAGGGGCATGTCTGCGGAGTGGAGGCTAGTCGCGATAGGTGTGGATGGCTCTACCACTACAAACTCGTCTTCCTGGCCCTCGCCTTGATCTTTTGACGGTCCAGGTTCTAGACGCGAAAGAGAGGTGGCAGGACGCTGGGATTGGGACTGGGGCTGCGACGTCCGATCAGGATCAGAATCAGAATGGGGCCCATTGGCCTGGCGTAGGCGCTCGTCGCTGGAGCTGTGCACGGCGGTCTCGACCCGTACCTCGAGCTGGGAGTCCCGAACTGATGGGCCCGCCCGCTCCTGTCCATTGCCCTTGTTCTTTTCCTCCTCCTGGTTTTTTCTGGACTTGGTCCGCGAGGACGAGCGGAAGAGGTTGAGGAAGGACGACATGGCGTAGGGCTTTGAGTCGTTCGAGCGGAGTCGGGCGTCTAGTGTGGGCTAGGGCTGTGGAGTGTATCACAGGTTCAACAGGCTACGCAAAGAGGCAGTGGACGTAGACAGAAAGGAGATGCCGGTGATAGTGTAGAGCGTTGGATAGAATAGTGTAGACAGTAAGATGCCGTATAGTGTGTTGAAGCAGAGAGAGAGAAGTCAAAGGACCGGACGCCGCTAGGGTTATAAAGCAGCAGGTGCAATGCGCACTGAGCGAGGACCACGCGAGCTCGCGATATTAATGTCGATGAGGGCGGGCCGATGGAGCAGACCAATTGCGAACAGGGAGGGCTTGTGTGGGTGTACCAGGCCCAGGAGGGTGACAGAGCCAGCGGGCGAGGGACATGCGGCTGACTGCACGAGGGAGGCCAACATGCAGACTGGCTGTTGGACCAGAGCACCGCATCCAAGATGCGATTGGAATCCATGACGTTCATGATCGGCGTTCACTTGCAAGAAGTGCTTCATCGTAGCGCAAGATGAGTTGCGTTGGGGCGATGAAGACAAGGATTGGGTGGGTATATGCGCACAAAACGTTGGAGTCAAGTATTGTAAGCGTCTGCCATCGTCCCGAAACAACCGGAAAGGTCGACATGAAACGGTGTTCGGCGTATCACATCTGTGATCCAGTCAAAGATGAGGAAGATTGACTCGTTTGAGGCTGATATGAGCAGCACCGTGGCTGGGTGAAAGAAGCAAGAGGCAAGACGCGACGGACTCGAGGGCACCGCGTCCTCGTGTTCCTCCGCGTGCCGAGGACAGCCTCTTTGGAAGAGGGGTCTTCACTTCAACTTCACTTTCTGTAAGTCGGGGTGAAGGGTAAACAAAGGGCTCAACTCTATTCGAGTCCTTCTATGACAATCGAGTGCCCTGGTCCCGCATCACATGAGAACATTCACGAATTTCCGACTTGTTGAGTTAGCAACGAACACGATGACAGTAATGTAACGTACGACAAGACAAATCATAAATAGTATACACACGTATATGCGCACGGACAGGGTATCGTCGTATATCGTAAGCATGTACATTACCGATGTAAAGCCTCTACGGCCATTAGATCCATCTAACCCTCCTTCCATTTTCCATGCATCCCTTCAAACCTTCAACCCTTCATTTCATCCGCCATGCGCACGCCTGACCCATCCAGCCGATGCAAGCGGAGATGCAAGGTGATATAAAGCATCGCGGGTAGGTGCATTATGCCTCCTGCTCGGCGGCCACCTGCGTTGCGGATGGTGTATCAGCCTTGACGACATCCTCTGGGAGCGACGTGGCAGCCACGGCGGGCTTGACAGCGGCTTCTGCAGCGGCGGTGTCGCTCTCCTGCACCTGAACATCCTCTTCATCGACCTTCGTAGACGCAACAGACTCCCCGTCGACGTCCTTCGACTCCGACACCTTCTCCTCTGCAACGATTTTCTCAGGCTCCTCGACTACAACAGCGGTTTCCTTGACCTCTTCTGCTCCTTCTGCGCTAGAATCTGTCACCATAGGTGTAGGCTCGGAGTCTGCGATGGGTGCGTCTTCCGTAGGCTCGGTTGCATCTGTGCTGGAGCCAGCAACAGCAACGACAGGGGCCGCATCCTGCAGCTCGACTTCCTTGACACCCTCCGTGACCTCCTTAACGTCCTCGCCATCCTTGCGCTCCTCGATAGGGCTGAGGTCGGGGGGCAGCGCAACGCTCGCAGGGTCAACCAAAGTGGACTCAGGGCGCGAACGCTTCATGGACATGGACGCGCGGGGCTCTGCCTCGTCGTCGTCTGCACGACGTTTGCGGCCGACGGTGGGCGCATTGGAGGTGGCTGCATGCGCAGAGGCAGACAGAGAGAAGAAAAGGGGGTCAGAATGCGCTCATGACTAGCCACTGAGGAAAGCCAGGACGCTACAACTCACCATCTTCGGGGAACGGACGATCGGGACGTGGCAAAAAGGAGCCAGAGACGCGGCGGAAGAGTTTGAACATTCTTGTGTCGTGTAGCGTTAGACGATTACGAGTGTGTGAGTAGCAGAGGAATTAGATGGCCGGAGAGATAGTATGTGGTGAGTGTAGAGAAAAGCAAGAGGGGGACTGTTTTGGACGTTGGTGGGAGACAGGAGCAGTCAGGAGGACAGCTGGAAGCGCGCGCCGACGCGACCGACCCCAGCCGCATGCCACGAGCTCCTGCCACCCCATCACCCGCCGTCCAATGGGGGAACTATTTTTTTTTCCTCCGGAAATTACTTTCGTGATGTGTATCCATGTTTGCGCTCCCCCAATTTCGCCCCTTGCAACCTTGCCCCACTGATCGATTGATCGTTTATCGTCTTGTTTGACACGTTCGTCACGTACCGGAGCTCAGCTAGTACGTTAACATCTTCTGCTCAGTGCACACTTTGGGAGACTATGGGTACCGTGGGGTACTGGTCCTTAAAGTGACTGCAACAAGATCTAACGACGCTGACAGCACATCATGACCTCTCCTGCTCCTCGAACGCACCCTTATAGGCCAAATTGCTCAAAGAATCTGCTGTAAAAGATGCGTCTTTGGCGCCAGCCCCGATATGACAGCTCTGCGCGGACTCAGAACTGACCAAGCTGCTGAACACGCGTGCGTACTCTACATAGCCCGATAGCCATCGTGTCGCGAGTGGCAAGCTTGCGTGTGCGCTCAAAAATGACTCGGGGAGCTTGACCTTTGTGGAAAGCTTGTCGCTTACTATGCCAACCGTCGCATTACTTGGTCCATTGCATACTCATTGAAATATATCAAGCCATTGACAATTCAAGCTACCATTCTTGGTGGAACAACATCTCAAGATGATGCACCATATTCGCATACACTGGAAGCAAGGATACAACGCACAGATCTGGGCCCGGCTCACATTGGATACAAAGTCAAACATCCGTGCCATAAGTGAGTCGCTCCCGCGTGCAACATGCCGCGTTCGTCCTCGTTAATTAACAATGCCCAAGCAGCCTTCAGGCCACTGACTCCGAAACCCACAACGCACTCGGCGTCGCCGTACGGGTATACATGTATGTATTACGCTGACTCGATTTCGAGCTCGCAAATAGCCTACGCGGCATTTTCATCTGCCAGCACCTTTCCAGAATGGCCCGGGGTACCGAGCAGCATATGGCTCGCAGTTTACATCAGTCCTACTATTGATTCTGGTTGAATATATGCGCGTACAGTCATACCCAATCATGCGAAGACGGGCTGCATTATTCGTGAAGCGACAGCTAGTGCACGATCGCGAAATCTATAACGACGTGTAGTATGTAGGCTAATTGTGCATGATCAACGAAAGGAGCGCTCGAAGACCTCTGGTGCCTCTGCCCTTGTAAACTAAGACAACTGAACTTACGGCTGTGCACGACTTAGTACGGGCAAAGCCTGAGGTTGCATAAGAGCTGGAAAACGTCCTGCGTACACAGTCCCGCTGAATTTGCGATGTTATTCATTGCGTATTGATAGACTGACGATATCATTAAGTATCACCATATATGAGGAACTCGTCGTTGCACAAATCCAGTCAGTAGCCCGTGAACGCAGTCATGTACAATTAGACTTCTACAGAAGCTGGGATCTCTACACAAATGGTGGTACTGAGGCTACTATCTGCCGAGAAGCTTCTTCGGAGACAGAAAATCCGGGCGTTATTTCCCGCCATTTGTCGAACCAACTCAACGTGTCATGACACATCCTATACTTGGCAGTATGTGGCCCTCGACCTTCAGGTAAGTCCTTTCTAAACTGGTTGTACCGACCCTGTAGGTATCAATCAGCATGATCTCCAATTTTCCTAAGGTCTCCTACCTGAGAGTTATCATCGTAAGACGTTGACCAATCGTAGTAGAGAATTTCAACTCCACGGAGGTACAAGATCATGGACCGACTTTGGCCGTCAGAGTGCGTCTGGGGATCAAAACACGGACGGAAGACTCGGAAGACCATTCTGTTAGCAAGCACTGACAATTGACTGCCACCACCGAATGACATGGTAGGTCGATGCTGGGGGGGCACCCAGCAGATTCGCCGGGAACCTACAAAAATCCATCCTTCATTCATCGAAAGATTGGACCAAGTATGGACGTCTATGCAAGCAGCTGGAGAGCAGGATGCATCAACTTCAAATTTGGCAGGCGATGAAATGGAAGAGCTTGGCTGACTAGCGCCATTTCCAGACATTGGGAGAACCTTGAGAGTATCTGATTTCCCGCAGCGAATGCCAAGAAGGAAATCGCACACTAGCAGTCTCTTAAGATGAGGTGAACTAAGCAATCCGCTATTTAGATATTGTTGAGGCATTTCGTGGGTGGCTACAAGGACGACGCCGAGTAATCTCTCTCCGTAGTGCCAAAGTGTTGCTTTCTTGTCGTTAGCATACGTCACGAAATTGAGATTGGTTCCGGATCCGATGAACGCTATGTAGACGTTAATTGGTTTTGAGAGAACCGGAAGGTGGACGCGGGTTGTCGATGTGATTAAAACTCCGACGGAGTGAAGTGTGACAACTGCCGGGGTTTCGACGACAGCCAGGTACGTCTCGTCCTCGGAGAACGCAGAAGCATGGGAAAATGTTCCGGAGCACGAATGAATCAATCCCACCAGGCGTCCACTCCTAGCGACCCATAGCCACAGGCGTTCATCGGCAGAGAAATAAAAGTAAGTGGACTTCGGGGAGAACTGTTGTTGTTTGACCGCAGATCTTTTGATTCGTTCTTCGGTAGTAAGCGCGCAAATCTCCTGACCGTGGAGACTATAGATGCGTGTAGCTTGCTGTGATACGTCCCACAAAGCAGAGTCGAATGTAGACTAACAGCGTGTCCCGGGGAAGACCTTGCAAGGATGGCCTGTCTGGTATCTGGGCGAGCGCATAGAAGATTCAAATTATCTTCGCCATGTTTGAGAGGGGGGCTGTGAGAGTTCTGCGCCTGAACGAGGAGCGAGTAAAGATCGATAATGAGTGCTTTGCTGTACACCGACGCTGCCGAAAGAAATTGGCCGTGTCCGCCATGCGACGGGACGTGAATCTGCCTATCTTGAGTATATATGTACTCGCCTATCAGAACGGCATGTATACCATTACTGTCCGAAAGCCTGAGAAGAGCTGTGTCGTCGGCTGCACGATGTAGAGTAGCGTCATGGCCAAGATGTTGGGTGAGCTGTGCTAAATAAGGCATGTTCTCGTTTGACCCATTGGGTCCGATTTGCTCAGCATGAAGAGTAGCGTTTCCTCCGTGCATGAAAGTATGCCAGCTCGGAAATGAAGATCGCTTGTCCTTCTCAAAATGTTTGCGTACGCTGTGGTCCAAAGGATCCAGCAAGTGTGCACCAGTACCCGTGATACACATGAGCAGCCCTTCACAAGAGAAAATAAGTTGGTCGATGATGTCTGATCCGGGAATTATGATTGGAGTCCGGGGTGTCCATACGCGTCTTGTTGTGTTGTACTCAAAAAGATGGACGATAGTATGCGAATCGTTTCTGTGACGAAAAGTGCAACTTGCAAATAGCGAGTCGTCATGGGATAAAGCGCACACAGACTCCAACCACTCCTGTTCATGCCGAGACGCGAGCAGGTCGACAACAGTGTTTGATCGAAAATACCACAAGCAAGCGCGGCCGTTGTGATATTGACAAGCTAGCATGTCTCCATCGTGAGAGAAAGCAACACAGTCCGGAGTCAGGATTGACCCGGGTGAAGCAACGAGGGCGCCAGAAACAGTATCCCAGAGCTGTAAAGCCGTAGAAGACAGGGTAGCCAGCGTAAGGCCATCATGCGAAATTTTGATGCCGGAAACATGCTCGTCCGAGATTGTGCGTATAGTAAAGTCCCAATGACTGTCCAGACCGAGTTCTGCAGACACGGTGCTCTCTTCGCAAGTTTTCTGGTACATGAGTCGAAGAGATGTGTTCAATGGACACATAGGCAGCGCAGACTCGTAAACGTGAAGGGCTGATTCGGATATAGGCTCTGAGAACTTCAGTATAAGGCGCCATGCATCATACATGAGCTGCGTCGCGAGTTCCTGATCATCAAAAGAGCTCCACCCCTATATTTCCTGTGAGACACCGTGAACAGTCAGGGAAGGAAGAATTACTCACTTTTATAGCGCGTCGAGCATCAAGAAGACATCTAGCGGCGACATGCAAGAAGCCCATCAAGGATGATATCTCTATGAAAAAAACAGCTGCTTCTGTAGAAGGTGAAGTACAAGAGCCCGGACTTCGGCATCCGGATTGGTCCTCTCGAGATGATATGGCCAATAGAGACACGCATAATGCAGGGCGCCCGATATCGCCGCATCACCCCTTTGCTCAAAGTCCTCAATTTCAGAATGGAGTTTCGATGTCGGATCCCCAAGGCCACATATATCCTTTTTCAGCTCTCTCTGCATGATCCTGAAGTACGAGCATGCGAGACGTCGGTGCGACTCAGCAGGGTCAACATGGTATTCTTTGGAGCGAGACTTGTCAGCCAAAAAGTCGCGCAATGAGCTATGGTATATCTGAACGGTATCAGTTGACGCCATAGATGGGAGATAGATGACTGCCGAAAGGTTGACAATGCGCTTGTGAACGTCGCAAGCAGCTAGCTTGCAGAGGTTGGACAGGGACAGGGGCTCTGCGAGCGCGATGATATCCGAGAGACACTCAGTCCCAGTCCGAAGGCTCCCAGGTTCGCAATCGGAAAGGATGTAGCGATAGACCGAGTCTATGTTGCCAAGGCTGAGGTCCAAGGGGCGAAGATTACCTTGATACATGTCTGCGAGGGCGTTAATACAGCTGGTGGGGTCTGGTGCGTCATGGACGAGTCTGACTATTGTCGCGGCGATGATGAACTGGCCTCTAACTTGGCTGAGAAGCACGTTGAGAACGACCTCGGGAGGCCACGGTATAGGGTGAGAGAACTCTAGTTCGCGCATCTCATAGATATCCTGAAAGGACTGGCGAAGGAAAATTTCTACATCATGTAGTGCGTCGAAGGACTCGACTTGAAAGGTGGCGACCAAACCCGAGGGACAGATACGCTGCGGGAGAGATTCGAGAGAAGGAAGAGGCCGACTGGTGCAGAGAATGGTAGAGATGGGGATATCGGCATCACGGACGAGATCGGCGAACATAGAAACAAGGAGTCTTATCTTGGGCTCACAACCATTCGTTGTTTTCCCCTCGTCAATTGCGTCGAATATCATCATTCTTCCCGCTTCCCATGCACGACGAAGCTCCCGAAGAGGCGCGACGATAAGGCTTTCAAACTGGCTGCGAAGAGATTTTTTGGGAGAGAGCAACTCGGGATCGTTTCTGATGGCCTTAATGATGACGTCCTTAGCGCGATGATGAAGGAGACCAATCTGGTAAGCAATGGTTGGGAGCACGTAGTCGATGCCGCTTCTGGTGAGATGTTTCCGCGAAAAGAAGAAGGTGGCAGCCAGCCGCTCTTGTGTACGGAGGCGTTCCGCGACGGAATAGGCGATGCTTGACTTTCCAGAGCCCGAGCCTCCAAACAGCCATATAATCTTGCGATCTTCTTGAGTTATTGTTGCATCCAGCTCTCTCAGAAGCTCGACGCGAGTACCTGGGAGACATTGGGAGAATGGGCGACGCTCATTGGAGTCGAACTCCGCCCCTCTGGCCTTTTCGTTAGCCAGTCTTCGCCATATCTCATCTGTTTTTTTGACAGCAGCGTAAGTATATGCGCAGAAAGTAAGAGGAAACGTCAGGCGTACATTTATCAGTCATGGTGAAGGTGGTGATTGAGGGCGTGAATGGATGGCAACGGGAGCCATTTGTACCTTCAACATGCGTCGTACAGCAACTTGGAGTACACCGCCGCGGCGACGAAATGTTGGAATAAGGTTAAGGGATGATTAGCTGAATGCTTTTGGCGGCGGGTTGCGACGCGGTCAGCCGAACCTTGGAAATCGCTTCAGGACGAGATTCCCAAATAGTCGTCAAATAGAGTGTCTTCAGGAATCATTTCGCGGCTGAACGATTTGAGGGACATGTTCTCCGACATCTCATGTAAACCTTGGCAAGCACTTCAGAAAAGCTGCAAGAAAGGTTTAGGCGAGATTTGGACGACATTCGCATAAAGACTGGACTGCCTCACGAAAATGCTGGTTGAGGCTTCAGAACATGTTTCAGAATGATGCGGAACAGATTTTGGTATTATATTCATTGAACCAGATACATAAAAGCAAGTAAATATAGCTGAGCTCAAGTATCCCTGACCCACTAAGCCTTGTTGCGCTTTCTCTTCTTCGAAGACTCCTCCTCGGGTGGGGGCGGCACAACGAGACCGGCATGACGGTTGAGAACACTCTGGAACTCGGAGATCTTGTTGGGAGCGACAACAGTGTGATGAGTGCTGGTGGGATTGCCGTGTTTCTGGACGTCGTTATTATAGATTGCTGTAAAGAACCTGTATGCACAAGTGAGCAACAAACAATGCACGAGGAGGTGGGCAGACGTACGCAGAAAGGTCGGTTGCTGACTGGTATTTGCTTCTCGCAAAGAGGAGCTTCTCGTCGACCTTGATCCAATACTGTTCGCTGGCGTCGGGGTAAGAAGTAGAAACCCACCTCTGTCGAAGATAACAGGACTACATCAGCTCAAAACTATGCTTATACTAATGAAGCACTGACCAAGAACGCAAATCGCATGTAGTGCTGCAGAGTGGCCTTGATCCGAGACGTCCCCAGAGCAGCCATCGTAAGCTCAGCAACATTTTGAGTGGTTGCACCAGGTTCTAATGACTTCTCAACCTGGTACATGATATCTTGGTGTCAAAACGTGTTCACAGAGCACAAACAGATAACACTCACTTGGCCCTTGAGGCTGCATCTAACAGCGTTGAGTGTATTCCTGATACACGTCTCGACCACTCGAAGCTTCGAGATCTCGTGGGGAAGAGGGAGGTCAGGTACATTGAGCTCTCGCATAGCACCCTTCATGGAGGACAGGTTGATATGACGTGCAGAGGATAGCAGAATAAGCACATACCACAATGCACTCAACAACGTTCCCGCGATAGGATGTTGTGGTCGGCGACAGAAGGAAGCAGTGAGCATAGGTCTTGGCAGTCTCCTGCAGTGCTCGTAAAGTTACAGTGGTATGTAGTCATGAAAGGAAATGCCACTCGCCTCGAGCTCCTTGCTCATCTTCCACAAAGCTGCCTTCACAGCAATCTTATCCTCCACCATGAGCATGCGAAGATACAGGAGGATAAGGTGGTGCTGGAGGGTGGGTGCCTTAAGAGGAAAAGATGTCCGATGTCAGAGTAAAACACAGATACAAATCGTAAAAACGCGCCTGACAGAAGATATCGAAGGCATTCTCAGCCTGGGGAGAGAGGTCCACTCCTCGCTTCACTTGCTGACCAAAGTGAACATTGGACTCAACAGTGAAGCTGTCGGGAAGGGAAGTAAAGACAGGAAGGTTTTGGGAGGAAGGGATAGAGAGCTGGCTGGAGATCGAATGAGAGAACCCATCATCTTCGAGTTCAGCCTCGGGCCTGCCATCTTGTGAGCCGTTTTCAATGTGAAGGGAACCATTGCCAGTGGCTGCCAGCCCACGATTGACTTCAGCCATCAATGCGTCCATAGGGTCGAGGGCAATTCCTTGTGAAAGGAGGTTGGGGTCGATAAGAGTGGGAGAGTCTTGCGGCATGAAAGAACGTTGAAGTCGAGAGAGAGGAGAATGGGTGCTGGAGGTACTGCCAATGAAGAGGCATGAGGGGATGAGCAGGGGGTTTAAGAGACATCGGGTGACCAGGGTGGTGGCTCAAAACAAGTCAACTTTGCGTTCTGCAATGTACGCTTGGATGCCAAGTGCAAGGAGAGCAGCCAAAGCTTTGCAGAAGCTTTGGCCCATGTCCGTCGCGTCAAAGCGTGACAGACAGGAGCTTTGACTTCCCAATTTGGATCCTTTGACTTTGCGTCCCGTGGTATCTGTTATTGTGCAGTTCCCCTTCGTGCTCAGAGTCAAAGCAGAGGTCAAAGCGGTCTGATTGGGCATTATAATACCTAAGCTGTTCTCCGAGAGCGCTTTCTGCTTAAACGCCAGCATGCCACCAGCGTCAAAGCCCCTGCCACCAGGTCAGTACATGTCAGCCCCTGAGTCTGCGATGCTTGCCGGACTGCAGCATTCGTCTGAGTCTCTCGCAGCGAAGGGCAAATCCAGTATTTTGCAGTTCTGACTTTTATTGTTATTTATTTTGTAGCATTTGAGGCACATCCTTCCCAGGCTGGGAAGGTGCGCTGTAAAATCTGTGCTCGCTTTTCACCTGACATTCCTTGGATCACCAAAGCAAGCATGAGCAAGCACCTTGACTCGGAAGGGCATGGCAAAGCTGTCACTTGCGCCAGCCAACAGGACTTGACAAGAGCGCAGTACACCACTGCTGCAGACCGATTTTATGGTGTATCTAACGTTGCACAAGCTCATTATTTTCATGGGCACTTGTCGAGTGCTTCGAGACCCAGCATGCATGCAACTGTGCAGCCCACAGTCTCAACCGACGACATCACCACTGAGGAGGTGCACACAAGCCACGATTTTGCATTTGAGCCAGTCATACCTGCATTTATGTCCTAACTTACATCGAACACGGCTTCTCAGCAAGAAGCTATCTCAGAGCAACTGCAACTGCTGGTCATGGAAGCAGAGCATGCAGATGCTGTTGCAGCAGGTCTCATTGATGACGATGATGTTGCACTCTCAAATGTAACTCAGAATTTCCGTGAGATGGGTCAGTCTCTAAATCTGTTCTATCTTACATTCAACCTATTCTTATGCATGCTTAAACCAGACTTGCTGAGGTCTGCATCTGAAGACGATGTTCACCCTCGGTTTGACCCTCATATAACCAAAGATTCGACTTATTCCCCATATCCTAACAAAGTGGTAAGCTCCAGACTTATAGCTCAAGTTTCCTACTCTGAATCTCGCCTCAGACCATGCTTCTGGATATTCTAGATAACTTGCCGCGTTTAAGGATGTCAAGCGCACAGTTCAAATTGATCTTGTGGCTTCTCGAGCAGTGTAACATTCCTGGTGTCCCGTCTTTTGATGCATTCCGTAAGTTTCAGAGTGAGCTTCGGAAACGATGTGGATCAGAACCCCAGCCGTTCACGTCCATGCTGGGAAATCACTTCCATGTGAATAACATCCGCGACTCAGTAGCTCGTGTAAGTACTGCTGTTTTAATTCCTGGATTATCTTTGATAATCACCCTCTAGGACTTTTCTAATCCTGAAATTGCTCAACATCTGCGGTTTTATCCCGAGGATGTTGGCCAAGGACCACTCTCTGAAGTATGGCAGGCCCAACGATGGAAGGAGTTTGATCCCAGCGAGCTCACACCGATGTATTCACGCCATGGAGTTCAGTTCTACATTGGTGAGGTGGCTTTGCTTCGTTCTCAGCAGCCGGTGATCCCTCAAGCATGGGTGATGCGGCAAGGTCAGCTGTATGCTGATTGCAAAACTGTCACAGTCTTGCCGGTGTGTGTTCTTTGTATGCATTATGGTCAGTTCTGATATATTATGTTTATCTTATAGGAAGGGTGGAGGATTAATGTGGATGGTGTTGAAAGTCATTTAGCTGATGAGTTTAGCATCAATTACCCCACGCTTTCCCTCAGATATTCAGATAAGATCCCATGGACAGGTCAGCCAGTTTCTGTACGACAGACTTGTGCTAATATTACACCATGTAGATATTTTGTCTGTTCCACAAATGCCCAGCAAGCTTCGAGAGCTTGCTGGTGGAGATGACCTCTATGTGGTTATGTGTCCTCTATGGTGCGATGATGTCTCCGGAAATCAAAGCAAACAGTATAACAAACATATCAACATCTATATGGTAAACTCAAACTTGCCGGGACGCTTACTCCAGGTGTGTCATTAGCTGCATAATGTCAAATTCAAGGCTAATAATCAACTGCTTTCAGCAAGAATATTTCGTGCGATTTGTGTCTACATCACCACATGCGTCAGCTCTGGAACAGTTTGCAGCTGTCACAGAGCAGGTAAAGTGAGTAAACTTCTGGTGTTTTTTCCGTGCAATTATGCTGACCAACCTGTTTGTTTAGAGAAACACATCAGAATCCAGTTCGCTGCTTCAATGCAGTAACTCATAGACCTTGTCGTGTGATTTTGAGAATCCCATCGCTCCCTGCAGATAATCCACAGCAGTCTGAAGAGTGCTCACATATGGGTGGAAATGCGAACCTCAAGTGTCGGAAGTGCAAGAATGGTGGTCCTTTGGAAGAAACAGGAACTGATTCAGGTTATCATGCACTACACTTTGTGAGTCAGGTCTCCAATAGTCACTCTTTCTTCTCATACTTCATCCAGGCTGGAGAACCACGAACAGCTGAATATACACGCTCGATTCTCCTCAGACAAATACACCTGGCAATGTATGGTGTTGAGAAGCCCATCAAAGACCTTCAAACAGCGACAGGTGTCAAGGATAAGATTGCACAACATTGGATTGACACTCTACTTGAAAAATCGCGTCACTTATCCTCAACCACAAATCTTACGCACGAGCAAATTTACGAGCAAATATCTGCATGGTTCTATGAGCAGCCAGGTCAATGGATGAACCCTCTGCTATCTGTACCCGGTAAGTGGCCACTCAAACGAGCCAGACATGTGGCTTATACTTCATTGGTGGAATTATGATAGGTCTTGATCCTTGCAGAGATACGCCAGTCGAGATCTTGCACACCATACTTCTTGGTGTTGCAAAATACGTATGGTGGTTTCTCCACAATGGTTGGAAAGAGAATGAGCAGAACATATTCGCTTTGCGTCTCCAGTCCACCGACATTGATGGTTTGAATGTCCCTCCCATCCGTGCTGCTTATATGATGCAGTACCGGAACAACCTTATCGGAAAACACTTCAAGACACTCATGCAAACAATGGTCTTTCATGTTCATGGCCTGGTCAACCATGCACAGTTTAACCTCATTAAATCGCTTGGATCTCTTGGTGCACTGTTGTGGATACCAGAGATTAATAATCTCGACACATACTTTGTAAGTCTCAATTTTATTCAGTAATCTTTCTTGAAGTATAGCTCTGATTGTGCTCATAGATTGACCTAAGAGTAGCCATTGCCAACGTCTTGGACTCCATGGACGACTTAGAGCCATCGAAAATAATTCAGAAAATGAAACTTCAGGTCCTGATTCATCTTGAAGAAGATATACGTCGCTTTGGTCCGGCAGTGCGTTATTCAACCGAAATATTCGAGTGTTTCAATGCGGTATTTCGCCTCTGCTCTATCCTGAGCAATCACTTGGCACCCAGTCGAGATATTGCCACCAAATTTGCCTCAATGGATCGGATCAAGCACATACTTAGTGGTGGGTATTGGTATGAGGATGGCTCCTGGGTATGCGCATCCAAGAATGTCCTCCAATTGTTGCATGAGGAGCCTGTGCTTCAAAACCACTTAGGATGGGCTCCAGCTTGTGAGCGGTCAGCAGGTATATGCGGCATTCACTCAAGCAATCATCTACTGATGATTGGTGACCACAGGTGAAATCAAGCCGGTTCCAATTCGCAGTGCCACAGCAGTTGTCTGGGAGACCACCCGTGCTTCCAAGAGTGTGTGGGCCACACCTGAAGACTTGCTATCCACTTCCCCTGAGTCCAAATGGCGCTTTGGTGTGTCAGTAACTTCAAATGTGGGCGATCTTTGTAAGGTTGGGTCATGGGTATTAGTCTCTGCATCTGGAGTGGTGCGTTCACAACCTATTTGATAGCTTTCATCTTTGGTTCCTGATGTTTAAGCAACAGGTTGTTGCTGGCAGAATTTGTGAGATTGTGGTGCAAACATCGAGCATCCGTGTCCAAGACAGAGGGCTTGTCACGGTCGAGCAGTTCTACATGAGTAGCGAACCTCATCCAGAATTTGATATGCCATCTCTAAGGCGTGCAGATCAGCATTCACAATATCTGACGGTCGGATCAAAGGTATGCAGTTAGTCGTATTGATAATGAGTGTCGTTAAAATTAATGACATTTGATCAGGATATCCTTTGCCTCTGCTCTGTTCAACACAACTGCAGAGCGGGCGGGTGCATGGCTCAAGCATCTCACAATGAGAGGCAGGAGCGCCAGGAGACCACACGAGTTGTTCATGCAATCCAGCATTCAGATGACGACCAATTCATCTTGAACTTACATGCCCTACACAATGCCGGGCACATCAGGAAGCTATTGCCACGAAATTTGGTAGCAGTAAAACCTCTGTATGCTGACCGCAAGTTGCATCACTGCATGGCAGCCAGCAAGCTTCGGACAGACAATGCTCAGAAACGCGAGAAGGCACAGGCAAAACGTGATGCAGCTAAGGTCGCAAAGCTTGCTACTGATCCCACAGGTGCTGCACTTAATTCTCATACTGTGCAAGGCAAGCGCAAAGAGGTGGTAGCAAGCAGTGGAGATCCGCTATCCGAGTCAAGTAGGGCTACACAAAAACGTGTTCGTGTTAATCTCAAAGTATAGTAGCTTGCTCCTATATTAGATTTGATGTACACTGTGCGCCGGATTGTTTTAAACTATTGTATCAAGAGAAACATTGCTGCATAGCATATACTGAACAACAGGGTAATCCGCCAAGAACAATAGGTTGGTGCCCCGTAGCGTAATTACCCGAGTTGTGCAGTCCGTGTATGCTTCAGCAGCAGAAATAAAGTAAGAGAACGCTGAGAGGGTAAACGTGCGAGAGACGTATACAGAGATTGAACTCCGCCTTCTATATTGGGAATCGGACATTGAATTATGTTGGCATGTGTTGCCTGGCATCTCAATTATTTTGCTGGTGATACAAACGATTTTAATGCTATTGATACTGTATATATGTTAAAGTATGTCAAATTCTGGAAAGTCGGCCATTCTAGCACTTCAGCCGTGTGTGATTTGGTGTATACTGTGCCAATGTCGTGTTCGGCGCGCCTTTATTTGGTTCTGCTTGGTTTTCCTTATTTGAAACTCCGCTGTTATATTCCTCACAGACGCGAGCGCGTCTCTCATTCTTACATCTCATGCTGCTTCCGGAGGTGGGCGCAGGTGCCCCGTTCCGCAAACCCTCGCGCGTGCCCCATTGAGGCCCCGAAATGCTGAAGTTGAGTTTCGCCGCCCACGGCCGGGCTCTGATGGACATGCGCTCTGGTCAAGGCGTCTTCTCCACAAGCCTGGTCGTGAGCAAAAGGCTGAGCAAAAAAACTGAAGCAGGGGCCTGAACACATCCCTACGTCACTTAAACCAAAACAAATCCATGTTTATACCATAACATTAGAGCACACATTAATACACCTCGCATTCACGTGCTATAACATGCTGTAGGCTGCCATAATGGTGTATAGAAATGGGAATCCTCACGAAACTCTGGCTCGCTTGTGAGGACGACTACCGTATTCAGATGCTGTCAATAAACATGAGCTGGTGAGATAAATCATGGCAAAATCGGACAAGTACCTTTAGATACATGTGCATGGGCAAGCTCTGCACGACGTGAGTGCAGTGCACTTTCATAAATGGACGTGCAGTGTCGGGACTTCTTGATTTCGCCGAGAAGCCAACACACCTCACTGTCCGTTTCCGACTCGGGCTCGGTCTCCGACTCGGTCTCTGATGCAGTCTGTGATCCGGCCTTGGTGTCTTCACACACTGAGACATTGGGTACAGATACATGCCGATCCCAACCTGACTGGCTGGGCATTTCCTGGTCCAGTGCCGCGTTTTTGTGTGCATCACCAATAGTGACGATTTCATCCTCAGCTCTAGTTCCCGAGTTTAAGCTTATATTGAGTGTCTGGAAGGGTGAACGATTAATACTGTAAGCTGATGAAGTGCGGGTAATTAACTCACTAAGTTTTGAGGTGCGCAAGGCCCGAAGTTGATTGTAAGCGTCCTATTGGGACACAGAGATGCGACCGGCACAGTATCTGGGGCGTTATCGGGACTCTCGGATTTGATGGGCAGCGGCATGATGATATGCAAGGCGAGTGAAGGATATCGATAGGGGGGCTCACCAAGTATATAAGTACAGGGAGGTCAAAGCGTTGGGTGGAGTTCGACACATGCAATGCAAAAATGAGCAGATAAATACCTTATCCATGTTGTAAAAAGGTTTTGCTTAGATCTCGGTCTCATGGTTGCATGGACATATGGTCGAGGGTTTGTCAAAGGTTGGATTGATATTTGGACAACAATTCAGTATGTAAGGTTGGCCCAAGCGATGGCCAAGGTCGCGAGACGCTTTGACGTGCAGATTCAGTCAACCTTACCCGTTCAAGGTCACATTTCCCTTTGTGCACTTTGGCGGTGTACAGCAAGAGTACAGCAAGTGCAGCCTAGTGCAGCAGCTTGCTGTGGACATTGCTGCCGGCGGGCCAGGACAGTGCCTTCCTTGTATGGAAATATAACCGGAGGAGATAACGTTTATCTGCTGTTTTTGTCGCGGCCGTGACTCGGAAAGATTCACGAAGAGCGGGTAACGGGTTATTGACTCTGCTTGTACCACATCCACCGCGCTCTATCCTTCTGTTGCCTATACCCGCTCATCACACTAGCTTTCTTATTTCCTTCTATCTTCTGACATTCTCGAGCTCAACGATCACCATGACGCTCGACGTGACCAGTTTCATCGACCGCAAGGGCGGTAACGCCGAGGAGATTCGCGAATCGCAACGGAAACGAGGAGAGTCAGCCGAAATCGTCGACGAGGTCATTGGGATGTACGATGAGTGGGCCAAAAGTACGTGTCTCCGGCTCTGTGATGCGTTGCGGTTGTAACGAACTTCATCCCTACATCTCTTGAGAACACCTACTGATCACTTTGATTTCACATAGAGGGATTTGAGGAGAACACCCTGAGCAAGCAGATAAACGAGATCCAGAAGCAGATCGGTGCTAAGAAGAAGGCATGCTACCCACATCTCACCTCAATGCTACGAACTTCTGACAATTGCATGTCTCCCGCTGTACACAGGCCAAGGAGAACGCAGACGAGCTAGTTGCGAACAAGAAGACACTCGATGCTCAGCTTGAGGCAATGAAAAAGGCAACTAAGGAGTACGAGCAGGAGATGCGCAAAAAGGCGAGCACTGTTGGCAATATCATCGCCAAGGACGTTCCCATTAGCCAGACGGAGGTGAGTCAGGAGACACAGTATCAACACTTGCACTAACGCATGCATATATGCGTGTTCGTAGGATGAAAACGTCACTCTCCGGACATGGCACCCCGATGGTCCTAACGCGCAGGTTGAGAAGAAGACTGACATCATGCCCCATCACGAAGTTCTTCTCCGACTGGACGCTATGGATCTTGATCGCGGTTCGTCCTCCGCCACTTTCCCCTCCTTATGTGCGCTTTGCTGAAGGAAGTTAACGACAGGTGCCAAGGTGGCAGGCCACCGTGGCTACTTCCTCACGGACGATGGCGTAGACCTGAACCAGGCGCTCATCTCATATGCCCTAGACTTCCTCCGTGGGCGCGGATACAAAAAGATTCAGCCACCATTCATGGTCAACAAGGATGTTATGGCCAAGACGGCGCAGCTTGATCAATTTGACGAGGAGCTCTACAAGGTGTGCCTTCTCCACGCTCCATCTTTATCCTCCTCGTTACATGATCGCTCACATCTTTCATCGGCCGTGTGTGGCCATTCGACACCAACTGATAGGTGATCGCGAGCGAAGACGAGAAATACCTCATTGCTACCTCGGAACAGCCCATCTCTGCCTTCCACCAAGATGAGTGGTTCGAAGACCCGAAGACTCAGCTGCCAATTTACTATGCTGGTTACTCGACATGCTTCCGCAAGGAGGCCGGCTCCGCAGGACGCGATATGTGGGGCATCTTCCGCGTGCACCAGTTCGAGAAGGTCGAGCAGTTCGTCATTACCGCGCCCGATGCGTCCTGGGAGGCATTTGACACGATGCTCGGCAACTCGGAGGCATTCTATCAGTCGCTGGGGCTACCATACCGTGTCGTGGCAATCGTATCGGGCGCGCTGAACTTGGCGGCGGCCAAGAAGTGCGATCTGGAGGCGTGGTTCCCCTTCCAAGGAGACTATAAGGAGCTGGTCTCGTGCTCGAACTGCACAGATTACCGTACGCCTTTTTTTACTCTTGGTTCTGCATGGTACTGACAACGAATATTCACGCAGAGAGCAGACGGCTAGAAGTCCGATGCGGTCTCCGCTCGAAGGACCAGCAGCGCAAGGTCTACGTGCACATGCTCAATGGTACGATGTGCGCAACCGAGCGTGCGCTCTGCTGTCTTGTCGAGAACTACCAGACACCCGAGGTAAGTTACCACACCTTGTCGTTGTCGTTGCCGTCGTTTGCTAAGCGTGTTCACAGGGTCTGAGAGTCCCCGAGGTACTCCGTCCGTACATGCACGGCCGCGACTTCCTCCCTTGGAAAAAGGAGCTGCCCAAGAACCTGCAGCGCAAGCAGGCGTGATGGTTACCCCTAGTGGTTTTTCATCTCTATATTTCTGAGTAGTTGGGAATGTACGTTTCGTATGACTATAGACGGGGCCTTGCACGTATCGGCCTCTTGACGGGTCTCAGAAAGCTAAACGTACTGCATAACGGCGCAGTCGTGCGAACTTAATTCAGGGATTGTGGACAACAAGATTCATTGTGTCTACACTTGCGTCGCCCGAATCCAGCGGGTCAACCAAATCGCCCGACATGAGGCTGAGCCGAAATGCGTCGGAAATGAATTACTCCGCCGACAACGCTGGATCAGCACAATGACCCCCACTCCGGTGAACAAACATACTGAGGCGAACTAAACTCAGCTTGGTTTAATGGCGAAGTTACCGAGTAATCGTTCCGCCGTGATGAGAACGTAGTTGATGCGACCTCGATCGGACGCACATTTTGAACGCCTCAGTAATGCAGCATTACGGCGAATTCGAGGGCGTGGAGGTTCGCGGGAGGCACGCATCAGGTTATCACCGCGAGATGCAGAATTTGCGGGCTTGGAGAATGTAACCGGCAGCATAGCCCAAGTCATGCAATCAGCATGCATCATGGGGCCCCTCCGGCATCTAGAGATTAGCAACCTTAAGCGGTTTGTTTATAGGTTACGGCTATTTACTTGTCCCCGGGTCCACCGAGACGCATCAAGGGCGAAGAGGCAGGACGCCTTAGCTTGCCTTCGAAAATTGGAGAACAACCACTCGCATGTCCACATCCCACCGAGAGAGCAGTCAGAGCAAATGCAATAAACTAGCTAACATACTAGTACAAATACATAGTGAGATATTCCAGAGTGCGCACGAGTGCACACCGTGGGGGGTACTAGACAAATACTGTAATGCGACGAGTCGTGTAGGTTATAATGAACATGCATGTGCATCGATATCAGCGGTTGTTGGTGTTGTATCAGTGTATCAGCAATGAAATGGAGAGGCAAGATCGAAACAAGCAAACAAACAAGAAAGAAAGAGACAGAAGAGAGCGAGAAAAAGAGAAGAGGGGAAGAAGGTGAAAGAAATAACACAGCCGCAACGTTGGATATCTGTCGAGTCCGTTCATCCATCCATTCCATCTATCAACCCAGTCATCCAAGCGAGGCCCCGCCGTCGTCTATTATTTTAGTTTACCAGCAAAGCTTCCCTCCACGGACCGCGGCGTGCGCTCGCCCACCTACCCCATTGCCCACGGTCTGCGGGGGACCAGGGGCCAGAACCGAAAGATATGATGAGAGTATACTTTTAGAAGTCGGAAATGCAAGAGAGGAGGTGAAGGAGGAGGGAGAGCAGGTAGAAGGGAAGCGGGGGGATGTGAACTAAGGATGTCGCCAAGGATGTAACGGAGTATTCGAGGAGGGGAGGGTGACCAAGAGGACAGCATCGAAAGCGTCGTCGGGAGAGGGGAGACGTCAACCAAACTCCGTCGTTCACTTTACGATTCCGCAAGCTCGAAGTAAGACCTGAACATGCTCTCGTGCCGCAGCGCCGTGCCAGAGACGACACCATACACGTGCAAGAACAACCTCGGGAAGCGCTTCGTGAAGTACGCCAAATAGCCCTCGGGCATGGAGCCTAGCGTCCGCTTGACGTTGTCCGGCAGATCCTGGTAGTGATGTTTCTACATTCCAGCCCGTCAGGACGTTGCTCGAAGAGAATGCAGAAGGGAAGAACGCACCTTATTCCGCAACGCCCTCATCAGATCCTGCACGCTCTTCCCATCGTACTTCCTAAACTTGCCCAAATTCTCAACAAACACCCGATCCAACCTCGCATACCAGTCCCCTTCCACAACCTGCGCCGCCCCCGTCTCGAGCACAACAAGATTATGATCCCTCGGATCCCGACACATAATCTCGAACCGGTCCGACGCGTCCTGCAAGAAACTCAACCGCTTCCCCGCGTCCCAGAAAAACGGATGCAGCAGACACGTCGTCGTATCCGGCCTCGCGCCCGCCTCCGCATCGATCATCCGCCCAATCAGATCCACCGCCTCGCTCCCCTCCTCGCCGAACCGCTCGAGCCCCTCGAGCGCCCTGCTCCCCTTCATAATGTTGCTCTCGCGCTCATACCGGTCCCCAAACGGATGGCCCCCGTTCGTGAGCACATAGAAGAACAAACACCCCAGCGCAAAAATATCCACGCTCTTCGTCAGCCGCGTCGGCCGTTTCCCGCTTCCTCCCGCCGTGCCCGTGCTCCCCGTCGAGCCGCCCGTGGCAGTCCCAACGCTCCCCCGCGAGCTCACCGACGACCCGTCGTCGCCCGGATCCTCGAGACGCACGTCCCCGCGCAGAATCTCAGGCGCACGCCACCCAACAGTGCCCGCCGCCATAGCCCCATGCGCAGTCGGCAGAAAACTCGTCTGGTCGACCTCGAGCTTCTTGCACAGCCCGAAATCGCTAATGAGCATCCGCCTCCCGCCGTCCTTGCCCGCGCCGCTCGCGCCGGGCTTTGGGCCGGACACGAGTATATTCTGCGGCTTGATGTCGCGATGCACGAGCTTGAGACTGTGCAGATGCCGCAGGCCCGAGGTGATCTGCCGAAGGGCTTTCTTGGAGTCGAAGCCTACGATGATATCGCGGTGCACGTCCGGGCGCTCGATCACGTCCGCGAGCGAGGCGGGGCAGAGCTCGAGCGCGATGTAGAGGAAGTTGGCGTGCGACTCTTGGTAGTAGTACCGGATCACATTCGGGTGGTCGTCTGACTCCTGTAGGATGGACACCTCGCGCGCGGCGAGCGTGACAAAATCTTGCAGAAGGCGCTTCACGGCGACGGCGCGCCCCTGCAGCGAGCCTTGGAAGACGACAGTACCGTGCGAGCCGAACCCTGCGCACGAGGACATCGGTGTCAGCAACTACACGATCACAGACCTTCAATAACATAAACTCACCGAGAACCGTATCAGAAACAACCAACGACGTCGCCTGCTGCTGCACCGGCGGCGCCGCGGCAGACCTCTGCACGATCAGCGTCGGCGACGCGGTAACTGCTCTTGGAATCCCTTCTATCCGTTCCTGCTCCTCCTGACCCGATCCCGATCCCAGTGCCTGACCCTGGCCCTGCTCGTCTGTCCTTCCATTGGCCTGGGCATTGGCATTACCCTTGCCTTTCTTGCCTCGGCGGCGGCGGCGCTTCCGTGGCGCGCCCTGGTCCTCCTGCCCTTGATCCTGGTCCTGGTCCTGGTCCTGGTCCTGATCTTCAGCGCCTGTATCGTCCGCCGTGTCCTCATCCCTCGATAGCTTAGGCGAGCCGGGAGGAACGCTGAACTTCACGGAGGCAGTCACGAGAGTCTGGTCTCCGTTCATCTCGGACTTGGATGCGGATGCAGGCACGGGCGTAAACGGGGTGGAGTCGCTGTCGTTGCCATGACCCTTGGGCGTTGGAGTTGGGGTGCTTGGAGCGCCGTCAGAATCCGGGGTGGCTGTCGCACCCGAAGTTTCCACGACACCGTCCGCTGTCCCCACAACCGCAGTCGCAGGTTGAACCGGGGCCGTATCGTCAAGATTGACCACAGGCACAGCCCTTGAGCCATCGCCCCTGCCAGCTTCCTCCGAACTCCCAATCGCAGCCTCGTGCGTGCCAGGCGCCGGAGGCACAGCAACCGAGGCGGGCGAAGACGAAGTGAAGCCCTTGGAGCGCGTGACGTACACGCCACCAAGCACAGCGAGCAACACCGTACCCAGCACACTCGCGCCCACACCGCCCACGAGCGAAAGCGGGCGCTCGACGACCGCAGCCGTCGAGTGCGCAACGCTGCGCCAGATCTTTGTAAACGTCGTATTGTCCACGGGGACACCGCTACCGGCGCCCTCACTCGGTGCCGCCGGCGCAGGAAGCCCGCTGTTGAACCCCGGGTGCTGTGCGGGCACCGGAGAGGGAGAGGGCGAGAACGGGACCGAGGGGACGCCGGGGAGGGTGGGCGGCGCCTCGAGCGGGCGCTTGCCCACGAGACACTTGCGGTCTATGCCGCCGCCCGTGCGCGAGCACGCCTGCGCCCACTTGCGGCGGCGCGTGATCGCGTCGACGTCGTCTGGCAGATCCATGTCCGTGTCTGCGTCTGCATCCTCTTCTCCGCCCCTGCCCTTGCCCTTGCCCTTCTTTCTAGACGTAGAATCGGAAGGCGCGTCGATTGACTTCAATGCGGGCGCATATTGCGTGTCTCCGAACGCGACGAGCGGGAACCGGTCCGTGCCCATGACGAAGAGCGAGCCGGTCTCCTCAACGAGGCCGAGGTAAGCGCTGTTCGCATCCATGGGGAAAGAGCCCTTGCTTGAGCCGGATTTGGAGGTGCCGAAGAGCGCATCAGCGAGTGAGTGGCGGGGCTGCAGGAGGGCGAAGGCCTCGCGCGAGTGTGCACCACGGAGGACATCGAATACGGCCACACTGAGAACGTGACGAGCGTCAATATTGATTGCATTGGATTGTGAGACAAGAGTGGCGTCGCATCGGATCCGAGTAGAGAGACGGAAGATAGCAAAAACGAATGTACCGGCATCAGCGTCCGCTCGTTCAGGACGCTAATCCAGAATAGAGGAAAAGGTTAATAGAAAGCAGGACTTACATCGGGCTATCGAATTTGATAGAACGGACAAACTCCGGGACTTGCTTGTATGCGTCGTCTGGATCGTCGCGCGCGTGCAGCATGATAGCTTCCCCACTTGGTAGCGAGTCGAAATAGATGTCGTCCGCAGTCCGCCTGTAGGCAGCCTGCATGGCGCTGTGTTGCACGTTGGGTCCATACGCAGAAAAGGATAAGCTCTGGATGGGGGCGCCCCGAGCTCGACCACCGAGGGAAGGAGGAGGGGCGGACTTGGCCTTGGGGTAGATGGAGACGTGATAGTCTGCCGTATTGGAGCGAGTTCCAGACTCAACCCCATATGACTCGAGAAGACATGTTAGACTCACCGGTACGGCCAATGAACACCTCCGTGGGCTTGAACCGCTCTGCGTTGGAGAAGGCGTCCTCGAGGTCGTCGAGATCGAGCTCCTCGTCCTCCGTGCTGGTCGGCGCAAGGTCTTCGAATGGATTCCAAGGGCATTCGGCGGTGATGGCGCGGACTTTTCCGGTTTCAAGTTCGATACTCAGAAAACTTGACTCTTTCTTGCCGACAAAGAAACGGTCATAGTCGTTCGCGCGGGTGTTGCCGCCCGAGCCTGCAAATGTGCCTGGGGAAAGCTCCACAAGTTGGGGCATGGTGAGGGAGAGGCGCTGAAGGGCGCCGCGCGGACTTGGGAGGACGTATATGTCACCGGACTGGGGCTCGATCACGTACAGCTCTTGGTGTGGGCGCTCTTCGTCATCGTCGTCTTCATCGTCGTAGTGAAAAGTGTCGAGAGAGGTGTGTTTGGTGCGAATGAGGGGAGCGAGGGCGGTGGGTGCATCTGAGCCGGATGTGGGAGCTGCGGAGGGGGACATGGACCAGAGGCGCTGTCCGGAAGTGCGGTTGAGAGCGTGGAAGCGGCCATCTACAGATGCGAGGAGGACGATGTCGAGGAGCTGGAGATCGTCTCCGTCCTCGTCTTCTGGGGAGACGAAGTGGCGCTGGGGGTGGGGGGAGTTGAGGGAGAGGGTGGAGAGGTGGGCGGTCGTTGCAAGGTCCGTTGAGAGGTCATCTTGCGGCTGTGGGAAGGCAGGAGAGAGCCGAGCAGCCTCTGCGAACCAGAGGGCGGCGAGGACAGAGGGGAGCGTCAGGAGATACCACATTGGCCGATGGCGGGCCAGAAACCCATCAGCAACAAAACAGAAAATGAAGTAAAGCAGAAGAAAGAAATCGGCGTCTGCACGGAATCACACAACCAGCTCACCACCAAGTACACAGCACCTTCCCCTTTAGGAAACTTTGTCCGTCCGAAGCGCCGTTATTGGCCAATGTCCGAAGTTCCATCTCTTTGATCATCCGTCCCTGACATTCCTCCGCTTACTGCCCACCCCTAAAATTTCTGTACACTCCTCCGACTCCTCCATCAACGCAGTTTGAACGGTCTGCCAGCAAACAATCACCATGCCTGACATACCCGTCGGCGCACAGATCTTCGACCTCCTCTTCCACCCCACAGAAAACGTCGTCTACACCGCTCTGCTCACAGGCCATCTCAAGGCCTTCACCTATGACGAACAGGGCCAACACGCTCCCGCCTTTGCCCTCCCTCTCTCAAAACGATCCTGTCGATGTCTGAGCTCGACCAAGGACGGATCACGTCTCTGGGCAGCTGGCAAGGCCAAGTCCATCTTGTCCGTGTGCCTTCATTCGCGTTTGTTCTGGCCCGCTCATAGCTCGTGTTTTCCCTACAGCACGATCGACACAGCCACCGGTGCGCTCTCTGAGACGCGCAAAGCTGCCCATCCGTGAGTCGTCTAGATGACATGTCGCTGCGTGAACCCTGTCTTCAACGACTTCAGGTCCTAAAGCTCGCCCATAAACCGCATAAAACGCACCATGCCACATTGTTTTGCCACCGGCGACGACGACGGCCTCATCAAGGTGAGCTCCGTTCGCCCCTTGCCTCGTACAGCCGTATTCACTGAGAACGACACTGTTATGTGCGCGATTCCATAGCTGTGGGACGATCGCCAGAACGACGCGATCCGCGAATACCCACACCACTTTGACTTTATTTCGGACTTCCTCTGGCTCGAGGACAAAAAACACCTCGTCGCAACAAGGTGAGTTGCGACCCCACGCTTGCGCCTCCTATGTCATTCTTCGTTCCTTTCACCTGCTTTCACTTTACGTGCTGTCACCATCACCCTCCGCGATCGCGCACCCTTGACCCCCTGACCACACTCTTTTGGCGCTCGATTGTCCCGTTTCTCAGGCAAGAACCTGTAATCATGGTCAAGGCCATATCTAGACTGGCAACAGCCTCGCCTTGTTGGCCTGGATACCCCAACGGCGACCCATATTCCTTCCCCTCGACGCGGGAGAACCGCAACACGCTTTCCACATTCACGCATACATCTGTCTATCTTATCTTTAATATATTTATCTTCGCGCCCCTGATTTTACCCTTCCCCCGGTTCTTTGATTGTTGCCACAGCGCTCTCCCTGTTTCTCTCTTTTACGCTGGCGCCTGACTTAATTTAACTGGCATCTTTTTATTCTTCTTCTTTCCCCCGCTGTCTGTCTGGCTGCCTATTCTGATTCTGATTCTGTTCATTGTCTCTCTAGTGGCGATGGAACTCTATCAGTGATTGATGTGCGTGGAAAGAAGGCTGAGCCGTTTGCCCAGTCCGAGGATCAAGAGGATGAACTGCTTTCGATCGTCCCTATTCGCAAGTGAGTGTTCCGTCTTTCTGGCACTATCTTTATGCGTCCACTGCTGGGGCCTGCCGTTAAGGACGCCCGGCACGCTACCGCCACTTCCATCACGATCATCGTCATCGTACGCGATTGATTCGTGCCTTGCCAAAGGCGCACTGCAGACGCCCAGCTCTGCGCCGGCCCTGCGACAGTGACGGTGCCCCGCATCGTGTCCCTGTCCTGCTCAACCGTACCGCCCCAACCAACAACATGCTAACGCAACACACCTACCTAGCAAAACAAAAATCGTCATCGGCACACAAACCGGCATCCTCTCGATCTTCAACCGCACGCACGGCTGGGCAGACTGCGTCGACCGCGTGCCGGGGCACCCGTCGTCCATCGACGCCCTATGCGCGCTCCCCTCGCGCTACCCGTCCGCGCACTCGACGGTGCTCACGGGCTCGTCGGATGGGCTGGTCAGGGCCGTGCAGCTGTTCCCGACGAAGCTGCTTGGGGTCGTGGCGGACCATGGGGAGGCGCCGGTGGAGAGGATTGCGGTGGATAGGGGCGGGGAGGGGATTTGGGTGGGGAGTGCGGGGCATGAGGAGGTGTTGAAGATGACGGATCTGAGGGAGGTGTTTGAGGACGAGGACGGGGGTGCCAGCTCGGATGCGGATGCGGATGCGGATGCGGATGCGGATGCGGATGCGGATGCGGATGCGGATGCGGATGCGGATGCGGATGCGGATGCGGATGCGGATGCGGATGCGGTGGGCGATGATTCTGATAAGGAGGGAGAGGAGGGAAGTACGGTTGGTGTTGGCGAGAAGAAGCAGATGTTGAAAGGGAAGCACAAGGCCAAGGAAGATGTAGAAGAGTCTGGCTCGGACTCGGACTCGAACTCAGACTCAGACTCAGAAGAAGCAGACGCAGAAGCATACCCCGAAACCGTGGGTGATGGCGACGCTGGCTCGGACTCGGATGCGGAGGGCCCGAGCGCTGGGGACAAGAAGCGCAAGCGCGGGGAGAACGACCCGCTTGCTGGTCGTCGTAAGAAGGGAAGAAACGAGATGGACGCGGAGAAGGGGTTCTTTACGGGGCTCTAGCTCGGTGCGTGCGTGCTCGGTGCCGGTGATCACAGGTGCTTTGGGTGTCCCATGACGGGTATCCTAGGATCGTTCGCTGCCGCTGGTATTGGCATAGCGGGTTTGGGGCTGTATCTTCGTTTTCGAGCTTGCTTGTGTTCTTTGCTGAGATTATGTTACGGCTATGTTGATGTTGATGACACTCTCAACGTCGCATTGTCGGATTACTATCGATTTCCGACGGTATTCCAACAGCTTTCATCTGCCATCTCGACAACTCGATTCTGTGTTACGCTTGATGCTTGCAACAGTAGAAACATATAGGCACGGAGGCACAGCAATCAATTAATCAAGCTTTCAAGGTCGAATGCACTAGTACTCCACTGCGAGTTGTTTAACCGTCAACTTCATGATTACATGTGGCCATATACTAAGTACTGTGCCTGCTCGCCGGGACTTGGATCCCGAGACCACTCGGAGCCTACCACCGGGTGTAAGCAACATCAGTCAGCTCAAGCTACTCCAGAAACCCGATCGAGACGAGGTGTGGTGTGGTGAGGCGAGGTGAGATGTGTCCGAGAGCAGAGACATCCGAGGTCCGAGCTCAGCATGCAGTCGATATGTCGTGTCGTCGAACAATGTTCTGACTCTGATGCCAGGCCTCGATCTCTAGCCTTACTTGAGCGCCGAGTTGATGTTTGCCGCGTCAGCCCCCCGAGCACAACTACCGAGCACGGTTACAGTCGATGTCGGGCGACGCATCCCAATGTTAACTTCCAAGCTGAGCCTGAGTCAGACCCAGCTGCCATTGTCAATGATGACTGTATTTATCTCCAGTGGTCCTCTCGAGAGCCATCGACGTCAGTGAAGAAGATGGATGAGGATGAAGGTTTTGGGACTCGGGGACGTCGGCGCCGCGGACATGCATGATGACAGCAATGTCAACGCCAGCAGGCACCTCCTCAGCCATGTCGCTGTCAACTATGGGTCGATCCTGATCAGAACTTGCGCAGCTGGTGACCAATGCAAGAAGAATGAATGGTTGTTTTACTTCCACGATATGGAAGAGAATATGACCTCGAGGAGGGCCACATGCATATGTTCCCGAAGAGTAACGCTTTGCACGCCGAGAGCCTGTACGTCACTTCAGCCGCAGCGCGTTGGTGTTGGGCTCGAGGTCAGCTGAGCTCGCGGAACGTGTCAGCGAACGTCACAGCCCCGCCGCTTCTTAGCAGCTCTGTCGTCGCGTCGGTGGTCGCAATATCTGGCCACGTTTTACCCCGGCTTTGGAGATTCGTCGGGTCTATATTGGGGTATTGGTTAGAAGCCAGGCTCACTGGCGGGGGCCGGTACACCGATGTTTAAGTTGGCGTGGTCGTACTTCTGATTCGGAGCTGCTTTAGTACCGATGCTCAAAGAAGTGCTTGGCTGAGGCCTCTGGGCGAATGAGATTGTTCACCGCTCACATGGAATCAACTGCGAAAGTCTCGCCTGCACTTCTGCTCCCCCATATCAGCCACGCGGTATCTGGGCGTCGCGGTCGAGATGCATATGTGCTTCGTGCGATCCTGGTGGCCCTGACTCTGTGCTCGAGCGCCACGAAAAAAGGGTACTTACAAAATCAGACCCGGCGCAGGCATTGACCGGCCAAAGATGCTTAGCTCAAGGCCTATGAACGCCGTCTCGGAGAGGGACAAGTACACCGTATCATCATAGTGGGGCAGTGGATCCCAGCTGACCACCTGGATGGATCAGCATATCGCCAGGGACGCACAGGCAGGGTGAGAGCTCAACCCCACTGGAGATGATATGAGCGATTGTCGTCATGATCAGTGGGAATGGTGTTGCATCCTGGGAAGGAAAACTGTAGTATTTGTTCGGTGGCCGAGATGTAAGTAGGGTTTGTACGTAGTACGATCAGGTAACCGTATCAGAGTGACTACGCCGGGGACTTGTCTACTTGCGCATATTACTTGTTTATCTTCCTTTACTGATGACTGAACCTTTGTGAGTTACGTCGTGGCTGTTGAAGCTACGTTATGTCAGGGGTTTCGGGGTCGAGGTGGCGCTTAGTGTGAATTGAAGTCGGAACCCTCTGATAAGCCGTTGGACACATGGCATACATGACTCGTACCTTTACGTTGTACCAGCGGTAAAGTCAATAAGGTTGTGAATGAAAACTTGATCTGGCTCAGTCAACGGCACCGGTCCCGATAGATACGCAAGAAGGAGAGAACTCCACTCACAGAAGCGTCGAAGCAGAAGCAGAATAGCCTTGAGAGCAACCCTTGTGACTATTTTTTGAAGTCATTTTCTCAGTTCACAACAGGGAAGATCCGCGAGGATCGCCTCGCCTCCGCTGATCAATTGAAAGAGCATGAGGACGGACGTCCAAAGCGACGGGGAACTCCCAGACGTGAAGAGTGAATGCGCGTGGTCGGCCCGGCCGGGAGCAGATGCTGATGTCGTAGTCGCCAACTGGGATGGTGAGAATGCACGTTTCGTCTTGGTTTCGCCTGTGACATAGATAGCAGGTACGAAGATAACTCAGCCAGTGAGCACGTAAAAGCGAATCAGCGAAGCCAAACGGGGGCGAGCAATAATAAGCTACGATCATTGCCTGCGGTCAAATCTGAATCTGGTTTGGGGCTTGCTCGACATCAGGCCTCATCAGGCCGCCGGTGGGGATCAAGAGCAGGGCTGTGGTGTTTATTCTTGGTTGCGCGCGCATCATGTTTGAGAACATATCTTGTTGGAGAAAAGAAGCACAATTAAACCTCGACTTCATTGGCTTTCACTTGAGCAGAACGATCGGCGAAGTAGGCTCGGACAGGTCCGATATCATATGGTGACAAAGAGAGAAAATGTTCACACTGCGCAGAGTATCGCCTCGGAGCAACGAATCGAATAGACGCCGAAGGGGACCGATAGTGCACGTGCTTGATGGTGTTGTCTTGTATTGTCTGTTGTGTGTCACCCGTGTTGTGCCTGGAGACGGCCGAGCGTGGGGAAATGCGATGATCCTTCCGGATGCGGGTGCACGTGGGGGCGCGCTTCGCTTTGGAGCGCCCGGAACGGAACCTGTTCGCCTGTCGTCGCCGTCGTCGACTCTCGTGTCCCGACCAGCTTTTCGTCTCTTCGACTTCCCCAAGTGTAGTCGAGCAACAACACAAGTACCAGCCAACGTTTCAAGTGCGCTGTCCTCGATCGAGCGACATCATTGTAGACTGACTACCCGCCGGTTCAGATAAGCGCCAACTGACCAAGCAGCAAGGGCTTCAGGCAAGCTTCCGAACGCACGACATCTAGACACGCATCCTGCCATCTCAAGTACAGTGACTCACGAATCTACCAACTCATAAGCCAAGATGATGCTCTCCCGCCGCGCCCTCTCCTTCCAGGGGCCCACGTTCTCCCTCCGTCGCGCCGCCGCCGTCCGCGCGCTTTCGTCTCGCGCAAGCGCTATCCTTAGCGAGCTCGACATCCCCACCACCGCCACCGAAGTGCCCGGCGTGTACGATGGCGCATGGAAGGGTTCCGGAGAGATACTCGAGAGTAAGTGCCCTACTACGGGCGAGGTGCTTGCGCACGTCCAGTCGGTACGTTGATCCTCTCTTGCCCTGCTTGTATGCGTGGAGCGCTGACGAGTAAACGTGTCCTGATGGTGGCGGTGATGGTGGGTGGTGGTCTGGACTCGATGAAACCAATAGGCAACGCCACAGGAGGTCCAGCAGACCCTCGAGAAGTCCAGGGAGGCGCACAAGACCATCCGGACCATGCCCGCTCCTAAGCGTGGCGAGGTCCTTCGCCAGGTCCGCGAGGCACTTGCTGCCAAGGTGTGTTGTGACTATCTGTGCCCAGACGTGTGCCGCTGACGCACGTTTGACTAATGCGTGGGTGTGCCGGCACTTCCATGATTGTATGCGCGTCGCCTCCCTAGCGCGATGTTCTCGGCGCCCTCGTTTCGCTCGAGATGGGTAAAATTAAGACGGAAGGTGTCGGCGAGGTCCAGGAATTTGTAGATATCGTGCGTATCGATTTCTTTGAGTGTGCCAAATGTAGCTAATGTCAAACCCTGCAATACCCTTTTTGCGCGCCGCCATTGCTTGTTTGGCTATGGCTATATTGTCTGCGATAGTGCGACTATGGGGTCGGCCTCTCCCGCATGATGAATGGCCGCGTTGTCGCCTCCGAACGTCCCGGACACACCATCTACGAATGTGCGCTCCCACCGCCTCTTTCCAAGGCCATTGCTGACCGGCTGCTCGCTGCCGTATCCAGTACCTAACCCGCTCGGTGTTGTCGGCGTTCTCACTGCGTTTAATTTCCCCGTCGCTGTATATGGCTGGTAGGTGCTATTTGCTCTTTTCTTGCCCCAAAATACTCATCGGACGCGTGCAGGAACTTTTCCCTCTCCTTCGCCGCAGGAAACGCGACCGTCTGGAAGCCGTCTCCGAGTACTCCACTCTGCGGTATTGCCGTCACGCGTATTATCGCTGGCGTGCTCGAACGCAATGGCATCCCTGGTGCCGCCTCGTCGCTCCTCGCTGGTGGCAAGGACGTTGGTCTGGGCATTGTGAACAGCGAAGACGTCCCGCTCGGTGCGTAGCCCGTATTTCTTCCGCGTGCCTGCGAACATTTTGGATGGATTCTGATGATGCTTCTTTTGCTTCCCCTCCTTTTGGTTTGGCATGGGATGTCGGCATTGGTGTGGCTCTGATGCTCGTCGCATTTCTCTCATGTTACCTTGGTGAAATCCTTTTCTTCTTTGTGCGGCCTTCCTCCCTTCCGCCCCATGTCTTCTGGGCCATGAAATTGGCTTCTTATTTCTATCGACGTCTCCAAAACGGCGGAACTCTGCATCTTCGTCATGGGCGCCATGCCTGCGTGCTGTGATTTTGATCGGTCAACTGGTGGCTGACGCTGACGGCATTATTGCTGGTCTGCGATCGCGATTGATGGGTTCATCTCATTTATTCATTCAAATTGCCTGTTCTTTGTTGCCCTGGATTTGGATTGCCCGTCGTGATTGTGTTTTGGATTTGGCCATGGACATTCCCGCCTTGGTTCGCCCGTGGAAAAAGTGTCATTCACGGGCAGCGAAGCCGTCGGTCGCGAGGTCGGCAAGGCGGTTCAAGGGCGCTTCGGGAAGACCATTCTCGAGCTCGGCGGTAACAATGGTCAGTATCTTCGTACGCCGACCGCCTCAGAGATAGTGGACTAACGTCCCATGTGTGCATCTCAGCGTCCATTGTCATGTCCGACGCGGACCTGTCAATGGCGCTGCCCGCGATTTATTTTGGTGCTGTCGGCACTGCTGGTCAGCGCTGTACGACAACGCGCCGGCTGTATGTCCACCGTGACATTGCGCCGCGCGTGCTCGAAGAGCTCACTCGCTTGTACGGCACGGTCCGCGTCGGTGACCCGCTTGACGGTCGTACTTTGCTCGGACCTCTGCACACCGCCCAGGCGGTGAGCACTTACGGTGCTGCGGTTGACCGTCTGCGCAGCTCAGGCGCTGAGATCCTTACTGGCGGTGAGCGCTACAATGACGGCGCACTCTCCGGTGGCCACTTCGTTAAGCCCACCATCGCTGTGCCCAAAAATCCTCAGCCGTCGTCGGCGAGTGAGATCTGGCGCACGGAGACGTTCGCGCCTATCTTGAACGTCGCCGTGTTCGACGAGCTCGAGCAGGCGATCGAATGGAACAACTCTGTCCCCCAAGGCCTGTCCTCCAGCCTGTGGACCCGCGACATCCGTAATGTGGGTCGCTGGTTGGGTCCCGAAGGCTCGGACACCGGAATTGTAAACGTGAGTAACTGAACCGTCAATTTTTTCTCGGCCTTCTTTTTGCCACTTTGCGCTCTTTTCTTGGTGGTGGCTTCTCCCGTTACTTCTCGCTTTTTCCCCACGTCCCCAGTCTAAGAGGCACCTAACCCACGCTCTTTGAACAAGGTTAACGTTGGTACAAGCGGGGCGGAGATTGGAGCCGCGTTTGGGGGCAACAAGGTAAGCGCCCGGCAGTCTCCCTGGTCCCTGATTTACACGCTCAACGAACGATCTCCACCCAACTCCCCCTATGATCTTCTTTGATGTTCGCCATCTTCATCATGTCTATAGAGCACTGGATGGTAAGTTCTGCGCGATCAAATGTCTCTCATATAGTTACGGCATGCTGACGGCTCTTCGACCTTGTGTAGGGGCCGCGAATCTGGTGGCGACGCCTGGAAGCAGTACGTGCGCTGGAGCGCGTGCACTGTTAATTTCTCGGACGCAGCGCCGCTGGCCCAGGGCGTGGACTTCTCCGGATGAAAGATGGAGCAGACTTTCCGTATAAGACTAGGCCTAGAAATACAGTAGGACTAGGAATAGCAATGAGGATACGACATAGGGTGGGTAGAGATCACAATGCTCGCGTGGAGGCGATCGAAGGGCCCGGTGTCTATTTTTGCTCGGACTGTGCAGTGACTCTGCTTTGGATTTATATAGCCATTGGTTGCAGGGATGGATGGGACCAGAGGACACGCGGGGGGCAATAAGCTGGTGTTGTGGCACCGGTGGACGAGGTGAATAACAGCGGAGGAACGATAACGACATACGCATCAGGACATGGGATCAGGCAAAAGGATGATATATGACCGTGAGAGCGCCCGGGCTGTCAGCGTCCTTCTGCATCAGCGAGGAGACCGAGACGAGCGCGAGCGAGCGTCGAGCGGGCAGTGGATAGGATGAGCATGATTTCAGATATGGGTTTCTCCGCGCCTGGCCTGTTGCCGTCCGCGTTGACCGTAAGTAAGCGGCGGGCGGGGGAGGAAAGGGTGCTGACGCGAGCACGGTGACGAGGATGATGGGGTGGTGCGGTGGCAGTTCTTGGAGGATATCTTGGATCGCCGATCGAACATGACCAGATTAATCTTGACTTTTGGTGGGTGGTGGGAGGAGACGTGGACGCGTTGTCGAGCTCGAGGCGGTGCGTTGTGCGTTTCTGGTCGTTGCCGGATCGCTAAGGAGCCGCGCCTCCTCTCCCTCGCACAGAAATGACATGACATATGCATACCCGAATCCCGTATCCAGCTGCCCCTGCCCTATCACAATATTAACCTCCAACCAACTGGACCCGCGCTCTCCCCTTCCCTCTCCCTCTCATCCCGTGAACCACCTTCCTCTCCCTCTTCCGCATATACGCACATATATAAGACTCCGTTGATTATCTTACCACACCTTTAACTCCACCCCAGCACCCAAGTCCACTCGACCCTGACTTAACACACAGCACGGCGCTGGCTTGCTTAGCTGTCAGCTCAATTCCATCCCACATTTTGGCATCAACTCATCTTTCCCGCAGGCTTATCCTACCTCTCCTCCTCATTTCCCCTCTTCCCCTCCTCCAATTCGTCCACCCTGTCGTCCTCTCACCCTAATCTCCTCCAACCCGCCGTCGACTCCGTCGCCCCAACCGTCCACCCTCCCCAGGCTCGGTCTCCAGATATGCAGGTAGACGACCTCCCCTGGCCGGAGCTTGGTAACGTCTCCCGTGGCGCGACGCGCGGCAACCAAGGGCAGAAGGGCGCCCTTGGTCCTCCCGACGCGGACGGCCGTTGTGTCCTCCAACTCCGCGTCCAACCAGGCGTCCTCTCCGTCAAGCTCAATCGCAAGTCCTCCGAATGGTATCGCACGCTCGACAGCGAGGTCAACCGCGCCCTCAAGCTCACAAAGACCTACTGGCGCAAGGCACGTAGACGGCAGGACTAGTGCGTTCATTCATTTCGGCTGTCAGCTGCCACCATTGCGATTTGCGTTGCTCACATATACGCGACTTTTCTTCGTACCTTATTTACTGCGTGCTACCTACCTGCATATATGCGTGCAGTGACGCGAGGGCGGACCAGGACCATATGGAATTGCATGAGTGGCTTCAGCAACTCAAAGACAAGACCATGTCCCATCTCGAAGTTCTCATGCAAAAGGGCGATATTCAGGGTCCGCCATACGTCATGCCAGACGACATCGAGCTTTCGTTCCTCCGCAAGTTCATCGAACGACATAACGCCGGTATTCCTCACAACCCGCGTCTTCGCCATCTCGGGCCTGGCGCTGCACCAATTCCGCCTCCGGACGACTCGATGGATTTGTCGATGGCGGAGCTGTCAGACGGAGGGAATGGATATTCGTCGGCGATTGTCAACCAACAAGTTGCACGCTTCCAGCCAGGTGAGTAGAATTGTTCCCGACGGTACGCGTCAGTGGAGTGGCAAACTTGAGGAGAGCTGCGCTAGCATAGCCTGCGAGGCGGTGCCGCATATATGAGGAGTGGCCGCGCTATTACGAGAAAGAGAGCAGATCTTTGTTTCTAACCCACACTTTTCTCCTAAAACAGAAAGCATTTCGAGCGTATCGAGCCCAAAATATAACAATCAATCGCCCGCTACTTCCAATCGTGCCCACCTGCTACGCACAATGACCTCGTCACCAGCGACGGCAACCTACGAGCAGCTCGTGCAAGATGCACAGACCTCGGGTGCGTTCTGTTCCCGTCTTTTTGTTGTACCGCCATCACTGCCCAATCCCGCCATCATTCTGCCCATCATCAAATTTTCCGAGATTCTCGGACGGCCGCACCGCTGACTTCTTTTTCCATTTTCCATTTATCTTCCTTCTTTCACACGCACTGCATTTGTACACGCCACACACGCTGTACTATCCACGGACAGGCCAGTTCCTTCAGGACTCCCGGACTGCGCTCAGTCGCGCGCAGGCACAGACTCAGGAGGCGTTCCAACGGTATACTGCATGTCTCGAGGCCGAAAACCGCGCACGGCGAGACGTCGCCAACGCGGAATCGCACCGCGACGAAATTAGTACGTTTGCGCTGCCTCCCTCCCATTTTCGTGCGTTCTGACTTTGGCTCCTGTTGTTTTCCCCTCGGGCTTTTCTGGTCCTGCTCCAGTGGCCGCCCTGATTTCTCGCGCGCAGGGTGGCGGCGCACAGGGACCCCCACAAGGTTTGTACTTTTAAGCATGGACCCGAGTCCTTCGCCTCACCGCATCTGTTCCACGCAGTGTATTCACGACAGCCCTCGTTACCCCATGAAGACCCATCTGGTGCATCTGTCCCACCAGAGGTACGTTAGGCTCTCTCGGCTTACGGACGCACACATCAGTCGAGCGGGGCCGATCTACGTGCTAAACGTGCTGATCGCAATTGTTCTCCTTTCGGTCTAGTATCATCATATGGCTGAACGGCGACAGTCGGCGGACGAGATGATGGTCCCAACGCAGCACACGCACACGCCCAAGCCGCCAGAATGGCGAACTTCAGAACTCACCTCCGCGTACGGCGCGGCGGGGCTCGACATGCAGCAGCAGTCGGAGGTAAGCTCCCGCCTCGCCCCATTTCATTTGCGTCTGAATCCTCAAACGCCAGATGCGCTCGTCCAGAGACCCGGGCCCCACCACCACCAACACGCACACCTACAACAGTCAAGAGCGCAAACACTCGCGGAGCTGGGAGCAGCAGCAGCAGCCGCATCCGGGGGCGTCTGGCCAAGTTGATGTCGGTAGTATGTCCACCCTGTCTGTCTTCGCGTCGTGCTCAAACCGTTTCTCAACCTTCGCGTTGTGTTCTTCTCCTACAGGTTTCCAAGATGATCTTTCACTCCTACCCCCGCGCAAGCGACCACATCATATGGTAGAGCGGATCAACGTCCTCGGCCCCGCCCCACACCACCACCAACACCACCACCCGCACCACCCACACCACCACGTCACCCCGCTCATGTCCCTGCCTTAATTGTCACAGTGGCGCTCAATCTGAGAAGCATCGAGTAGGCGGAACATTTGTCTATACCTAGCGTTATCTCCCTCTTGGATGGACTGGTCGGTGGAACGTTTTTGGCTTGTTACGGGTTTTTTGGATATCATTTTTCTTCACTCTCTTTCCTCACGCACACCCTCCATGAACTCGCGCGCACCTCCCCTATTATTGTGCCGCTATCTCTGTAAAGCACACCTCACGCTTACCCGCATCGTTCTTGCTTGCTTACTGCTCCTCACTCTGTCTCCCCGTTATCATCTCGTTCCTGTATCGCTCGCCCCCCGTCCCCTCTATATTATGTATCTGTCGACGCAATACTGCGACTACTAGAAGCAATTACAGTACTATATGCTACACAGGATTGCTTCGTATTTGGCGATGGAGATGGAGCTGGCGAAACTTTGAGTAAGTCAGCTGCCTCGAGCGATTCAGCTTCGTTGGCAGGCACGGCGATCTTCGCGCGTCTTCTTGGGTGCCTCCAAGGCAACCGCGATGGTGAATCGAAGTCGGCAAGTTGCGACGAGATTAGGCTTGGGTGTGCAGTGCTCGAGGGGGGGAACTTAGCAATGGATCGGCGGAACATGAACAGTGTTGAGAGATACATCCGGAGCCAGCCAGGCGGTAGATGCGATCCAGGTGAGGTGCCAACTGATCAAAGCTTAACGGTTCCACTCGTTCCCAGGTCGCCGCTGAGTGCCACCGTCTGCGCATGCATACGGCCTCCTACTGACCAGCGATTACGACACTCGTGACTCCGAACGAGCGCCTTGCTGCCCTTTTAAAGTGATGGGGCTGGCAGGCGCGAGACGGCGGCTTGGTGAAGCTGTGTTCGCGGAGGATATGAATGTATATATAAGTCTTGGACAGGGCCACGAAGGGCGCCTTATACAGTAGCGAGGAAGAGAGAATAGCCCGTGATATGAAGCAGCAGGTAGCCTTTCCTGGGCAGAGTGAGCGCCGACTGCTGAGCATCGTCACCCGTGCCGCTGATCCCCTTGGTTCTCACTGTCAGAGCGTTGGGCGCTTCGCTCACTCAATTGAAGGCCATCTTGGATATGGCACAGGCTCTCAGGGGCCTCGTGTTGCTGCGATGCGATGGTAGCTATGGCGTGGGGCTTCTATCTATGTATGTGTGGTGGGCCTCGAGGACATGTGCATGTGAGAGCATTTGGCACCGTTTGCTAGTGGCGATATGATGGCATCGATGCCTGCGCAGTCGGGATGCAGCACTAAGCTGGATCGTCGTTCTGGTCAGGCGCTCCAATAACGCTTTGAAGCGAGACGGCTTCTTCAGGGCGAAGGGGCACGTTGGGAAGCGTTATGGCTTGATCAACGAGGTACAAGGAAGACGATCGAGCGACGGGGCCGGGTCCGTACTATTGCTATCAATAGACTGGTATATCATCACTATTACCGTACTGGTAAGGACTTGTTGTATGTATGAACGGCCCCAAGGCTTCTTCCTGGGATCACCATCATCACGACCCTCAACAGTGAGAGATCTACCTGACCCGATTGAGGAGATATGGGCAGATTGATGGGCCCTAGTCATCTGGGGAGCTAGTTGGGTATAATGCGCGGGTTTTATTCCTTCTCTGGCTCTGCGTCTCAAGGGGCACGGCCACCGCAGGAAACTGTGGATGCCCAATTGAGCCAGATGATTGGCCGGACGGTTCTTCGACCTTCGCACGCACCTCTCTCCCCCGGCCGTGAGGTATCGCTAGCGCTCTCAGCAGCCGGTGCGCACTCGTTGCCCCTTTCCTGGATCAAATCTATGAATCTACGGAAAATTCCAAAGGGAAACACGGCACTCGAACAGACCGACCGTCTCGCCTCCTCTGGCCGGGCTTCATCGATAATTCGCAGTCGCAATCAAATGAACCTGTGAAAGCCCATGGCCCTCGGGGTGAGGTGCAAACTCACTCCGGGTCTGTACAGACAACAATGAATCGGCGACAACCAACAGATAGCACGGCGCCTCTTGTATTTATGTATATCTTTATTCTGCTTTCGTACTTCTAGCGTATGATGGTAGAACGTGACGAATCAATATCACAGCTACTAGCTCAGGATGGAACTCAGGTCCATCTTTTTACGCTGGATAAGGCAGGATGGCTCCCGACATGTGACAACGGCGCGAAGACGTGGCAATGCACGGTGGCGCGCAACTTCCTTGCCGACTTTGTCTCTGCTAAAAAGCCTGGATAATTCTTGGATAAATATTTCATTTACATATCCAATAGGAGGTAAAATCCTTGAACGCCTAGGTATGGACGAGAGTGTAAAGCGAAGTATGGTGCTCAGCTTCACAACGGGATACTTTTTCCTCTCTGATTTGTGGAAACTCTGAGAGGCAAGCCTGGTTCAAATTATGCCATCCTATGGCTCACAAGCGACACTCAATGGGCTAAAAGGCGACTTCAAGAAGACAACATGCCTATAACCTTTGCTTTCACCGCCAGTACAAGCGACGTGTATTGAAGGGTGTGCAGACTCTCCACCGATCTGTGAATGCCCTCGTTGTTGCCGCTCCACTACGTCGCCATGATTGTTCTTGTTGCACCGGAGCAGGGGGACAGAGGTGAAACGGGATGCATTGAGACAATGGAGTAGGGAGGGTCGGACCGAGCCTTGAGGAAGACATGATGCAGTAGTTTAGGGCCGACATGGTCAGCGTAGGCAGTACTTAGCGTGTTTTCGCGTATTCGTAGGTACTCATCTCAGCTATACGAGGTGTCTCCTCGTCGTCTTCTCCAGGGGTACCCACTCCAACATATTTAAAAGAGCCACTTGACCAGGTTGGAGAATTCCCGAGTCGCATGGTTCATCGTGTTAGTTTTCCGGCCGCCCGCTGAGATAAAGCGCCAAACTCATTGCACACACTCTGATGCGCACTGCACGATAGTATCTACCCACATTCAGGATTTATGGATGAAAGGAATCCCTTGCGGCTGTGCGTCATGTACCAAAAGCATCGAACTATGTAAAGAAGCTGTGATATCACGTTCTCAGCAACAATCTGAAAACGGAAAAAGATCTTATTTAGCCTCTTGATCAAGCTCTTGATGCTTCTATTTGTTGGAGTTTCAGCCATCAGAGAATGAACGACATTACCAATGTCATTTCGAAACAGAGGTAGAATTGTCTACGACTTATTATCATACGACAGCAGAGTAGGCGAATACAAACGAGACTTGTTTTCTCGCCTAGTTGCATCACGGTCTCGGGTCAGGGTGGCAAAGTGGCAAAAGCCCTTATTTGAATTTATATTCAGAGCATGTCAGACCCAGCTGCCATTCCCTTGTGATGAACTCCGGGGAAGTCAGATTTGCCACACTACTGGCTTTGATTTAATATTCATTGCGCTTGATCTGACGCAACGTTGATTCTTTTGTTGTTCAATGACAGGCTTATGTCATAATGTGTCGCACAAATAGACGGCTGCATGAAGTTTGCAGTTCCGAAATTCCTTCCTTGCAAAAGTGGCGTGAACAACTTGAAGTATCTCCGCATCAACAAGATTTTGATGTCTGGCTATCTCGGCGTCTGCCGTGCACTAAATGCGGTTATGTAAACCCGGAAATTTGCCCCGTAAGGGTTTTTCCGGTAAACATCCGTGCAAACTCATGTGTCACTTTGTGTTGATTTCCTCGGAGGTTGTTGACATTGGCAGGCCACCACTGCACGTTTCTTTGTCATTGTCAAGATCATTGCAGAACGTGATGTCACTCGGTTTGATCAAATCGCTTGCGTACTTCGGCATTCTTCGGGACCGCCAGCAAAATAGTGAGTGTCTTATCTGATATCCAAGGTTGCCTCTTGATGCTGATCGTCGCCATCGGTCAACATGCAGGTGGATGCATATGGGTGATACAGGCAACCGAGTTGTGCGTGCGTCGCACACATTCCCGGCGGGCATCGGGAATCTGTGAAGTTCGTGTCCTGTGACTAGCTCAGATATAACTTAGACTTGGTGACTTTGACCAGATAATCTGTTGGGAGTGCCTTCACGTTGACACTCCCCGAGATATCGAAAGTCGCATCTACGCGGAGACAGGTACGATGACTGGAGCTGCCACAGGTCATATCTTAGGCTATCTTAGGCAATCCTTCCTAAAGGAAGTACCTGAGTGACCAGCAAGACAGACGCCGACGGGAGTCGGGGGCAATGATGCATCGCCTTGTTCGCCGTCTGATACCCGAAACGCTGCGTGTGGGTCTTTATAGGCTCACAAGCGCCTGTTAGCTTTCGCGAGTATGCAGCTGAGGATCCGTTCCGCTTTCAGGATCACTGCAACCTCGTCGCTCTTTCCAGGCCTTTGGAAATTACGCCTCATTCTCTGTGGTTGTGTTTTGTTGTGTATCCGACACAGGCCCCAGTTGTGCTAGATGAAAGGCTGTTTAAGATCCTATGCAGTTTATATGTTGCAGCTAATTTCGTCCATACCATATGTTACTGGCTTTCAAAAGACATTGGTTCTGCAACCGACCTGAGGCTGGAGCGCACTACGATATATTTAAATGGAGGCTATTTTCCCTCCTCGAATCGGGGCGCATTGCGCTAGCACTGGTGGCAAGGATAATCTGTCGACGAGTTAATTGTGCTGATGAAGGCGTTCGCCGTCCATTACGCCGACGGCAAAACACTCTCCACAGTCATACTGCGGTAGTACTATGGAAGACTACGGTCACGCCCGGAGACCATGTCTAACTTCTCATCAAATTCAGCCACTGATTACGGCCATCTCAAACTCTGCTTAGGAACATCGTTTATTCCGCCTGGGGTTGGTCATGTCGGCTCCTGAGTCATCCAGTCGCATCCAAGGCTTGCTGAAGAGGCAGAAGGCTATCTTTCCATAGCGTTTAGATTTTATTATTACTCCTAGTCATCGCATTGCTGCCTACGACGTGTCAAGAGACGCGTCAAATAAAACACCCCTATACCCCACATGTTAGAAATGTCAAACCGACAACTGCGCAGTTCATTATTACGGCTGCGTGTCCCAGATTCTCGGTAAGGTTACAGTGGCGCATTCCGCCATTGTCGCAAACGTAGCATGCTGCATCGCGTCGTTTACCAAAAATGTTCAGGGCCCTGAGTTAGTCCGGCTACGGATCGCTTAAAGAATCATGCAAAACTCGCTCAAAGATGTGGCAGCGCTATGGCGAGCCCTGGTCTAAGATACTTAAATTACAACAAGCCGCTATTGGCGCACTGGGCTACCAACAGATGTAAGAACCTGATGAAGACAGCGAAATGAAGACAACCTAATGAATCCAGCTAAGATGAAGTCATGCAAAAGTCCGAAATGAGATGATCAATGATACAGGTCCAAAAGAGTCCCACCATTATTACACAAAGAGCTCAGCTCCCTCGATGTCGTACGTGAAATCCATCACAACAATCTTCTGATCGTGCGAGGTACTATTGGAAAGACAAAACAACGCACATCAGTCACGGTCGATCAAAACTGACAATGCCGAACTGCTTCCTACGGCAGAGGGGCAAAATAAGACATAGGCACGACTTACCTCACGATCTTCCCAACGTCAAACTTCACGTCAAAGATATGGCTTGCGTGGAGGTTCCTGAACTCGCGAATGAGTCGCCCCGCACCTTGGGTCTTGCTCCGCCGGGAGGCGGTGGTGCGAGTTGACGTCGCCGAGCTCGTGCTTGTTCGGCTTTCCCCATCTCCCGTTGGCCAGCCACGCTCCCGTGCATACGCGTTCTCGCCCTCTCGCCATTCCCAGACACGCACGGTGCGGTCGTAGCTTGCGCTGACGATGTAACCAGTGTGTGGGTCGAAGCAAAGAGCGCGGACGAGCATTGTATGACCTGCAAAAGTGTGCAGGCACTCCCCTGTCGAGGCACGCCAAAGTTTGATCGTGCAGTCGTTCGAGCCACTCAGGATAAGGTCATTCTAAAAACATCGATCAGGAAATTACACTAGCGAAGGGCACCGTGACACTCAAGCCTGGATAAGCGTACCTTAAATTCAATGCACGCGAGCCCACGATCGTGGCCTTCGAACACACGGATACGCTCTCCACTCTCGACATCCCATAGAATCATCTTTCCATCACCACTGGCGCTCACTACGTGCGATACGAGGCGTCCTGAGGAGTCGACCTCACTATCCAACCCGGCAATAGCGTTAACTGGACCTTCATGTCCTCGTAGGACGTGAACGAGCTCGAGTGTATCCCGTGAATACACGTGAATTAGGGTATCCTTCGAGCTGTGTTGCAATGGCTATCAGATGCAGAAACCCAGAAGGAAGAGAAGCGACGCCCACCAGCTCACAATCCAACGCTCGTTCATCCGCAAGTCCAGCACGCCCGCCGAGTGGTCCTCTAACACCTGCTTCACCTCAGCACGTATGACATGTGCCGCACCCCCATCACCGGTGTCTTCAGGGGAAGGAGCAGATACCAGTTCCCAGACGCGCACCGTGCAGTCGCTGCTCCCGCTCACCATCAACCCGTGAAACGCGCCTTCCTCTTCGTCGTTGTCGTCATCGCTCTGATCCTCGGCCTCCGCCCTCGAACTCCGCGACAGACGTCGCGTTCTTGCCCGGAGGTCCCAGTCCTTCTCGAACTTGAGGCAGAGCACACTCCCTTGGTGACCCTCGAACGTCGCAAGACACCGGCCGCTGGCGATGCACCACACCTTGATGGTATGATCGCGCGATCCGGTGATGATCCTCCCCGAGTCAAAGTCGAGGCAATACACACTGCCAGCGGCATCATCATCAGTAACGGTACCAACAAAAGATTAATGACAACAATGTCTCAAAGCTAGCGCTCCCCGATGGGCCTCCGTGCGCGGAAAAAAGAAGGGACGACGAAAAAGGTTAAATGAAGAGGCACATACCTGTCGCTGTGGCCCTCAATCCGCGTGACGTGAGGTTCGCCTTCCGGGTCGCGCCACCGCCGCTCGAGCAGTGCCCGCCCACGATAAAGTTTGCGCCAGTCGAGGAGCAGAGAAGGAACGTGGTCTAGCTTCTCTAATCCGTCGAGTGCTTCCATATCTTCGTTGTCGTTGGCGATGTCGACGATACCAGGTCTTCTCGAGTAGTAAATCCCATGCTCTGATTCTGCAAGACTGACAGCATACTCTTGACCCAGGTTGGAGGATCCATCACCTGCGACCAGAGTTGACACGCTTGGGAGGGAGTCCACTGCGAAAGTAGGTGTGGGTCCAGGATAGTCTAGGCCCCATCCCGTGCTTTCCCTTCCGAGCCCAGAACCTGCGTCAACAAGATCCTCGACATACGGGTTGCTCGAAGGGCCCGCAAGCGAGAACTGTGCGTCAACCCACCCCGACGCACGACGGACATCCCAGTCCCAGTCGAAGGCCCACTCTGCATTACGGCGCGATCCCGGACGACCAGAGCGCCCACCTTCAGTTCCGTAGGACAACTCCTCTTCACCATCGCCTTCGACGCCTTCGCTGCTCCAGCACGCGCTTCCCCGAAGCGTATGCAGACTCGCACTGCTATCACCATCCCCTTCCTCATCGACGCCCTCTTCTGTGCCTTCGATCTCGTCCAGCTCCTCATTTGCCTCCTCAAACACCTCATCTTTCTCATCCTCCTCCTGCACCACCACCCCACCATCCCCCTGAGCCTGATACCCTTCACCCTCGTCCCATGCAACACCAGGCGGCCTCATCAATCTCGCCCAATCCTGCACGAGCACCTTCCTCCCTCGTTCCGTGCGGAGGTCCACACGACGGAGGTCCACTCGCCAGCCCCGCGGCCCGTCGGAAGTCTCCGTACGCTCGGGAAGCGCCAGTCCATGGACGCCCTCATCTCGCACGCCCTTGTGACCCGTCGGTCCGGAAGGAGGCATGGGCCCGAGCTCGGGCGGAGGCATGTCGGCGGGTCCCGACCGAGCCTCCCACAAGGAGCGCCAGACGGCGTTATCGTCGGCGAGAATGTACATGCGCCGACATGTATACGACATGGCACGGACGCCGGAGAAGGGGAGAAGGCAGAGAATTTGAAGGAGGAGTTCAGTAGGGAGAGCAGTGAGACCTAGAATAGTGGAAATTAGTCAGTACCCGCACACGCGGGATAGCATAGATCGTTGCAAAGGTCGAGTACGAACCTGACTGAGGCATATTTGAAGACATCCTCGTGCTCCTGCGATGCGACATCGTCGAGGAAATCGCAACACTGTACGCGTCACCTCCTGCATAGTTGCCCCACGCAGACGGAGCGAGCGAGATGAGCTCCCCCTCCTCGCCATCGAGCGGCGCCATCGACGAATAGTCCTTGTCCGACACCAATCCGGACTCAGATCCAGAGTCATCATGGTCTCTCCACTGCCGGGCGTGGGACGAGCCACTAGGAGTACCATCCAGCGTGCGAGCATGTGCCCTGCGCGCGACGAGCTTGCCCTTGCCCTTGCCCTTCGTCCGACTACGAGAGTGTGTCAGGCGCGCCACCGGCGAGGCCACCTGTCCTTGCCCGTGCCGATCTCGCTCTCGTTCGATCTCTCTCTCGCGTTCCTTCCCCTTTCCCCTCTCCTTTTCGCGCTCCTTCTCCTTGCCCTTTGCCACGGTCCGTGCGGTTGGTGAAGAGAACGACTCCCAGAGACGCCCGATCCCGACGCTGCCACTGCGCGAGCGGGTGTGCATGAACTCGGGGCGAGTGGCCAGGCAGCCCCCTGTGTCTGTGTCTGAGCCTGATCCCCCTCTGTTCGAGTTGGCCGACGCAGAGCGGGAAGCGATGGGCGAGCCGAAGCCGTCTTGGGTGTCCGGGTCCATATTGCGGCGGAGTTGGGAGAGGATCTTGCGTGGGGGAGTGCGGAAGAGGCGGCGGGGGTTGGTGTGGCCCTGCAGATGGGAGTGGGGATGGAGGAGATCGCGCTCAGGCGGACTCTCGGGGCGGGAGATCATCGAGAAGTCCATCGTAGGTGCGAGGGAGTGCGTGCGTTCGCGCTCTACCGCAGGAGCTGGGTGCACGCGGATGTTTGGGTGGAAAGGGGTTTGCGTCATCATCGAGGACGGGTCTGGATGATACGATGTGTGGGAGTCATACGTGCGCGTGCGGCTGTGGATGCGGGGGGCGCGATGATGCCGAGGAGCCATTGCGGGACCATGAGAGGAAGAAGGGGGGAGTTCAGGGGATGAGGAGCCTTCACGCATACTAGCGTGAGGGAATTGAGGGTAGTTATCGTAGAGGAAGTTGAACGACCGGGGCACTGGGTCAGCTAGTACGGTCGCATTACGGCTGCTCGACGACGCCGAGTACATGGTGCCGGACGATGTCTCGAAACTGGGTTGGTATCCACCACGAGGCTGGTAGGCAGGTGTCATGTCCGCGGCGGGCTCGAAGTTGAGGTTCAGGGACAGACGCGTGGGCGAGGCGGGGGTATCAGTGGAACTTGCAGCAAAGGGGGTACCGAGAACTGAGGTGAGGAGGTGAGTGAAGCTCTGGGACTCGACGGGTGAGTCGAGCGGGGTATTCGAGCTGCTGGAGGTTGGCGTAGCGTACACGCTAGTACTGGCACTGGAAGTGGGCTGCTCGTCCTCGGAGGAGGGGAAGGGTATATAAGACCTTGAGTTTGCTCGTGACACGCGAGCATCAATGTGGGTTATGGTCGAGCGCCGGCGGCGGTGCGATGCCGTCGTGGTCGCCATCGCCTGCGTTGGCAAGGATGGTGGGCCCCAGTGGTGGGAGGCCGGTGAGGGGCGTTATAACCCACCTCGACCGAAACCACTATAATTGCGTCACACGTGATAGGTCTCACCATAATCTCGCTCACTCAAACCAAGCGTATGACGGTCTGAGACACAAGGGACATGATAAATATGCAGTATAACATGTAAGCTACTACGCTCTACTGGATTGGCACAGGGCCACTCGGTCGGCTGTTCACCATCATTAGAGGCGCGTGCGAGACGATGAGTGCAAAGACAGCCATCCTGCAAACGCAAGTTCACGTTAGCAAACGCCCATCCATAAACTCACTGCCACGCAAAAAATGAAAGGAATGAAGGAGGCGCAGGGCATTCGGAAAGATCACCGAAATGAGACTCATTCCCGGAAAGCACCAGCGTAGCCAGCGAAACCATGTGGGACGCTCATACAAAAAAGAATAACCGGGGCGGACAGGCCTAGAAGCGTGGCTGGTAGAGAGGAAAAGTCAGGTCAGAAGACTCACGCAAGGCTGGCCCAAGGCGTGTTACCGCCCTCCTTTGTCCGCAGTGGGTGCTGGTTGAACACGCCTCCAACCGCGAGAAGCAGCACCGGCCATGCGATAAATCTGAGCGTGTCAAACACGCGTCCCAGTTCGAAGATGGTCCGTCGAGCCAATGGCAATAATCGAGAAAGGAGGGAGAAGGCAGTCGTAGCAATGGACCTGGTCAGTTACCGGTGCATATAGCCTATTGCACGTTCCGCACCTGTTACGCGTCACCAGCACCATTCCAGCCAAGAACATGCCCATTGAGCCCAGCGAGTCTACAGGTCCATTCATTCATTTACGAATCACAGTTTTGATGCATGAAGGAACGTGTTGCGAAGGTTGAGGAGGTGCAAGAAGCGCGCAAGGCGTTTGCGTTAACATGCAAGACGGCGTCCGTTGACACAGGTTATGGAAAAGCTTTAGTGAGCGTTTTTTTTTACGAAAGAGCAGTGTAAAGGACGAACCAGGCGACTCTGCGTGCCATGTCCTAGGCAGTGTGAGCTTCGTCTCAAGAGCAGGGTCCCGTGGATCTGATGAGCTTGACATGGTTATGGGAAAGACAAGTGGTCTTCAAAAGCCGGGGAAGGGTCTTACGGGCGTGACAGGACTGTGATGTCACTTGGTAACTTTGTGTCTGTCAGTCACTCCTCGACCGTCACGCACTCATGACCTCAACGCCATCCCCACACGGTGATGGATTCCGTCCTTGCTTATCGAGTTCTGTTTCGCGGCCCCGGAGACTCTGGTCTCTGTAGAGGTACTCTGCACATCACTCAGTATACTTGAAAGCTTGAAAATCGGCAAACATCAAGTATGGACGTGCTTTGGAGACCAGAGCACGATCACAATGTCAGACCAGCGCTCGAACAAGGTGACATCTACCGACCCGACGTACTCGAAGCCATCGAAGCGAAGATCGATGGGATGAACCAGGAACTCAGGGACCTCAGTCTCAACATACACAGTGTGTTTTTATTTTCTTGCCTTTTGCGTATGATGCGAAGGTTACTCAGGTCATCCCGAGACGCTATACAAAGAAGTGTATGCTTTCCATCGAATCTGTATTTTCCCTCACATTTGACTCGAAATCGGCTGCAGCCACGCACACGACACATACACCGCCTTCATGCGCGCCCGCGGCTTCGCCGTCGCCGACTTCCCCGACATGCCGACCGCGTGGTGCGCGACGTTCTCGCACGGCTCCGGCGGACCCGTCCTCGGCGTCAACTCCGAGATGGACGCGCTCCCGGGGATCGGCCACGCGTGCGGACACAACCTGATCGGCATCGCGGGCGTTGCGGTTGCGTGTGCCGTCAAGGCGGCCATGGAGAAGTTTGATATCAGCGGGGAGGTCGTATTGCTCGGGACACCTGGTGCGTTCGCAAGTTGCGTTATGATGAAGTAAGTTGCTCATGGTCGCGGTCTGACTCATTGTACTCGTATGAATTATAGCTGAGGAAGACTGTTCAGGCAAGGTGAAGCTCCTCGAGATAGGCGCATACAAGGACATGGACGCGTGCCTCATGTGTCACCCCGCGCCCGGCCCGCTCCATTCTATCAGCTTGAGCAGCTCGTTCGCTCTTGTTAGGTACATTGTCGAGTACAGTGGCCACAGGTAGTGCCTTTCATGTTCGTTCCGTGACGGTCTTGCTCACAAATAGCGATAGCGCCCACGCGGCACTGAGCCCATGGGAAGGCCAGAACGCGCTCGACGCCGCCGTTCTGGCATATACTAACATATCAGTCCTTCGCCAACAGCTCAAACCCACGAACCGCGTGCACGGCATCTTCAGCGGACAGAACTGGGCGCCAAACAGTACGCGCACAGTCCCTATCACTATCCGTGTTGATTCTGACTGAGTATATGCGCATATAGTCATCCCTGACAACGCAAGGATGGAATGGATTGTTCGCGCAAAGACGACAGCAGACGCCCGCTCAACTGCGAAGCGCGTCGTGGCATGCTTCGAGTGCGTTTACAGGTCCGAATATACGCGACCAACGACTGACAACGCCTCAGAGCCGCTGCTACCGCGACCGGATGCGAAGTCAAAATCACCGAAGTAGCGTCTGCACATGAGCTGCGACAGAACGCAACGCTTGCTGAGGAGCTGCGAAACGTCGTTCGCAGGCGATATGGCGAGATTGACTACGAGTGGGGCATCCACAGCGCATCGACCGACTTTGGCCATGTGACGTATGGTGCGCGCTATTCACACATCTCCTTCGGTTTGCCCATTTACAAGCGCTGTTCTAGCGATGCCCGCTCTGCATCCTGGCTTCTGTACGTTCTACCCCCGTGAATCTACTCCACCGTGATTAACGATGCATGTATTGGCATTAGCTATCCCTTCGGTTCCTGATGGTGGAAACCACACGCCTGGATTCACCGCAGCTGCTGCCACTGAGGTTGCCCACGATGCGACGCTGGTGGTATCAAAAGCGCTGGCAGCCGTCGGAGCGAGAGTTTTGACTGACGAGGGATTCCTGATGAAGGTGCGAAATATCTTCTGTAAATTGGCAGATCTTGTGGCTGACGACTTTGCTTTAGGCGAAGGCGAGTTTTGAAGAGGATAAGAAGGCGAGGGGCGCACCATTGTAGGTACAGGACATGGATTGATGAGGCTACACCACCAAGTTAACGCTATATAAAGGTGATATAGCACCAAGAAGCATACTCACTCACGGATTATCGATTCGCGCTACAGTGAATGAGCGTTGATTGAAATGATTATTGATCCTGGATCGCGTTCATTGTGATCCATGAACCAATGAGCCTCCCGATGCAGCGACACTAGTGTCCGCGACGGCACACACAAGGTCTGCGGCGCATGTCTTCCGAGCACTTCATTCACAGTAACGGCTAATGTGATGGTCGTGTGTTTGCCTTTTGCTCTCTAAGGCCGTTGCTTAACTCAGTGTTTCCTTATAGTCGAGTTATCCGGCGATGTCCTTGACCTCTGTATTGATTGCCTAAGCAGACAGCCCAATGAAGGCAATGGCACCGCTGCGCCAGCTCAAGCCTCCGCGGGGCGAGCTGGACGAGCTCAGCATCTATGGTTTCCAGCGCGACAATGTGGGAGGAGATGAGAGCGTGTGCAAGCGGCCGTGGTGGCGGAAGATGCTCCACCAGAATGCGACTGCGCCGGACAACTCAACACCGGAAATCCACAGTACCGCCCTTGCACCCCCAATGCAACGTGGCACCCTCAATGCAACATGTGCTGAGTGCGCTCTCCCTGGCATTTTTCTTGAAACTCTGTATCATATATTGACCTATAGGCTTGTATAGATGTGTTTCACCAGCCCACAAAAAATTCTAGCGTGAATAAAAGAGTAAACACACCCTGTTGCATTGGGGGTGCAAGGGCGGTATTTCGATGCCGCCGTCGCGGCCATCTACGCAGTCCTTTGTTCCGCCTTCGCTAACCTTATTTCTTGGAGGGTCAAACAATCCCGAAACCCCTAGTTCCACTGTTATGAACATGGCACGCCAGACGATACCCCGGTGCTCAAACGTCTATCCTGCTCTACTCTATGCACCTTCTAACGAAACTCAATACGAGGAATAGCAGCGACAGGATATACGGATGCACGGTGAACGCAGGGACTCCCAAGGCCACCGCCCTTAGTGCTGACGCCCAACCGGGGACAAGCACATATTACAACGGCCGTTATACCTACGATACACATACGACACTAGTTCCTAGACGCGTTACATTAGCATCCGCCGTAGGGCTACCTCCCTTTTTGACGAAAAGTGAAATAGTAGTTATAATACCGAAACTTATTCTTGGCTTTAATTCTTGAGGATTCCCCTAATTACTCCCATTTTGCTTTCATTTTTTGTAGCTTTTTTATCATCTTCTTTTGGTTCGGATTTCTTCAGGTCATCACATCACCTATACTCAATGGACTATGTAGCGGTCATATTATTGGCTAGGAACGTTCTATTCGTGATAGACTCTTATCAAAGGGATGTCATTCAAGTCTTGCGCGTGAGAGCCGCCTCTGCATCCTTGTATCCCCACTGGCTCATGCGCCGCGTTCTACGGTTGTGTATCTTTCGTCCTACATCGGACTGTCTTAAGTTCCTCAAAAGTGAGTTTTTTGGTGCAATTACACTATTGTTCGTTTACGCATCACTTTCCTAGCGAAACCACGCAAATCGAGCGATAATTACTGGTCTTCCTGTTCGAATTCTGTGTTCGTTATCGCTTGCATCATGACTTGTTGATTCATCGTATAGATTCCGGGTTGTATTTAGGTATATAATCATGTCGTAGCTACTCGGATTATTCACGCGAATGCCCTTCGGGAATCCTCCTCTTGCCCGGGACAAACACGCCGTGCGTCGTCGCGAGCCCCTGCGACCTATAATTTCTACACTTCCAGCTGCGACATACCGACTGGGTCCCAAGATTCCCTTTCCATTTGTTCCATTATTTCATCTTCGGGGCCACAATGTAAGCTATCCATGAATACCACCGTAGACCTACGACGACGGCGCGCATCCAAGGATTCAGTGGCCTTCAATCGCCGAGCCTAACACAGAGACTGAATTAGCGTGATAGTTTCTGAGAGATGGGAATTAGCTGGCAACTTCTCTCACCGGTATGTTATCGTCGTAAGGTGTAGACCAGTCGTAGTATTGTATATCGGCGGTTTTGATACAAAGAAGTAGATGCTTCCTCTCGTTCCATATCCCGGGTGCAACCGAGGTTAAGATATTCCTCGTAGTCTGGACAAGTATCCTTTCAGCGAACACTGATATGCCATCTCCCTTCACCACTGGCCTGTATCGAGGGGGTAACCAGCAAACTCGTCGTGAACCGATGCAGAGCCAACCCCCATCAATCATGATATTAGACCAAGTATGGACATCCGCAAAGGCTGTTGGTGGAAACGAAGAGTCAATGTCTACTGTTAGTTGGGGAGCTGTACTGGTTATCGCATTGCAATCGCTGGATATCCATGACAGTATCGTGTCATTGTAGGGACTTGTGTGAATATCGAGTGTATTTGACGGTACGAAGGGTCCATTGTTGATAGCCTCGACAAGTCTACATCGCCGAAGATTTGGCGAACTGAGTAGTCTGACGCTCGAAAACTGTCGCGGCATATCTTGCGAAGTTATACATAGAAGTTTGCCGAAGGCCTCAACATATTGCCACAGGGTTACTTTATTGTGAGCGTAGGTCAAGACGTCGATTTCGTTCCTGAATCCAGTAAACTTCAGATAAATGTCTATCGGCTGAGCTTGTGTTGGTATAGGGATATGGATGATGAGCGTAAGTTTCATAACACAGCTATCAAGAGAGAAGATGCTGAGAGATCCGGGGCGTGTTATGACAGCGAGGCGGGTCTCGTCTTCTGAAAACGCAGGATTATAGGAGAAGGCTCGAAACAGATTTTCAACCGCTCCCACCAATCGACCGCTTCTCGAGTACCAGATCAAAAGACGTCCTTTAGCGGCCAGGGAGAAGTAAGTGGACTTCGGAGAGAACGTTTGCTGTTTCAACTCCGACTTGATAAGGAGTTTCTCTAGTGCAACATTGAAAACCTGGTGTGTCTCGAGGTCATAGATATGTATGATCCCCGTTTTGTCATCAAAGTGCGAGAGCATGTCCATGTTATATGACACAGAAATTTTCTCAGGAGCCCCAAAGATAGCGCCGGTAAGAATGGTTACTTTCCACCCATTGAGCAACACGGTAGTATGCAAGATGGCCGGCTGGGTTGAATCCAATCCTGCAAGAATTGCCTCCTTCTTGTCTGGGCGACTGCATAGGAGATGAAATGCTTCAAAGGAGCCGACAGTCTGCATGGCGTTGTTATGCGGGGTATTCGGGTGTGGTGTTACTGAGGGGGCATCAAGTAACATAGAAAGGTCGATAATATGAATCTCCTGGCCCCTCCATGCATTGAACGATGAGAGAAAATGCGCATGGCCCGACCACGAGAATCGATGGACCTGTCTGTGACGAGTATAGATATAATCGCCTAATACAGCCCCGACCATAGTCCCGCCATCTCCCAGATAAAAACTTAGGGGCTGTGCGTCTTCCACGACTTGTAACGTGGGATTATTTCGTCCGCCAGAGTCGTGATCGAGAAGTGTTGAAAGAATCGAATTTTCGGGAGACCATTTTAACCCATCTATGTGTAGCAAGGCGTCTCCGGAATAATTGAAACAATGCCAGTAGCCAAAGCCAAACAAGGGTAGTTCCATAGCAAGGTGTCGACATATAGTAAGCGATATGGAGTCGAGGATATCAATCGTCTCGTTTGTAATGATCATGACGAATCCGTCGCGAGACACCGCCAACTGCGTAACTTCTGGGTTGGGGAAGACGAAGCGACCACGCACTTGCCAGATCTCGCTTTCTGCTCTCCGACTGGCAAGATAGATGAGGAGTGATTTTCCTTCAGGTCTGCAATAAAGGGGGACCTGAAGAGTGGTAGGAGATAGTTCGGACTCAATAATACCGGACGCGATCAACGAGTCATCGGGAGCAAGTGCACAATGATCTTGGGAGACAGTGTATGTCCAATGTTGAGTCGAGCTGTATTGTTCTGCGAGTAGCTCTACAACAGAGTTTGTATGCGGATACCACAAGCACAGACGACCATTCCAATAGCGACATGCGAGCATGGATCCATCGTGCGAGAATCTGACTTCAGTTGGGACGAGCATAGGACCAGGGGAGGCAACAAAGGCACCTGTAACGGTGTCCCAGAGCCGTAATTCTGTTTTCGACAGAGTAGCCAATCTACGGCCGTCAGGTGAGATGGTGAATGCCGTGAGCGAGTCATACTTGTGCGTTCGTATAACAGCATCCCATTCGGTATCCAGACCAGAGTCGACAGACATCACAACCTCCAGACAGATTTCTTGATAATGAGTCCGAAGCTGAGTATTGAGCGGACATAGGGGCAAAGCAGACTCGTAAACGTGGAGTGCCGAATCGCGTATAGGCTCAAAGAACTGTAGTAAAAGGCGCCAGCCGTCGTAAAGTAGCTGCAGTGCCACCGTCTGACCATCAAACGCACGCCATCCCTGAACCGAGAGTCAGTGATTTGGAGTACGAGGAAGCCAGCATCTGCTTACCAAGATGACAAGCCGAGCATCAAGGAGACACGCGGCAGCTGGGTGCAGACAGCCCATAATCGACGACGCTTCAAGAAAGAAAAGTAGCTGCTTCTGTAGAAAATAAAGAACGAGGGTTTGGATTTCGACGTCCTGACCGCCCCTTTCAAGGTGATATGCCCAGTAGAGGCACGCATAACGAAGAGCTCCAGAGATTGATGTGTCGCGTCTGCGCTCGAAATCCTCTATCTCTGAGTGTAGCTTCGACGGGTCGCCGAGACCGCATATGTCCTTCTTCAGCTCTCGCTGCATGAGTCGCAAGCACGAGGAGACAAGACGCCGGTGTGACTCGGCAGGATCGACATGATGTTCTCTCGAGCGAGTACTATCCCAAAGGTAATCGCGCAGCGACGTATGATATATCTGAACTGTCGCAGAGGAATCCAGTGATGGGATCTGCATGACCGCTGAAAGGTGTGTGATGCACTTGCGTACGTCTTCAGCGCGCAGCTTACATACGTCGAGTAAGGACAGCGGCTCAGCAAGGGCGATGATGTCGGATAGACATTCGACTGCGGTGCGGCGGGTGTGAAGCTCGCAATCGGAAAGGATATAACGATAGACCGTATCGATGTTTCCCAGATCAAGATCAAGCATAGTGACGTTCCCAGAATAGAGACTGGAGACGACATTGATGGCGCTATTTGGGTCTGATGCATCGCAGACGAGTCTGCTGATTGTTGCGGCGACGATGAACTGGCCCCTTACTTGGCTTAGTAACGCCGCAAGGATGAATTCGGGGGGCCATGGCCAGGTGTGGACGAACTCGATGTCTCGCATCTCGTAGATGTCTCGGAAGGAGTGGCGGAGGAAAATCTCAACATCACGGGATGCGTCGAAGGATTCGATGCGGAGAGGGATGGTAATATTAGATAAGTTGGCGTGTGTCGCAAGAGATTCGAGGCTGGGAAGAGGACGACTAGTGAAGAGGATTGCGGAAATAGGGACGGTAGAATCGCGGACAAGCTCGGCGAACATGCAGACAAGGTCCTTGAGGCGAGCGGCATTGCCTGTCACACCTTCGTCTGCCGCGTCAAAGATCATTGCACGTTTTGTCTTCCACACAAGCTGAAGCTCGCGTAGAGGCGTAGCGACAAGGCTGTCGAACTGCGTGCGACGGGATTTCTCGGGAGAGAGCAGTTCGGGATCGTCTCTAATGGCCTTGACGATGGCCTCCTTAGCACGGTGATGAATGAGACCAACTTGGTAGGCAATAGCGGGAAGGACGTGATCGGCGTTGCTTCTAGAGACGTGTTTCCGCGAAAAGAAGAAGGTCGCCGCAAGCTGGTCCTTGGCACGGAGACGTTCCGCGATGGCGTGAGCAACGCTCGATTTCCCGGAGCCTGGGCCTCCAAAGAGCCAAACATGGCTGGGCTCTTCTTGTGACAATGCATCATCGAGCGTGTTCAGGAGTTCGATGCGTGTGCCCGGTAGGCATTCGGAAAACGGACGACGTTCATTGGAGTCGTACTCGGCCCCTCTGGCCTTCTCGTTGGCTAGTCTTCGCCATATTTCGTCTAGTAGCGTGAGTTGAAGGTGACTGTCATCCAGAGAGTCAAGTAGCGTACCTTTATCAGCCGGATTCATAGTGAGGGTGATTCTTGCTGCAGGGAGTATGGATCAACTCAGAGGTGCGAGGTTGCGACGCGGTGGGGTTACTTGTAGCTTTCGAGGCGCGTACAGCCCAGTACAGCAACTTGCTGTGTGTTGTTACTGCTACTAGTAGTATTATTAGTAGGTACCGCATGAACACGTCGATCCTTGCCTGCTGCTTTGGGATCGAAGGCAGGCAGTCACTGCAAACATCCGAATCCTCCCTTATCACTGTGCGCTATCGGGCGGGAAAGCTAGTGGTTATAGCAACGCATCAGCCGAGGGTATACAGCCAAGTCACCGGGCTAGAAGGATGGTAGAAAGATGGTGCCTCAGTACTCCAAGACGTAGATTGTTGAAAGTTAATACCGATCACGCTGTGCGTCGCGGACGTCTTAGGAGGACTCTAAGAGCTAGCCTAGGCCATAAATCCTGATGCCGCCAGCCTGAGCTTCAGCAATATGCCCTCGTCATCAGGTAAAACTCTTGCAAGCAGAACCAACCAGGGCGGCTGAGAAAACGGCGATGCTCCCCCAGAAGTCCAACATGAAGGTCAAACACTTCCATAGCGGGACAAAGGGAGAGACCGTTTCGCTCTCGCGGGCGTACCCACGGCGGTCAGAACACACGCAGAGGAAGGAGAAGAGAACATCAACACGTTGACCCGCCAAACCTAGATCGATGCCAGTGCTGATTGGAGAGAAACCGAGATGCAGAATTACCGAGTTCGAGCTCGCGGGCCGAGGTTGCACTCCCACCCGCAGTGACTGCAAAGGGGGAACCGGCATTTATTGAGATCACCAAAATAAGCTCATTTGGCCTCGCGGTGCTTCTATGTTCTCAGTCAAAGGCGCGGGGCGATGGGGCCGATGATCATCAGACAATCAGACAGAGATAAGTTTGGCAACAGCAGGAGCAGCAAGAAAGTGTCTTTGCATTTGTACTTTGTAAATTCCGTTATGTAAATCAAGAGGCAGAGAGACAGAGAGAAACGAAAAACGAGCTAGTGGATACACAGGATAAGCAGGGCGGGGTGCGAGAGATTATCGGGCCCGCCTCTGCGCGAATTAGCAGCTCTGTAATCGTAAGGGTAGCATGGGATATGTGGCTGGGTTTGAGAATGGGTTGTTTGTGTCTAAAAGCGTGCAGGGGTATGTGCGCGTCTGCGCGGGAATATGGGGGAAATGGACAAGAGGAAAGAGCAGGATGAGCTAGCAAGGGATACAAGCGGTAGTGGTGGTGAAATCATGCGACAATGAAGAGATGGGGGGAATTAGTCGAGTAGTAAGGCGTAGGTTGGGATGAGGATGGAAGATGGAATGGGATGAGATGAGATGAGAGAGACTTCTTAGTATGCATACGTGCCGTCCGTCCGTTTCCATTCTGTTCGTCAGAGAGCAATCGTTTTGACCGGTCCGCGCGCTGCGCGCCCAGGGTATATCACCATCAATGCAGGCAATGCAGGCAATCCGTGCGTTCACTGTGCGCCGGCGGCGAGGTTGAGCGCGCCGAGGACGACCTCCCATGAGAGGTCGAGCGTGTCCCAGAACTCGGGGTCGTGCACGCCGAGCGCGACCGCGTTGCGCCAGACTGCAGCGATGCCCTGCGCGACGGCGGGCAGCTGCGCGGGGCGGACGTGGCGCACAAGGTGGTCCGAGAGCGTGTGCAGCGCAGGACCGGACGCGAGCGTGCCGCGAATGGCACCAGGCGTGCTGAGCGTGCTCACGAAAGCACTCGGCACCGAAGGCAGCAGTGCGGCGAGGAGCGAACGCGTCGAGTGCGTGTAGAGGAAGGAATGCAGCGGCGCGAATGCGGCGGGCGAGGGCACGGTGAGGGGCAGAACGGGTAGGGTAACCGAGGTGCCTTGAGGCGTCGCGGGTGCAGTCGCGGGGAGACGTGGCAGGCCGGAGCAGTTGGCTGCGAGGACGAGGGCGTGCGTGAGGAGCAGCGTCGCGTCGCCGGCCGACTTGGGCGCGGAGAGTGCAAGGACGTGGGTGGGGTAGCAGGCTTGGGGGCCTACAGCGCGCACGGGGATCGTCACGGCCGGCGTGGACTGGATCTGAGTGCGAGACATGGTCGAGGGGAGATGGTGGGTCTGGAGCGAGTTGATGCCGGTGATCATGCTGAAATGAAAGAACGCGTTCATTAATTAGAGAGGCAGATTCGACTGGCACGTTTGCGAGCTCGGGGGCGAGCGGGACGATGTTTGAGTGGTGGACCTCAGCGTACTGGGGGCGCTGGAGGGTGCGGGGGAGTGCGACCGAGCTGGGCTGCTGTGTGGGGAAGGAGGCCATGTTGTTGTTAGAGTCCTGGACCTCCCAGATGGCTTTTGTGCTGGTCGGGTGTGCGGGGTGTACCTGGAACATGATGACGAAAGAGGAGGATTGTGGGTGTGAATACAAGGGTTGGTGCTTCTCTGACGCTAGGTGATGGATGTCGTTGTTGTACGATGATAGAACTGGAGTCGTTGCTGGTGTTGGGAGGTTGACCGCCCTCTGGGTCTCTTTATACAGCTTTGTCTGACAAGGTGCGCTTTCATTCTCCTTTGGGCTTCCGTTTGTTATCCAGTATGGCAGCTTCCAAATCCGGAACAACTTTCATCCACGTGCTCCCTCCCCCGCACCGTCCTGCGTCGCGACCTTGTAAACCTCGACAGTCCAAGTCCCGCCAGAACGCTGCTTCCGCTTGTTCTTAATCCGGCCCTCGACGCTCGTCCCCGCCACGCAGGCGACCGTTGCCATGCACCGACCTATTTCCACGTCATCCCGCCTCCTTTCTCGGTCGGCCTTTGTTCTGCCAAGTGCTCTTTCCGGGTCGATCTTTGTCCATCTTCGTATGGCTTCTTTTCGCCCGTTCCGCGCCGGCGGCCCCGCCATCGAGCCCAGCTTTGTGCCTCCGAGGGCCCAATCTAACTCTGTCTCACAGAAAAAAACATGCGTTGGCTATCGCGCCATACCGGCCTCGTGTCTGTCAGACCTCCTAGACGCCCGTCAGCGCTCAGCCACAGGCTCCGCATCGCTGCGCGGTAAATGAACTCTAACCAAAGATCCACTCACCCGTAGGCTACAGCCTTTGGAAGGTTTTTGGCGTCCGAGAGGCTGCACCTGGCGTAAAATTTCAAGGTTCAGCACTCCGGAGCCTGAAAGACTTCACTTCCGAACCCGTGAGTATCGCTTGCGCCTCCCACCGAAAAGTCTATCTTTCGCATCACGTGTAACGCCATGAACAACTCACATTCGTTATCGCAGGATCTCGCAGAATCCCGATCCCAACATAGAACAAGTCGTCGACGGTCCTCGGGCCCAGTCTTCTTCGATGGCATCACCGAGACTGGCGTGTGCAGTCATAAAACCATGTTCGGTCCATGTTGTACTGCCCGGCCCCAAGGTTTCCTCTTGCGCGGAGAGCCCCAGGTGACGTGCCCGCTGCTGCCCATATATCGTCGGCCGGTGGCACGTTGCAGCACGCCGAGCGTATGGAGCCTCTGCATCTGGCAGCTGGGTACCGAGGCAGCGCGCCAGGCGATCGGACCACGGCCTGACGCAGCCTGTCACGTCCCGGCGAGCTTCTATCGCCGAATGAGGCTCAAGGGACTCACTGGTGGGACGGTGGGACCTGGTGGGACCCGGCTGATTCCCTCCCCTGACCGTCGTCAGTTGTCGCCTTCTTGCCAACTCTGCGAGCGCTCGTACCTGATTACTCCTCATCTGCGCACCACGCGTCTGGCCGCTTATGGACAGGCGTTTGTTCGAGCCCGGTATGTTGACGCTTGTCTGTACTGTTAGCGACTCTGATCGGGTCGTCAGACCAATAGGGTTTTGAGCTCCTGCTGCTCCGAAAGGTCCTCCTTGTAGGCCAGCATTGGAGCATCCGACTCCTGTCGGGAGCGTTACCTGGCCATGAGGGTCAAACGAGCCCACAACAACCACAGGAATGCCAGGGAATGCCCCACCTTTACTCAAACGGCCAGCAATCGGAGCCATCTGCTACTCTGATATCAGAATTCCGTGCAGCGAGCTCGAGGTTTTCTCGGGTCCAGGCCAAGCTGAAGGTCAGACGCATGAAATAGGGGCTTTTCCCGATAAAGAAGAGGCCCAAAGATAGGCTGCGGACCGATTTCTTCTTTGCGTCCTCTTCCATCTCCCGCAGAAAAAAATGGCCTCACTCACCGCCCGATCGATTTCATAGTCCTCGCGTCGGACCCATCCAGCCCGCTCTATCTTCAGCTGTATCACCACCGGACGCGACACGCGCCGCCCTTCCAGACGTTCCGCAGACATTCACGAAGCGTCTCGTTCTCATGGACGGATCCAAGCCAACAGTTGCCACAGTCTCCGGCCCCACCTCCTTCTGCCGAGCAGCGGCAGAAACCGTTTTAGGTGATCCGTCTTCAATCAAACTTAGACTCAAAGTTAGCATTGGGCCCGTTCCGGATGCGAGCTCCCTAGCCTTTACCTTGGGATTGGGCTTGGACTTCGCCTTCTCCCCACTCCTGAAGCTACAGCGCACGCCCTACGGCGGACGCTCGCTCTTCGCCGCGCAGGCGATCCCGGCGGGTACACTGTTGCACGTCTGTGCGGCGCCGCATGCGCATGTGGTCTATCGTGCGTTCCGCAAGGAGGTGTGTGCGCGGTGTTTTGCGTATGCTGTCGGGACGACCGTGTCCAGTGGCGGAGGGGAGGAGAAGAAGAAGAGGTGGGCGTGGAGTGTGCGCTGGGATGGACAGGTGGATCAAGGCGCGGGACAGCCTCGGATCGACTCACGTGTCAAGAATGGGAGGCGAGTGGGGGGACAAGAGCAGGTGCAGGAGAAGATCGGGAAACAGACGCAGGCGCAGAAGCGAGTTCAAGCTGGATTCGGGGCTGGAGCACCGTATTTCTGCGGTGAGGCTTGTCGGGACGCGTGGATTGTGGAAGACGATGGATATGGACCTGCGCTCGCGGAGGCGGTGGCTGCAGTCGAACGTGCCGACGCTGCAGCGCGCGCTGCCCAGGCGAAAGGGAAGGGCTGGACATCAAACAATGGTAGAAGCGGGAAGCAAGCTGAGGTGGTCGCACAAATAGAGCAGATCCTCGCAGACGAGGCACCAGAGGAACATGAAGAACAGCTGGGAATCACCAAGAACGGGACGCGACCGGAGATGGCGAAGGAGCAGCTAGATAGAGCTTGGGGACGCGTCGAAGCATGGACAAAGGCAAAATACGGTCGAAGCGGTCCACCTCTCCCGTTTGCATTGGACGAAGGAGAGCTCGACATTGCTCGGTTCGCCGTCAGCGCCATTGTCCGCAGACATCAAGAAGCCGATCGTCCCTCCCCCAACAAAGCAAGCTTCGCCGCAAGCTCGCTGCCTGCCCAAGACCCAAACTCCCCCATCGCCATCATCCTCCCCACTATCGCGGACGTCCCCGCAGCATTGGCGGTGATACCCCCCTCGCAGCTTGCCAAAGCTCCATTCGCCGAGCCGGAGCTCGCAATTTCGAGGCTTCTGAGCCTGCAGGACAGCGAGCTTGCGAACGTCCGGATGCGCCCGTATCTCCTGCGCGCGCACCTGCGTGTGTGCGCGTTTCTGGGTGCTGCTTTGCCGCCGCCGCTGCGTGCACACGTGGGCGTCGTGAGGCAGCTCCTTGCGCGCGAGACAGGAAACGCGTTCGGGATCTGGGAAGGCGACCAGCTACCTGAAGGGAGGATTAGTATAGGTGACTCGGAGAAGGAGGCAGAGGACACGAGAGACATGCGGGAACGCGAGATGTTTGGGTGGGGGGTGTGGGTGAGCGCAAGCCTGTTCAATCACTGTGAGTTGCTTATTAGTATATGCGCTTTGCGCTCGGAGTGTTGGCCTTTTTTTGCTGATCTGGGCTTGAATGTTCTCGTGGATCTAGCGTGCGCGCCCAACGTGCGCAAGAAGCGGTCTGGGCGTTCGTTGGAGTTCTTCACGTTGCGAGATGTGAAGGAGGGCGAGGAGCTGCGTATTTCGTACGCCAGTACGGATAAGCCCGTTGGAGAAAGACGGGAGGCGCTACGGACGAGCTGGTTCTTCGACTGCATGTGCTCGCGATGTGTGCGAGAGAGTAGCTGAGGGTGAGGGTGAGGGTTTGGTCGTGGTTATACGTTTTGCTGTGGCGACATGGGTTTTATTGTCTTGGGTTTATTTGGTTGCTTTGTTTTGGTCTCAGTGTCGTACATCTTTGGATAGCTGGGTAGAATAGAGGGTTCACCATCATCATCATATTCTTAGGCCGCGGTCAAGTCGCGCACATACGGATCTACTTGCGAAGCGAATCCGATCTCAAGCACATATAGTCAACGCCTGCGTCAAATGGCCCGACTCGGAGGTCGGGGAAGTCCGCGGCGGCGGTTTTAAAAAGGAAGGTGAAGTGGTTGGAGGCATCGCACTTCCTTTCAGTGCGCCGCCACACCTCCTCCTCCTGCATCGTTGATCTCAACAGCTGGTTGTTCGGATGCTTGCAGATGCATTCTTCGATCTGGTCACCGGGATCCTGAGCCGCAATGCTACGCTGATCTCCTGTTCAGATACAGCAGCACAAATTCCAAGAACTAGCTGATTGGCACAGACTGCGAATCCATTCTTCGCTTCTCATTCTCCGGACCCAGCTTCCCTAGGCGCCATGGCTCATCACTACGGAGGGATCGGAAGAATAGCACGATTCCGTCGGCCTTGTCGTGGGCCTCGTCCTTGGAGCATATCAACTTGTCTGCCCACCTGACACTTATACTATGGACTGACAGGCATCACCTCTTTCTTCTCCCCCTGTCACTATGCGCGACACTCACCGGACGCCGCCAACCTCCACCTCTGGCGAACCAGCTGGGAAACCTCCGATGTCTCCTCTTCCGACGTTCGACACATTACGCGCGCTCCACAACATCATTGGCGAGGCTCTCGATGACATTGAGCGTGTTTTTGCCTCTGCGGGTAGCACACATTCGAGACTGTCTGCTTCCAAGTCGCATACATGGACATTCTGCCCTTCCGTCGACTATCCCTCACCGAACTCGGCCTTTGCGCCGTCGTCCGAAGCTGAGAAACTAGCAAGAGATCCGGTGGCTGCAGCCGCCTCATTGCGCATCATATCTGCTGTAGGCGAGTTTGAGGGGATACTGCGGCCTCCATTTCTAGCGCTATCGATCGCAAGTATGAGCGTGAGTTGATTAGTCCATTGTCGGTTACGATAAGAATTTCTGATGCTTAATCGACATTACTCGTAGTATAACCTTCCAGCTTGTCTACGACTGGTAGAACACGCACACATCGTCGAGATTTTGCGCGAAAACGAAGCGCCACGGGCAGACGTAGTGGGGATGCATGCGGACGAGATTTCACGGATAATAAGGGGCTACTGTGGAGAGGAGAAGTTCTGCGACGGTGCACAGCTAGGTGCGTGGATGAGTAACAGCTGTGATTCATTGACTTTGCTGAGGAAATACTCTGCCATTAAGCCCATTTCCTCCGTCTGCTATGCACACATCATATTCTGCGGGAAACTGCTCCTAATGTGTTCGCGAACACGCGAATATCGAGTACTATGGACACCGGAAAGACTGTCAAGTCGTGTTTTGAAGCGTGGGTCATCCCATTGACTCTCTTTGCCTTTTATCTGAATCATTCTCGTTTGATTAGTCCACGAGATAAATACGATGGAACGGATGGTACAGCTGCGTTCGTCGGGCTATGGTACGCTGTTATGTCGCAGAACTCCACTGAAATCAAGCAATTAACGTGTTTCGTATCGTTACAGTACCGACGAACTATTCAAAGCGGCCGCATACCTCACCGAGGGCGTCACCAGCGGCTGCTCGCCCGATCCATCAAACACGAAGAAGTCAGCGTTCAACGTCGCACTGCAAACACATTCGCCGTATTTCGAGTGGCTGGAGGCTGGCGGCCTTGATATCACGGGCGGAGACGGATGCGGTGCAAGTGCAGGCGTGCGGGACGCAGCGAATGATCGTGCGTCGTTCCATACGGGCACTGGCTCTGCCAAGGATGTCACTTCGTATCGCCTTGATCGTTTCTCGCGCGGTATGACGGGGACGAGCGGATGGGAGGCGCCTGGGGCGATCCTGAATGGTGAGCTGAGTTTCTGAATCATCATGCGCAATAGGCAATTGACTGTGGCATATCATCGAAAGCACTCGACTGGGCGGCGTTGCCGAGCGGAAGCACCATTGTTGACGTAGGAGGTGGAATAGGAAGTACGGTGATGGTGCTGGCGGAGGCCCTAGAGACGAACGAAGGCAATGGTCACGCTACCAGTTCAAGTCGCGTATCACGGCGAAATCTCCGCTATATTGTACAAGATCGGCCAGTCGTTGTGGCTCTCGGACGGGAGTCGTGGCAAGCCCGCCATCCGGCGCTGATTGAGGATGGGACCGTCAGGCTACAAGGTCTGTTGCGTTCTAGGTGTGCCCCTAAGACCATCCTAACCATCGTTAAACAGAACACGACTTCTTCAAGCCGCAGCCTGTTCAAGCGCCTGCCGTATTCGTCCTGCGCGTCGTTCTCCATGACTGGGAAGACAACGATGCGGCCAAGATCCTTCGACGGCTGAGATCAGCCGCAGGCCGAGATACGAAGCTCATTATCGCTGAAAATGTCTTGCCGCTGGCGTGTGCGGACGACCTCACTGTAAACCACCCAGACCAAGAGGGATATAATGCGGGCGAAAATACGGAGTGGACTCTGCAGCGTGTGCTGGAGAGCATCGAGGGCGCTCCTCGTTCGCTAGCGCCGCCACCTTTGCTTCCGAATCTGGGTAGGGCGAGCGTGAATACGTATTGGATGGACCTGACTGTGAGCTTTCTCCATGGATTTAGAGGTGGCTGGATGCTGATTGCGTGCAGATGTACAATATGTTCAGGAGCAAGGAGCGCACGCTTCGCGAGCTCTGCGAGTTGGCGCTATCGGCAGGATGGAGGGCAGTGAGACTTGTGCGTTCCGAAGGGTGGCTATTCGGGCATCTTATTTGCGAGCCCGTCGATGTGCCGGAAGGACTCGAAGATCATTCGTACTCAACGTCTGCGGAGACATCGGCTGGAGACATGACTGACAATCAGACCTCTCCAGCGACGACAGACGTTACCGACATGAATGAAGCAAAGTTCGGTGTACTCCTCGAGCCACCGCTTCTGACAGAGCCTATGACCCGTAGTCGGCGGTGCTCATCATCTACCGGCACGTTCTCCTTTGTGCACCTCAATAGACCTACTCCTAATTCATCTGGGACTATGCTCTGCTCGCATGTCTCCCTCGCGTCTCTTACAGACCTTCGCTTCCAATCCCAGACGCAAGCGCATGTGGTGGCCACTGAGCCCGAGTCACCAGGGTCCGGGAAATTCAGAAGCCTACGCAGGCTCGGCCGGCAGCGCATGCGCACCTGCAGCACGGAAAACATGTCCACGCCTCCGTCGTCGCCCCTTCAGCACCAGAGCCCGTGGTGGAGGCGCGTGTTTACACATTCGCCGACGCAGACGAGTCCGTGTTCGCCGCCGGGACTAGGCGGATGCGAAGGCGCGTATGCGCCCATGGTCGTTGCTGGGGAGGAGGATGATATGCCTCGGTTGATCGAGGATGAGGATTACGGCGAAGAAGGGCACGAATTCGGTTCGTCGAATGGGAGGGCCGCTAGCACGCAGGCTGGGGTTCCGTCGGGCCGCGAACAGCGTGCGGCGTCGCGCAGACCGAGCATCGCGCATCTGAAGCGGCGCCTGAACTTCGCGCTACAAATCAGCACTGGGAGAGAGACGAGCAAGAAGCGGAGTACGGAGGACGTCGGGGGCGACGGTGGTAGATGCCAGAGACTTCCTAAGTGTTCTGCGTCGCCAGTGGGGCTAGTGCCGCCCTCGCCTGTGCTCGAGCTAGAGCGCATGCCAAGTCTCGAAGAGCTGGGTGGTGGAGAGCTGAATAGGACACTGCGAGCTCCTTGTCTGAGCGTGGATCCGGTGAGGTGGCATGGGCCTGCGCGGAGGAAGAGTTTGCCGTCGCTTTGGATGAAGCCGGAGATAGGGGTCCAGGAGGTTGAGGAGGTTCAATAGGTCCTAGTGGCCGTCGTGCGGCGGGGTAATTGCGGATTTTGCAAAGGAGATGCGCCGCTGGGCCTCGGTCCATAATAGTTTGAGCTAATTAATACATACATACCTAATGTGCTTGTTTCTCGTTGGCCTTTTGCTAGTCAAAGACAATCGAAGTTTGGAAATTGATGCATTCGCGAGTGCAGAATGATTTTCCCTTGAGAGGCGCCAGAAGTAGCACTTATGAAGGAGAAGATATTGACAAAGGACGAACGCGAGTATAGCTGATGGAGTCTATAAGAGCGCGAACTCACCGGGCTGTTAGTGTTGAAGGTTGAGTGAGTAGCTTGGTAGCTGGTAGGCTGACGATGGTAGTCGTTCGGTGGAGAGAGAAGACTTAGATGATATTCATGGTAGCGACTGTATATATATGACAGGAGCGTGTGAAGTCACTACCGTATTCGTAACTACTATGCAGTCCAAGTCCCACGGTAATGTAGGACGGCTACGTAAGCAATGAACGTGGCCCTATGCGATGAACGCGGAGCCACACGAACGCGTAAGCGCTTAAGGTACCGCTAGGATACTAAGCGCCTGAATAGACGTATGAAGGCGGTGTTTACTTGTAGACCTCGTAGAGGAACATCGCCGTACAGGAGGCTTCTGGATGAACCAATAAAGCCGTAAAGGGTCGAATACTAGACGTAAATCTGACACCCCCCTGAATCGTATTCGCTTTACTGCTTGAGCAATGGTG